TAATATTATTAAAATATTTGCTTTGCAAACAAAAATGAGGAGTCAAGCAAATATAGAACAATGCAATGAATAAACAAAATTGCACATCCTCTCTCTCTCTCTCTCTAAATCTCTCTAAATCTCTTCTCCTTTTATATCTCATTCCTTAAAACCGTGAAAAAAACAGACGCGTGTTAAAATATATGAATTATTAGATATTGTTATTATTTTAATATGTATCAAACATATCAAATATTTAACATTAATATATTTCTTTCTACAATATTAACAAATGACCACCTAGAATTTTCGCAGGTTAACTGAAGTTTCCATCATCATGGGAACATCAGTCGGGTGTGGTACGAGTTTACTTCTCGCACTATTTCCATTTTGGAGATAAGTGTCGAGAAGAAAATAAAAACTCATCACGGGCAAGTTTGAAACTTGCTGAGAACAGTTCGTTCTACCCATTACTGATGATGATGATGATGATGACTTAAAGAGCTTTTATTAATCAAAGCTTAAGGATTAGATTAGATTAAACTAGATCAGATTAGATTTCAGCTAACCATTGCAAGTTAATGGAAGAATTTTTTCTGTTAACTTCTGTCAAATATAAAGCATAAAGTTCTCATTTTAAGAAAATTAAATTTTTTTACTGTCTACTTGTTTTGGAAGATTAACTTAGCAATTGATTTTCATTTTAATTCCACTTTTATTATGGTTTTAAAGCAATTTCATGTTGAATATTTTAACAAACAATTTCTCCTATTTTTGATTAACAAATTGTGTTGTTCAACAAGTTTTCACATAAAATTTTGTCATCAAGTCGTTGATTATCGAGTTTAATTTTGTAAAATTGATTTGCCCAATGTTGAGCAATTCTAAGATATTTAATTGGAGGATGTGGTGCGTAGTCTCTGAATTTGCTATGTGGCAGAACAGCTTCGATCTGTGTGCCAAAGTTAAAATTATTATAACTTTCGATTGTAACGAATTCGGTATTATGTAAAAGTGCCGTCTTAAAGGCAATTTCAAAATACTGTCCATTAGATCGAAAACGTCTCAATGGATTATACTTTGAAGACGCGTCATGATATCCTGGGCCAACAGTTGGAACAAACATCAGATGATACATGTCAGCAAACTTTTTCAGCTTCTCCCAATTCTTCCATGTTGAGAAGTAATTCGCACCATTTGATGTATTGTAAGTATAGAAACCATCAAAATTTGATTGTCGAACGATGGTTTTGCTTTCTTTTGATCTAAAAATGTGAAAATGAATAAATATTATCGATTTTAAGTCTGAATCAACTGAAAACTTACTCCAAATGCGCTAAAATGAAGGAATCGTAATTTGTTTCTCTTATCGTCAACAAACCATTCTTGCCCAAAAGTTTACTCCATTCACGAATTTTCTCAGCGTTCTTTAAGTAAAATATTGGAAGTGTTTTCTGTCGTCTTATTGAATAAACTTTAAAAAAGTTTGGATTTGTTGTGTAGTTATCGACGAAGAACTTCAAATTATTTCTGATGCTTTCAATTGTTCGATCTTCATAGTCACCAATTTGAATAGCAAGTTTTAATTGATTTTGGCGACTGTTCTTGTTCATATCAGATAACAGATGGAAGACAATTGGAAGTAGATCATTAAGTTCACTGTTATTTGGCTCCCAATGTAGAATGATGACACCAATGCCACACAGTCTAATCTCTTCAAAATGTTCCTTTAAAATTTTCTTAGCTGCTTCAATCGTCGAGTAATTGTACAATCCACGCTTAGGATAAAAAACTGTATCGAGTTGGAAGATGCTTTGATTCTCTGCTTTAAACCATTTAACTGGAAGGTAATAAAAGATTTGAATATTGCTAACAGTTTTGTTATGAATGATTAGATCTTCATCCATTGTAAAAGTGTCTTGATTCTTGTCAACTTTCTTCTGAACATCCAAACTTTCAGACATCAATTTGACTTTCTCTCGAATGATTCTGTTCTTTACAACTTTCTCATCATATTTCTCAGGAATAATTTCTCCTTGGTTCAACTGATTAATTGCATTGAGTATTGCTTTCTGCTGTTGCTTTGCTTGAGGATTGCGACCATTTCCATCAAGATAATTTGAAACTCGCTGTTGTTGCATCATCAGGAAGTTAATTTTTCTTTCATTTTGTTTCAAAATATTTTTATTGTAGTTTGAAATGTAAATATAATAAATGATAAGAAACACTGATATTAATCCTGATAAGTAAATTAACAGTCTTAGTGACTTCAAGTTCATTAAATACATTTTTGTTTCACTATTATTTCACTTATTTATTTGGAGAAGACAAATTTCTTTATCGTTGTATAAATTGTAAGGATGACAATGACAACAGAAGCAAAGCGCATGCTCATAAAATTTCTACTTTCGATTATCTACTTTTTATGCATCGGGAAATATTTTTATGCGTTATTCTATTATGATTTATCATAACATTTATAATTTTTTAAATTACTTTTCTGTCTGAAACAAGAATGCGTAAAGAAATTTGAAATAAAAAATTATGACACAAACAATTTAACTAAATGCTAACATTTATTAAAACATGTGTTAAATCACGATAACTTTCTTATTGACATATAAACATTTTTTTTGTTGATAATTTTTCTTATATTTACACTGCACTAAAAATCTCGCTTCATCTTTGCGTGACTGAAATCGCTTTGCGTTGCATTCAATCAAGCGCACTGGTAACTCGAGATTTGCAATCTTATGTAATCAACCGAATAAAAATTTATTTAATGTGATCAATTTCATCATCGTCTTAGATGAGTATGGACAAAGCGGAAACATTTTGTAGCATTTTATGAAATCATTTTTTCGATTCTTGTTAAAGTCCAATCCAGATTGATAAGCTTTTGAGAGTTTTTTGGGTACTTTTGTGTGTTCAATGGTGTGACTGTTAAATGAAAAGATTACAATTGAGATCTAAAAATTTAAAATCACTCACGTTATGAACTCATAAATTTGATTTGCTTCATTGTTGTTTTTCTCAGCACCAGCTGATAATTGACAAATCAACGATAAAGCACAGTTGAAAGGATCCTTTGATAAAATATTATTCCAATCGATTTTCTTTTCAAACTCAATTTCTAGGTCAGTGATGTTTGCTCTCCGATTAGCATCGTCTAAGTCACGTTTTCCAAACAGCGTTGATGCAACTTTTTTCAGATAAAATATTATTCACGATTCATTCAAATGACATTCAACATGCTCACCTCTACCAGCTCCAGATGAAATTTTCGTAAAGTCTTGTGCAAGTAAGTGAATTGTATAAAGCGCACCCAAACTCACAATCATCATGACTATTAACCTGACGCCCATTTTCGATCCTAGGAACTTTGAGAATGCCGCAAATGCTGGTCCAAAAGTCATTAGGAAATTTTTAAGAGCAAAATAAAGAAGAAATAAACAAAATTATTAAAACACGAAAACCTTTCAAATGGAAAATTGTTAAATTTTTATCTTCAGAAAATATAAAACGTGTGAACTTAAAGAGATGATGAAAACAACTAAGTCTGAACTGATTTTTCAATCCAATTGGAACAGCAATAGAAAATGAATTTCCTGACTTACCTTCCTTAAAGACTTTTCTCCAATCTACAATAATTTTGCGGAGTAAAAATTATGTGCGATGGTTTTCAACTCTCGCGAAACTGCAACTGCAATGAAAAGCGAAGAGAGTTTAGAAGAATCATGAAAACATTACTTGCAGTTAACAACAAGAAAAACTTCCAGTATTATTTGTTTTCCCTTCTCCGATAATTATGAGAGAGAGACGAAAGATACTTAAATGTTGCTTACTTTGTTTTAATGCTATAAAAGCAAGTTAAACAATTATGCAATAACATTGATTGACGGCAATTCTTGGAAAGATAATAACACTATGGTTGCTTGATGTGTTATTTTAACGAGTGAAGACTTGTTTGGTGGCTTCATGTCGTTAGTTTAGGAAAAATTCAGTGTGAAGCTTATTTTTTATTTTAAATTCCAAATCACATTCAACATCTTAACTTAATCAACTAATAAATCGCTATTTGCAAGCGTACCTAGTTGACTCTTTAACCATCATTATCATTCCGGTTTGACATTTAATGTTGCCGCATTTACTTTTATTCGCATATATTACACAACTTACTTTCATCTTCATACACATTGGAAGAAACTGCATAAGAGAAAAAGAGAAAGAAAAATGAGGTGAATGTTTAATCGAAAGCGAATTGAATTTGTTTCTGAATATTAAGATAAACAAAATCTGTTTAATGATTACCCTTTTGATTTATCTTTATTATTTATGAGCTGTTTTACAAGCAGTTAACGCTTCATTAAATATACCTACAGCCGTTAATAATGATTATTTATTGAATATTAACTTTTATTATGGGCGTGCAAATTGTCATGTCGTTTGATAATGTTAGCTTTTAAACTGGAGAGCAGATAGCTGTAATAATAAAACTGACTAGTAGCTTATTAATTTGCTTGATTTAAATAAAGTGTGTCATTTTCAATAAAATTGTACAATCAAACATTAATACCTAAATAACTATTAATTAAATTACGAATTGTTTTCAATCTTTGTGAAATAAAATTCTTGTCTTCACTTATGTGAATTTCGCGCGTGATAATTGTGACTTGTTATTGTCGTCATCGGAATTGTTTAATTGCTTTATGACAGATTTGATACACTTTTCAATATTAGGATATTGACATGAATTTGGTTTTCAACACGAGTACAAGTGTTCCGATGTTGATGACATAGCCATGCAGATAGTCAGTGCTAAGATAATTTAATGACGCAAAAGCGCCTAAAAATAAAAGTTTGTTCAACGTTCATTCTTGCGATTATTATCTGAGATAATTTTGATAACACTAAATATCTTTTACAACTTTAAACCTCGATAAGGTAAAATTGTTAGCAAATAAAAAGTGCCTTGAGAAGCACAGTTTAAGTACAAATTAGCGCAAACAACTAATTTAGATTAAGAGATAAAACTTTTGTTTGCGAATTATGTTTCTCATTGTCAAGATAAATTATTTTATAACGTTTCAAAATATCTTCTTACTCACAATATTTATATCAACCATATTTTATCACGCATAACATACAACGTTAAATCTAGTTACAGACGATTATTTCAATATTTAAGAACACGTTTATGACCTCTCTACAAATAATTTCTTGCTATAAATTTTAAGTACGATAACACGCAATCTTGATGATAAAATGTTTAACTGATTATTAGTGATATCATTTTATAGATGTTTTATAAAAGATGAAAACCGTTCGAATATTTTTCAGTTGACATTCTCAATTTGTAGTTGTTCAAAGGAAGAAAAATGAAAACGTTAATTATAATTCTTATTTCCATTTCATTGGTGTACTCTCAAACAATCGGACCAGGACAGCCTGATAGCAGATGTCCACCAGGAACTTCAAATCCACCAGTTCATCTACCAAGCAACGATTGCACAGTTTTTCTTACCTGCATTGGTGGTCTTGCTTATCCTCAAGCATGTCCTCCAGGTGACAAATATTTCAAATTTCCTTACTGATCTCAATTAAAATTTTTATTTTTATTCGAAAAGGACAACATTGGAGTGTTCGATATAATTGGTGTGACTGGCCTGAGTAAGAAAATTTATGATTATAGTTTTAAAATTAATCATTAAAATTTAAAAAAATTATTCAGACGCGCCGAGTGCACACCTTCAAGTGGACTTCAGTGCCCACCAACTAATGATCCCGTCACGCATTTCCCACATGAAAACGATTGTACTAAATTCTACAAATGTGATTGGGGAACTCCAGTTTTGTTTGATTGTCCGCCTGGTCAAGAGTTTGGCCCCCAAATCGACAGATGTGACTGGCCTGAGTAAGAAAATAAAATCTGAAATTTCTTTTTAATTTAAAATTTTACAATTTGTTTAGAGTTGCTCAGTGCTCAGGCACAAGTGGACCTCAATGTCCACCAACTAATGATCCCATCACACATTTGCCACATGAAAGAGACTGCACGAGATTTTACAAATGTAATTGGGGAAATCCAATTGAATTTGAATGCCCACCAGGTCAGGAATTTGGCCCCCAAATCGGTAGATGTGATTGGCCTGAGTAAATGATGAAAACATGCAAAAATAAGAAAATTAAGGATAATATAAAATTTATATTTCTTTAAAGGTATGCAAATTGTAATTTAGGAGGAGGTGGAAGTGGAGAAGGTGGAAATGGCAGTGGAAGTAAAGGCAGTGGAAGCGGAAGTGGAGAAAGCGGGAATAATAGTGGATGGTCAACCAAATCGAAGTCTAAATCGAAGTCTAAATCCAAATCTAATTCCAAATCTAAATCCGGTTCAGGCGAAGATTGCTAGAAAAACTAAAAATTATTTCGCTAAAGCTAAAATAACATTCTACATTCTTTAAAAGTAGGACTAAGACAAGATCGATCACTGTTACAATTATAATTAACACCAAAATCAGATTATCTGTATGAAATTGTGTTAGCAATAAAACTTTTATCTTATCGAAATAAATTAAAAGCAGTTTAAAAGATTAGAAAAATATGTTTGAAGAGCATCAAATAAAAGTCAGAAATGAAGAAGACCCGAAGATAACTTTTAAGTGAAAAGTTTTTTCGATGCACTGTTAACGGATTTATCAGATTTTTTGTTGATTTTATCGTTTTAAATATTTATCGCAAAATGTCACTCAATAATTGGGTAATTAGAGTATTATGAACATAGTAAAAAACGGGGAGTATGGGAGTATGATGAACACACTTAATTTCAAATGCGATTTTCTTCGCTATTTTACATTTTGATGGCTCAACACTTTTCAGAAAAGTAGAGTAGAAAGACCCAAAGTTCTTCTCTGAAAAGTTTTGAGCTATAAAAGTTTAAAATAGCGAAGAAAACCGCATTCAAAAATAAATGTGTTCACAATAGTCCCAGTTTTTGACTGTGTTCAGAACTGTCCGTTTGCCCAATTTTAAAATTTTTTGTAAATAAAAATGCTTATCGCAATCAATGTCTTAAAACTTTTTTCATTTATTGCTACTGATAATGATATTTCAAAGAAATATTCTAAAATTACCAATTTGTTCACTATGATTTGAGTATTTCAACCCCGATACTGACATTCTCCAAGTGCGTAAATGAAAAAAATTGTAGATAAAGATTGTTAACTTAAAATAATCTCAAAAATCTTGCAACGCACTTGATTCTTTTTGCTGGTGATTTTCTTCCTTATCAATCGGAAACCAAACACATTTCCTTGTCGTGAATTTATCAATTTTAATTCTTTTTATAACTTTTTATGATTGATCTGAGACGTCATTAAATGTGCGATTAAAAAGTCGTTAGAGTTAAAGACTATTCCAATAAAATTTTATTTTTTTAATTTATTAGGTATATTCCTTAATTAATGCAATTTAACTAATTAATTATATTAAATCTCGGACATTTTATGGCCATTAAATTCATTTTCACATCCAAAGGATTAATTTTTTGACAGCATTAGGAAAACATGTGTTAATAATTCGCAGATGTTGAAATTCTTAGAAAATCCCGCTAATTTTTTTATTACCTTTTAATAAGGTGCATGTGCATCAGGATAAGAAAAAATCTATATAAGCCAGGATATTTTCAATCCACTTTTATTTCGTGATTGTCATCAAGAGAGAAAGGACGTAGAAGAAATTTAAATAATTTTTATTAAAACAAAATAGTGAAAGCTTAAAGTTTAAACATGGACCGCAATTCAGCTTCTTCATATAACCAATTTGGAATCAAAAGAATGAGAATCTACGTACCGAAAACTAAAACAACGGACAAAACAAATGAATCTTTTCCAAGCGGCAGTTCGGAAGAAGAACCTTACGATTGGTTTGGAATGCAATCATTCGACAGCGTAAGGTCAGAAGAAGAATCTTACGATTCGAATGAAGTGGAATCACTCGACGGCGACATGTTGGAAGAACTATCTTTTGATTGGAATGAAGTGCAATCATTAGGCAACGACAGTTTGGAAGAACAATCTTTTGATCGGAATGGAATGGAATCATCCGACAGCGCCATTTCAGAAGAAGAATCTTTTGATCAGAATGAAATGGAAGCAATCGACAGCGACATTTCGGAAGAGTCTTCCGATCAGGATGGAATGGAATCAATCGACAGCGACAATTCGGAAGAACAAACTTTCGATTGGATTGGAATGGATATCGACGATACTGCCGTGGAGTTTGCGATTTTATTCTACGAAAACGTTGGAACTTATTATGGCAATATCTTAGAAGAACATAAAATTTGGCAGCTGCACGAATTCAAAAGAAAGTTCCGGAGCGCTGTGGAAGTGAAGCATATTCTCTTGACTGACATCATCGCTTTATCAATCAAGAACTACTCATATAATCCAGAATTATTCGTCGATTTCGTCGAGATTCTATTGGAGAATGAACCTGATTCAGACATTCCAACATTGACAATACCTCAGTTGAAATCAACCATAGCAATGTTGCTACAAAGCCTCGATTTACGACGTCAAGCAAAAAAGGGATTCTTGGTTCCTTTCCTCGCTAGCGCAATGCATCGAGACATAATAAAATTCGAGGACATCGAACATTTGACCGAAAGTTTAAACGACGACATCATCCGCCACTTCGATTATATGGATGTTATCGAAGAAGAAATTATCTTCATGAAGGAGATCTTTCAAAATCCTGAATTGTCGTCAACAATTGCAAATGCATTGCCATTATAATTACAAGACTGGCCGGCAATTACAGTGAACTTTCTTTATAAGAATTTTGAAGGGAGTCACCTATAAAAAGCTTCTTCCTATAAAGAACTTTTTTGAATATTACTTCTTAATATGAGTGTGTGGCTTATAAAGAGCTTTTTACTTATAAGGAGAATTCTTATAAAGAAAGTCCACTGAATTATAACATTGAAATATTCTTGCATCGCTGATTTAGAAGCTTCTAAATCATTTTTATTTTCAAATTTATCAAATTTCTTATTTCTTATTTCTTATTTTATCAGAAAACTCAATTGACGAAGGAAATTTCCTGATCTAAATTACTGGCATTGAAGTTTCTTGTTTCTTTCCTTATTCTACTTCAATGTTGACGTGACTGATGATTATCTAGTCGAGTCAAAATTCCTAAAAGTACAAAAAAAAAAAATGTGAAAAATCTCGTACAAAATAGTTGTTAATAAAAATCCAAAAAAAATTAATTAATGAACTTTTGAATGCTATCTCAAATATTTTTTTTTCAGAATTTCTGATTTAAGCTGCAAATCAACATGAATCTTGATGGAACCTGTAAAAAATCATAAAATGCTAGTAAATAATAAAAACTACGCTGTTTTGTAAAGCAGTCAAGTTTTTCTATATTTTTGTCATTTATTTATAATTATTTTTCAAATTTTATATCTCATTTTTGTACAAACAAACTTCAACAATTTTTTAGTTTTTTTATCTCATGTTTTAATTTCTTTGATCTTAAATATTTCATTCATGTAATAATAAAGTTTTCCATCTCTTGTTGGTTTTTTCTTTTGTTTTCTTCATAATTTCTGTTTGAGGACATAAAATGAAAATACGAAATTCAAAAAAGAGATATTTATGTGGAATATTTGAGAATCGTAGATGAATATACAAGTAAAGTTTCGGCGTTTGCTTTGCTGGAGTTTTATTATAGATATTAAAAAATAATAAAGAAAAAGGATGAAGAGTGCAACTACCTGTCATTAAATGAACATTTTTTCCTTAAAAAAATAATACAAAAGTAATAAAATGTTTCTTAATTGTTCTGTTTTATTACTAAATTGAAATTAAATATTCTGAAGGAGTGAACATTTCATGAAAACAAGCTCTGAAATCAACTAAAATTCATACATACAAAATTGATATGTTTTCATTTCACATAAAAATCAAAAATTTAAATTAATAAATCATGAAATTAATGAGCAAAGCATTGATCAACATTCAGACAAGATCTCAAGGGATTTATGTGAAAGTGGGAAGCAGAAATTCCTTGAGACCGGTCAGTTTCTGCTGAGATTACAAAAATCAATGAATGTTTTGTTGCTTACGTCATTTAAGGAAAATTTACTTGCATATCTTCATTTGATTATTTTTTGTCGTTTTCGGGGAGTTTAAAAAATGAAATCTTTTTCTTTTTCTTATTTATAATATTCTTCTTCGTTTTATTATGTTGTGCATATTTTTTTTATTTATTATTCTTAGTTTTGCTCTTAGACTTTCAGCGACTTTTAATTATGCTAAAAATGTAATATATCGTGGAAAATTCTTAATTGAGAAGAAAATCAAAAACTTTTCTAATTGTTTAGTTTTTCATTTCTTTTCTTCTATTTATGTTAGTAATTCGCATTGAAAATAACTTTTTTTTTGGTTTTTCTTTTACATTTTCTTTCATGAGATAAGTTAAATTTTCTTCTTGTAAATAAGCAAAAATCCAATCGCGAAAGAAAATGGCAAGGAGGAAAAAGTTCTGAACGCGTGGATGAAAATTCAAAGATAAATACGTTGTGAAAATTATTTCGCATTGTAATAAAAATTAGTTCGTTGTTTCACATGAACTTTCTTTTTTCTTAAGTTTTTCCATTATTTTTCATCGTTTTTGGTCTTTATTTTCAATTTTTTTTTGTGGGAGGTTGAAGAACTATTTCATGCATATTTACTCCTAGAGATTCATTCTGTCGCTGTCGAAGTTTAAATACTCTGATCAATTTAAAGATGTTCACAATAAATCGAACTTCTTTCACAAATAGAAAAATTCATTTTTGTTTTCTCAATCCTAACTCACAACAACAAAATATTTTTCGACGATCGTTCTTTGCAAATAAAATCACATTTAGCTTCATTTCTCTAGCTACAGACTAAATAATTTCTTATCGCTCATATCCTTTCTTTTCTCTCTAATATAAAGAACTATTCTTTCTATTTAAATACATTCACATTGGCTATCTCATATCTGGATATGAAGCAAAAACTTAGTTAAACTTTGATGTTTTCAAGGAAACAGTAAATAAAATTCATTCTGGAATAAAGTCAATAGAAATAGAAAACTTTGTTAGATTATTAAGGAAACATAAATTATTCGTGAATTATTAAAACTCTCCATAGAAAATATTCTTGAAAAGCTCGATTTGACAATGTTCCTTTATCTCGTTCATGTCTTTCTTTCGAATGATCCCGTAAAGTTATGTTAATGACATAGAAACAGTGAAAATTGTAAACTTTTAAATGAGCTGGTTTGAGTATTTTATCCACTCGTTTACAAATTATTAATTGAATCTTTTTTTGTTTTGTTATTACAAAGTCTTCAGTGGATATTTTCCTAAGAAAAAACCTATTTAAAGATTAATTAAATATCAATCAGTGGACTTTCTTTGTTTTGCTTTCATGTGAAGGAAAATAAAATGTTTTTTAATAAAATTTGCGATTTATCTATCTCGATTCATTCCATTAAATGTGTCGTTATCATTCTCAGAAATGGACATAAGTTTCTGTTAAGTCTCAAGCAGATATAGAGATCAAAAAGTAGATCTTTTCCTTCAACAAATTGAACCGATTTCCCGCACTTCTCGTGTTTTTTTACATGTTTAAGTTTAACTTTTCTTGCGTCATCAAAAATATCAAATAATATGAATTAAAAAGTTGTGTATGTGCGACTTTTAAACTGCTTTTTATCATCTTCTTCGTTAAAAATTTTAATAATTTCTGTTTCATTATTTTCTTATATTTGATTTATAAAAAGCCTTAATTTTAACTAAGCGATTTTTTTCGTATTTTCTCTTCATAATTTGTTAATTATTTTTCATTTACATTTTGCCTTCACTTCAGGTTGACTTAAATGGGATTTCTGTCTTAAGATATACTTTAAGCCAATGATGAAAAAGACTTTGAGAATTTTTTATTTATAATTAAGTTTTTCATCTTAAAAATGCTTCACACTCTTTGCTCATGTTTTAAGGAATTCGAAAAAATTGATTTTGAAAAGAAAAATAATTTTCTATTTCTGCTTCCATCGTTAGTCATTAGATATATAATAAATTTAAAGCTTTAATTTTTGTTTTTTTTTAACTTTTACCTCTTAGAAATCCATTTTACATTTATAGATATTTTTCTTCTTAGTTTTATTTAAATATATTAATGATACTCTTTCCAACTCTGCTTTTGATCAGATCTCGTTCTTTGTTCATGGGTTCATCTCATGCTCCCAATGATCTCTCTGGTGACTGAGCACGTCGACATTGTGTGATGATCCATCCACATACTTCACATCAACAAACGCATTTGCATCAATTTCTTTAATTAAACTTTCTTCTTCATCGTTGCGGGTTTCTATTTCTTGTTTCATTTTATTAAGTTTTGGTTTATTTTTAATTATTTAAAGTAGGGCTTTTTTTATTTTTTGACAAGCGGTAAAAAAGCATCATTAATAAATTTAAACTGCTTCAAATTTTGTTTTAGTTATTATTAATATCATCCTTACTTAACAACAAAGCGAAACAAATAAAAAATTATTGCGTATTTTTTGTGTGGGTGAGTGATATTTTTTTTTTCATTTTCATTTATGTTTTATAGCATTTTTTGCCTCATATTAATCTCAATATTTTAATTAGATTCCACGTCTGTTCTTTCTTTGATTGGTATTTTCATATTAATTCGTTTAACTAGTTTTTTTCTTGTCATTGTCATACATTTCTACTGGCAATATTTTTTGGTTTTATATCAATGTCAAACATAATTTCACTTGAACTCGTCGCTTTTGAATCACTGCTCCTTATCCATATAATATTTATAATAATTTGTCTTCTTAAACACTCTGTTTCACTTAATCACTCGATTTTTTTATTTTCATTTGTCACTTTTTGTTTTGTTCCTTTATTTTTTGTTCGTGGTTCTCTCTCAACTTGGCTTGTTTTTACTCCACCGTTGATTTAAAATCTTTTCATATTCGCTTTGCAGTTGCAAAATATATTCTACACAAGAAAGTTTGATAATAAATTGAGAGAGAAGAAGGTTTGGAAAAGATTAAAATGTTTTGTTTTACAACAATCGGGATTGGATTATTTAATTAATTTCATTTATTTTTCATCCCGAAGCGAGAGAAGAGAAGAAAAAGTTCCCATTTGCGGATTAATTGTGAAATGCGTTGGATGATTGTGTGTGAAAAGGTCCCAGGCACCAATTTTGAAAATTTGAAATAAGAAGAAAAAAAGAAAGAACAAAAATTAAACGACGAACTTAAGTTTTTACACAGCAATTACGATTGATATTTTGATATTAAATATTATTTATGATTAAAAATATTTTCTTTTTAAAAGTCTCTTCTTTTTTGCTCACGTTGCTGTTTTGTATATTAAAAATAGCAAAAGGATTGTGGGGGTGAGAACAACTGCGTTATGTACTAAATGGTCTCTTACACAAATTTAATTTTATCTTGTATTAAGGGGGGAAATGAATTCTAACTTTAGTCCGAAACATGGTCAAATATCTAAATTTTCTTTTCTGTTTTATCTTTCTCAAATTATCTCAATAATGTTCGTTTTTTTGCTTTTTTTTTAAACTTTAATTACACGGCTTCTAATAATCAAAAGAAAGTTTATAATTAACATAAGAGATTGAAAAACGAAAATCAGACTTTAAAGTGGAATTTTGCCTATCAATTAATTTGCAACTACAAACATAAAAAGAAGGGAGAAATCATAATAAGATGTATCGGAAATGATAAGAAAAGTATAAGAAATAATTATTTGATCTTTTGGTTTTGTTAAGTTGTAATAATAAGAGATTAATAATAGAATTACTTTTTAGTTGCTTAGTAGTTAATTGTTGCTTAAAGGTAGCAGGTAGTCTACGCATCTTATTAATTTTAATGGCAGTCAGCATTCCTTTTTTCTTTTAATTGTTATATTAAATTTGTGATATTAATAATTCGGGAGTAAAAATTGAAAACAGTGAATCATTTATATAAAGTTGAAGGGTTAAAATCTCTTCCTGTCTGGTTAGCTCTAGTCCTGCATTCATTAAACGAAAATGATTTGCTTTCTGTTTTTGCTGTTTATGGGGTTGACAAAACTTTTTTCTTTTAGTTTTTTAACTTTGTTTTCCTCCGTAATTAAGAGAGCGAATAATTTCTTTTTATCAAAGTTCTTTTTTATTAATCTTAATCATACGATAAAAATGCAACTAAAAATTAACTGGTTGATTAACTAAACTTGAGCTTTTGATGCTTCTGAAGCTTTTGATGCTTGCAACGGTGGCTGCTGGTTTCTTTATAGCTCGTAATATTTTTTTTATCACAACGATCAAATAAACACGAATGTTCAAATGCATAAACATTGAAACCATAAACTTAGCGGTGATTGATTTAACAAAAATGTTAAATTAAAACAGGAATCAAATATTAAAAGTCGAACGAAAGAAATATTTACGCGAATTATTAAAGTTTTCTTCTTTATAATTAAGTTTCATATTATCATGTTATTTATTATTTTAAGATTAAGTTTAGACGGTGAAATATTTTCTCCCGTTCATCTAAACCATCATCATCATCATCATCATCATCATCATCATCATCATGTTGAGATGTTTCAATATTTTTTTTTCATCTTCTAGAACTTCATTAGAGAGAGGGAGAAGTAGGAGAGAGAGAGAGAGAGATATAATGCATAGAGAGAGAGAGGGGGGGGCGAGGCCTGATGATTCAGACATCGGCCGATCGCGATGCTATGCTTGGCGAACGTGAATGAATCACCACACGATGTCCGTTCTTCGTGACAAAGCCATCACTCTCTACTACAACAGTTGTCTGACGACCTAATTGTTCACTGCTACCTACGTCTTTCGGTGTTATTTTACCATCACTGGCATTAATTGTATTATTACTTGAATTTTTATTATTATGAGTAGTTTTATCATTTCTTGAATTATTTCTATTTAATAGAGTACCACTACCTAAACTACCCCCACCCCCCAACTCATTATGTGAATGTGAACTACCTAAGCCAGCTCCACCAGCACCACCCTCATGCTCGTCTCCGGTTTCATTTTCATCGCCTGTTCCTTGTCCGTCACCATCATGTGTAGCATGTTGTTTATGTTTGCGCCAAGCGTGCTGTATGAGTCGTGCACAATACTCTTCACGTTGACGCCATAATGTCGATGAGACAGGTTCATAACCGACTTCATCGGGACGTGTATTGACGCCTTCAAAGTCACCCGTCTCTTCAATAGGATTGCCTTTTCGTGCAAAGAAGTCTTTTGTGAGTGCGTCAAGAATATCTACACAAAACATCAAATCGCCTCGACAAATCGGTATGTCCATTGATATAATTTTATATTTATTCGGTTTATGTATTTGTAATGGCGGTTCAAGCACATCGAGAAATTCAGATAACTGATCATAGCGGATATATTGTGTGCCATCTGGATCGAATTGTTGCCAGATTTCATAATACATATCGTAGTCGTCGTCGGTGAGACCTTCTTGCACGTCTTCCGTTGCTTGCGAATAATTCTCCAAAATCACAGCGATGTACATGTTGATCACAATTAAAAAGCTAATAACAAGATATGACAACATAAATGTAATGCCAACTTTTGCGCTGCCGCAATTTCCTGGAAAGCCAATTTCAGGATTGGGAGGATCGCATTCGTCTTCATTTATAATGCCGTCTAATACACTATCCCAACCTGCTGATGTCGACATCTACATTTGTGGTGATCATAAGCAAATAATGTAGCAGATGAATTGTGAACATATAAATTTGTGTTTATTAAGTTTTTTATTGACATTTCATTGTTGTCATTGTTGTTGATTTTTTCATTGATGTGAAGAAGAAAAAAGAAGAAAAGATATTTTATTAGTAAAATGTATCAGTAATAATCATTATTGAACCACATAAACAAAGCAAGCAGGAGAATCATATTCAGTTGCGTACTGAGGTGATTTATGCAAATAAGTATAAGTTATACTTGTAAGTACATAATTAAGAGATAACATTGAACAAACAGCAACAATTATTAATGTTTTAGACTTATTGGTGGTGCTTACTTGAAACAGTAAAATCATACTCTGCCCGAAGGTTTCAAAATTGTAAACATCATCGATGCCGCTCTTTTTCTTAACGTGCATGAAGAATGACATACCGAATATGGCAAAGATAAACATTACCAAAAATAGCAGTAAACAAATATTGAATAAGGCCGGCAATGACATGGCCAATGCAAAAAGTAGAGTACGAATTCCTTTTGCTCCTTTTACAAGACGAAGCACACGACCAACTTTTGCAACACGTACGACACGCAAAAGTGTTGGCGATACGAAATACTTCTCAATCAAATCACTCAGAACCAAACCTAAAATAAAGAAAAACGATGGCGAAGGAAGAAAATTTTTGATGGTGATTTTCGAAGGTGAAGATCGATGACGATCAGAAGACGATTTTGATTGATGAAGGTGTCGTGCAGATTTTTATGTATGTTCATTTTGTGTGTGTTGATCAAATCAAGATTATTTGTTTGTTTGTTTGTTTGTTTGATTATGTTTAGTTTTTAATTGTTGATTTTGTTATATTTTTCATTGTTTACGAAGATGATTCGAATAATTATTTTAAAATATGAAAATAGAGAAAAAAAGAATAAAATAGTTTAGTTAATATTTGTCTAATCGCACTTGAGTATCAGTAAATCGTTTGGAAATATAAATATGTCATACGTACTTAATATGGAAAGTACTACCACGACAACGTCAAACAAATTCCAGGGTTCAACGAAATAGTGATATCTAAGTGCGAAAATTTTCATTAAACACTCGGTACTAAATATACAGATGAATATCATGTTCAAATAATCTAGTATGAGAGTGAAGATATCAGTTTGTTTGTAGTGATCGAGTGTCATTGTTAACATGTTGAGGCCAATGAACAACATAATGATCATGTCGAATTTCTTATTGGTAACTAATTCAAAAACTATTGCTTGAGGTCGCCACTGAAAATGAAAAAAGTTTAAAGAGAAAAAAACAAAGATTAGTTCTGATATTAAATAAATTAATTCAACATTATTCCATCGACAAAAGTGTGAATAATTAATAATTATTTATAAATATTATTTACAATTAATCACTATTGTGTTTTGGAATAATTTGAAATGTTTCTTCATGTATGTGTGTGAGTGTGGGAGTTTTCTTGAGATTGTAGTTTTTGAAAGAAGTTTTGAAGAAAAAAAATTCTATTCTAAATATTCTATGACGAAAGCATTCTGCATTAATAAAACGCGAAACATTTTCAACGAAATTTTTGACCAAAATAATTTAATTTTAATTTCTTCTTGAACATTTGCCAATAGTTTTAATTTTTATCCTATGAAATTTCAGGGGATGTAGAGTGCTTAGTTTAAACTACTTTCTCATTCTTAGAGGCAGAATGAATTACGCATGAGGGAATAAAAAGAAAAGGTACTCACCCTCGGTCGAGGAATGGCTTTCATTGGCTTTTTCGAACCCATCTTCTTCATGGCATTATAGTATTTCTTCTGATCTTCAGTCATAAACATCTCTAATGACCCTCCGGCTTTCTTTTTTTGTTCATTAAAGTTGTCAATAATAACACCAATGAAGAGATTGAGTGTAAAGAATGAGCCAAAGATGATGAAGAACACAAAGTAGAGATACATGTAGATGTTTGTCTCACGGATTGGTTGAAGATTGACCTAAAATAAAAGAAAATAATTTGCAAAGCTGAAGAAAATAAAAATAAATTTTAACTTACATCTCTGGAATCAATTGCGTCATTCATTATTTGAATCCAACCTTTAAAGGTTGCAACTTGAAAGAGGCACAAATACGCTTTGCCTACATGATCGAAATTCATTGGCGAGTTTTCCCACGAATAGTTTTCAGCTATGCAGACACTTCTATTAGGAATAATTTCTTGACTCAATGTTGTTCCATTTGCATCCATGCACTATTAGAAAGATTTTGTGAAATGACATGAAATTTAATGATTTGACTCAGTACAATTTCTTTTTTTATTTTTAGTTGACGATCTTCGAAATGTCCTTTACCTTGTAGTATTTTCCGGCAAATAATTGTACGCCCATAATGGCAAATATAAGCCAAAATATTAAACAAACTAAAAGCACATTGAAGATGGACGGTATTGCTTGTACCAACGCATTGACGACGACCTAGAATAATGTGAAAGTATGAGAAATGATTTCAATGTTTCTTCAATGTTACTAGTTATGAATTCTGAAATTTATTTACATGATTGAACATATAAAAGGAATAAATTTAAAGCATAATAGCTGAAGGAATGAAAACAAAAGCCCAAAAAAAGGTTCGCTAAAGACAAATTTGAATTTCATAGCTTTAAGCAATGCTGAACAATGAAAATAAAGCTAGAAATTAAATATTTTCTTTAACCGTCTGCGAAAAACATTGAATGAAAAATCAAATTTCAAAAAAATATCAAATTCACTTTCATGTTGCAAGAACAAAGTGCAAAAATTGCGTGTTTATTGTTTATTTGTGGGTGAGTTTGAAATATTCAAGTATTTATAAACATAATGAAAAATATTTTTGTTTTTGTGGAAATCAGGCATTGACCAATATCTCTGTCTTGCTTCTGAAAAAAAGATTAAAAGTTCAAAGCATTGTGTGTGATCTGGCTTTGAACCAACATGACAAAGTGACTACTGAAACTATATTTACTCGAACTCAGTAGAAAATGAACAAAAATGTATGTAGACAAGTTAAATGATCCGCCAAAGGATAAATATTCAACTGAAGTTTAAGGAATTAAATCATGTTTAAAATGGATGGACGACTTTCTTAAGATGATGCCTGATTTTACGTACCCTCATTCCTTGCATACGAGACATGGCACGTAAAGGTCTTAGTGCCCTAAGTGTACGCATCGTTTTGAAAGCTTGAATACCACCGACTCCACAAAGTGAAGCGATGAAATTGATGAGGGATACCTAACGAAATAAATTTTACAATACAAGATGAGGGTTGGGATGAAAACGAGAAAGATGTTTGAAAAAAGATTTAAAGTTGTCGATCGTAGAAATTCACCCCAAAAACCATTTTTATATTAAATTTAGTAAATGCGAAAGCTTAAAAGCCCAACGTTGAATCGCTCAAGTAGTTTGTTGCAGTTGGTGGAACATAAATTGCAATGCACATAGAAAAACATTTAAGGAATATTTTAAAAGATATTGAAGGCGGAAGATTAATAGAAGTTATAGCAAGAACATCAACTTGTTGTATAATAGGAAATAGAATTTTTTTCTTTCATTTGCGAAATATTTAAGTACAAGATAAACAACATTTTCGTCTCACACTGCAACACTTTGATTTATTACGACATTACTTACTCTCATGCCTTCCCAGCGTGACACAGCACGAAGTGGTCTCAACGCTCTTAATGTTCTCATAGAACGAAATGCTGGAATGTCAGCTGCACCGGCCATTATGGCGCCCAAATTTATCAGCGAGAGCTTTACGATGTGATTTTATTTATTAAAAAAAAGCTTCAAGCTTTTCTCTATTCTTTCATAATTATTATTATTTATTTTTGGGGTGTCAATTCTCATTAAAGTTATTCCGTGGAAAACAATGCATGGAATAGGAAAAGAAATGAACGATTTCACTTACCATAACGATCACGAAATCAAGCCAACACCATGCGTTTGTAAAATACACTGCAAAACCTAAAGCTAACCATTTTATCAACATTTCTATGAAAAATATCACGGTGAATATTCGATCCATATAGTACAATATATCTTGTAATATTGGTCTTTTGATAAGATGGACATCTTCTAAAGCCTATTAAGCAAAGTTGAATCGTTAATAATTTCTTCCATTCATTCCTTAAATTCTTCTTACCAATGCTAAACTACTGAGCAAAATCATTGTAATGACAGCGGTTTCAAAATATTTGTTCTCGATCAGTTGGAATGTCTTCAAACGCAGATTAACCCATCCTTGCCAGAATGGAGCATCATCGTCACCAGCTAAGAATGGAAAACGTGTATAAAAGTGTTCTGGGAAGCAGTCGGCTGGAGTTTCTTCTATCACTTCATCTTCTTCTGCATTTATAATGCCATGATGCCCAAGTTCACCTTCTTCCTCTTCTTCTTCACCTTCATCATCAAGTTCTATCATAAAAGAAAAGATTAAACGAAATTAATGTTTGACAATCGTTAAAACTTTTTCTAATTAATTCACCTTCGTCTATTCCCAAATCTTCTTTACTAACATCGCGCTTTTCTTCACCGTCCATAGTCTCAGCGCTACCTTTATGACTTTCATCTTTGAATGGTCGATTTTTATGGCTTCCATATGATTTAATACTGGCAGTGTCATCATCCTGCAAGGACATGCCTCTATGATTTAGCTCATCTAATCTATTATCTTGATGAGTGATTGAATTTCCTATCATCTATTAAAGAAAATTCGAACGGAACGAACAGAAAAACGAGTATTGGTAATGTCATTTTGAAAGCTCTTCTTTCTTTTCTTTTTACTCTTCTTTTTTTTTAATATTATCACCCCTTACATCCGGATATCAAACTTATCAATGCTAATAGATCAGACTTTTGAGTTACTATCTTTGGCTTAATGGATTTGAAGAATTTTTATGATTTTGTTCAATAATTTAATCAGATTACGTCACGTTTCATAATTTCATCTACTTCTCTAGACATAAACTTTCGATGAGGTTTGTTGCTATCTATTCTAGCTTCAAGCTTTAATATTCTTTAACCATTTAAGATCGAAGTCACAAATCCCTATCGCAATAACTTAAAGCTACACTTCTATTACTCTAGAGACGTAACTTGATTAAATTCAAAGATGATTGCAAGAAATTTTTAAAAGAGAAACTTTGGCACTTACTTTTGTGTTATTCATAAGTTTATTTTTCTTTCCTTTCGTCTTAAGATCACCGTGGATTGTGAATTCCATGCCGTCGCCAATAGCGACTTCAAGCTGATTTTCTCCTTTTCCTTTCTTTATAAGTCCATCAACCAAAATGTCGTCACCACTGATTTCAAGCTCATTATCGCCATGCTCTAAAGGTATACAAGGACAAATCCTTTTCGCTATTGCTTTACGTTTTAAAATTATTCAGTTTAGGATTGAATTATGTGTTTTTAAAGTTAGAAAACAGTTTGATGATTTTTTTTTTGTTCGTTCATTTACCACGTCGAAAAAGTCCATTTTGATTTCAATCATGAGTTTGAATTAAAAATGTGATGATTGATTATTTTTTTTATCAGTTTCGTTTTCATATATATAAAAATATATATTTTTGATTTGATTGAGTGATGAAAACCAAGACAGAAAGAAAAAGAATGAAGAGAAAGAAAATGATTTAATATTAAACTTGGTGACAGTCGGCACACAAAGTTTCAATTACCAATCAACACAGAAAAAAAATATTTGAAAATGCGTGGATGTTATTCTCAAAATCAAACAAAACAAAAATTGCTTTCTTATTGTTTGTACGCAAGATCACTATAGGATAGAATATCTTGGGAATTGTTGAATGTTGTGTCACAATATTTAATAATCTCACCATCAATTCATTTTAATTAATTTCAAAAATTATTATTAAAATCTTGTGACAGAATATTCAAGAAAAATTTCATTTCAAATCATGTCTCACAAACCAATTTTCTACAAAGATTTACTTCACGTTGGTAATTGAGTCCAAATGATTACACAATGATTACAACAAACAAATCATACTAATAAGAAAAATAATGAAAAGGTCCAATCAACTAAGAAATTATAAGTTTTGTGAATGGAGCAACAGATTTAAATCCACAATCCTACCAAACATAACAATAAAAAGCAAAAACTGAGAGTTTCATTTATGTCTTCATAATATTGTTTGTTTTTTTGTTCTCAATTCAGTATAAAAAACCATCAACCATCTATTCTAATGTAAACAACACATAAACAGAGCCAAGTTGTTGATTGTTGAATATTACCTGACGGTTGAACCGATATTTGATTTGTAATTTTATTTTTAAGTTTCCTTAAACCATTCATTATACTTTGTTTCACCCATTTCTTAAACCGTGATATTCTATTAAAGGCTTCGGCTATTTTATTCGTTTCTTGATCAGCTGTTGGTGCTGATAAGCTCGACGAACCAAAATTACTCAAAAGCAAGGCTAAGAAGAGATTAAGAACCTATCGAGACGAGTGAATGTGTTTTCAATTTATGAGATAAATTAAATTTAAAATGATACTTACGACTAGATTGCCTATCACTACCGTAGCAAGGAAGAATGGAATACACGAAACGTCTCCGACGTACATACAATCCCACATACTCTCTATCCATTCTCCGCATAAGACTCGAAATACGATCATGAACGAATGCATGAAGTCGGTGAAGTTCCAGCGAGGCATATCCCCATCCGGAAATTTACTAACATTATCTGTAGAAATCCAATCAATTAGTTATAATAAATGAAACTTTTATTCCATTAAATATCATTGGATGGTGCAAACCATGCATCAATTATTATAATAAAATTATCTAAATATTGGCAATTTTTTCAGCAGCAGATAGCTAGGAAAAGCACTAAAAGAAAAGGTTAAAGAGAAGAAGACTACGAATACCTGTAAGAAGTTTGTTTACTTAGCATCAAAGTTTAAAAGTAAATATTTAATTCAAATTAAAAACAAAGCAAAACTTTCTCAAAATCAAGAAAAAAAGAAGAAAGAAAATAATGAAAATGAAGAGAAAAGTGGCCAATGAATGTAAACATTTTTGTTTTCGAACTTATTTAAACCACCAATAACTTAAAGTTAACAACACCAATTATTTATGTAAGAAGATTGAAGCAAATGTTGCTTCAACTTACCGTGATAATTCTTGCCAAACAGTTGCATGCCCATAACGGCAAATATAAAGATGATAATGCACAAGACGAACGTCAGATTACCTAATGCACCCATCGTTCGACCCATGATCGATATTAACAGATTTAATGTTGGCCATGATTTTGCTAATTTGAAAACTCGCAGCTATTGATTGTTGTCAAAAAGAGAATGTTTTAAAAGATTGGAAAAAAAATTTAAGCATCTAAAATTTTGAATATTTAATGAAAGGATTTTCTTTTCTGCTTCCATTTTCTATCAGATCGTCATGAATTTGAAATTTCTGCTTTACAAATTCCTTTCAATTACATTAAATATTATTAAAGTTTCCAATATTCGCACAGCGTATTTATTAAGAAAAAAAAGAGGAAGAAGTGGATATAAAAACTGTGGTGTGATGCGTAGCATGTTCGGGCAAAAGGCGAGGTTTATGCAATTAAGTATTCGAGGCAGGCGCGCGCATTCAAAAATCGAGCAATCTTCAATTCCCATACTAACCAACGTAGTTTTTTCCAAACAGTTGCATTCCCATCACAGCAAATATGAAGATAATGATACAGAGTACGAATGTTAGATTACCTAAGGCACCCACAGTACGGCCCATTATTGATATAAGTAAATTCAGTGTTGGCCACGACTTTGCAAGTTTAAAAACTCTTAACTGCAAGAATGTATGAATTTGTTTTTCGTAGACAATTGGAAGCAGCATGAAGGTTTCTTTTCTTTCGAAGATTCAACTTAAGGCATAAAACGAACATTTGCGATACTTACCAATCTAAATGAACGTAACACAGATAAACCTTGCACGCCATCTAAGAGAATTTCAACTAACGACAATGCTACAATAATGAAATCAAAAATATTCCAGCCTTCTTGAAAATAAAATTTTGGACTCATTGCAATAAGTTTCAATGAAGCTTCAATCCCAAAGGTTGCAGTGAAAAACTATTAAAGAAGAAAGGAAAATTTAGAGAAATTGTCTACAAAGTTTGACGAGGTTTTTACATAATTTCCACTCTTTAGGATTTTCTCGATATCTTTATCCATATTGTGATGATCCAGTGCCATGAAAAGAGTGTTGATAACGATGCAAAGGGTAATAAAAAGCTCGACAAATGGGTCAAACACAAGCCATGCAATCCACTCTTGTAGTTTCAACCAGCAATAGCAACAATCCCAAACGCAAAAGATTTCAATGCCTTTGAGAGACGCTTCAAGCATTTTTTCTTTGAATGTTGGGCCATCTTCGTCATCTTCCTCTTCTTCTGTCGGAAAATAGTAGACGGACACTAAAAAAATGAAAGATTTTCATCAGTTTGAGTCAACAATGTTCATTTTTAAAGCATGAGAAAATTTTCTTCCTCGGAAAAGATTTTTTTATTGAGGAAAATATTTAAAGTCCTTTTTTAAGTTTGCTTTTGGTTTTATGCAAAAGATAAAGACAATTTGAAGATTCTTTTTATACCAATGAGTGTAGGTAAATTTTTATTAAATTTTAATGACTCACAATAGTTTTGTCATGAGAAATACAAATCGAAACGAAAGCTTTCATCATGACAATAACTTTGTTAATCTTCATCTAATCAACTATCTACTTGGGAAAAATTCGAATTATCTAAATGAACTCGTGCAGAAATTTTTAATCTACTGAGTTTGTGTAAGTTCAATACGAAGCTACTTTTTGTAAAGTGAAAACAAATTCATTATTAAAGTGTTGGAAAGTATTTTGTGATATGAAATTTGTGTAAAATTAAATGAAGGAAGAACTTTTTTTCTCGCATTCACTTGGATTGATTAAAACAAAAGACTGGAGATGGTGAAAAGTAGGAGAATTTAAGGTGTCAACGATAGGAAAAATTATCAATGGAAAGTTAAATAATGAATTAAATTAACAGGTAAACAAACCTCTTGCATTTAATCCCTCATCGTATTTGTGTTTAAAATGTTCACAAAATTATATTTAGAAACGATATTAATTATTTCTTATCAAACAATAATAAAGTTTAAAACCATTTGGAGATTAAAATTAATTCACTTTTTTTAAACAATAAACATTATAAGAAACTAGGCATTACATAATTTATGTGACTATGCAAAGATGAAAACATCGATAATTTTTAACATTTAAAATTAATATTTACAATTTCATGTCAAAAAAATTTCTTCAAGATATTTTATCATCTTCCTGTTCAACAATCAACATCGAATTATTTTAAAATTCAAAATCAATAATAAACAAATATTTATGTTAAAAATCTTCGTAGGAAAATTCACAAAAATCACAAACAAAACTCCACATATATTGCAATGAAAAACTCTTCACTCATGCAGAAATTGTGTGAAAAATGACGGGGGAGGAGAGTTAAAAGATGTATACATCAATACAATCAAAATATCAATAAGTTGGTTGATAATAATAATAAAAGATTGTTGCCAAAATTTGGTATCAATTTTACGACATAAATTTTTCGTACATCTAATTAAATTACAACATATACACTTCTTTGGCATATAATCATCATCATCATCATCATCGTTATAATCATCATCATTACGGGAGTTATTAGTATAAATTAACTTTGTTATAATTTTATAAAATTAAGTTTTGTCATAATAATAATAAAAGTTAGATATGAAGAAACATGGTAAAGTCTCACCTCCGTGATCACTTGTTCGACTATGACGTCCGGCAGCTTGTTCGATGATGTCATTCAACACCATGACATCTGAAACAGAATGTAAAAATGACAATTTTAGTAAGAAGTTTTAAAGTTCGATGTATTCATGTTTCACCTTTCATATCAACTAAAGTATTCGATTGGGCAGGTTCTTCGATAAATGGATTGCTACTTTTAACCTTGCCTGCTTCATCTGTGCAATCTTGAGACATTTCTTGCAACGACTGCAAGACGAGAATAGAAAAAGTTATTTCCCGCACGTAGAAAAAGTAATTTATGACATCTTACGTATTCTCGATGTCCCTTGTGATTTGTATCTGCATAAGAAGAAGCTGATGTGGGTTGTTGTTGGATAACGGCGTGACTATTTCGTGACCGTCCGCGTAATCGACTTTCCTTGGTCATTCCGCCTAGTAAGTCACCATGGGATGTGTACGATATCCGCGATTGATGTGACGTATAAGACGAATGTCTCGAGCCTAAATTTGCGTAATATACTGGAACAATGATAGCCCCGTTCTCCTCTGACATTGGAGTGACGGCATTGGAATCATCCGCATAGGGCAAATGTTCTTGTGCATCTAAATATGTTTGTAATACTAATGGTTTCCGGTCATTGCCAGGCACTCCAACAAATCTTCCACGTGCATTTCGGATTGTAAATTGATGAGAGCCTCGGGATCCTCGACGAAGATTGAATGGTGATCCCGGTAAGGATAAAGAAGTCTACGAAGGTAAAGGAAATAAGAAATGTTTAAATCCAAACTTCATTCTGCGAGATTATTTGCAATAAATTTTTAATGTTATTCTGATAGTTTTTTTTTTCTTTAGTCATGTTTCATTAATGTTTTGTTAAGAATTCTAAATTTCTATGTTTTCATTATTAAGAATTTTGCCAACTCTTATCTATCTAGCATCTTATTTTATAATTAGCTCCTAAGCCATTGCTTCAGTCTATGATGATGTCGTTTCAAATAAGTAGATACTGAAGAAAAGAGAAGAAAAATAATTCTAATCACCTACCTTTAGTTACTAAAACTTTCATACAAAATCGTGTTCATCGACCGAGCTTACTTTTTTCTTCTTTTACACTAAATTTCTGTTTTTTTGGCTATGAGAAATCAATAATCTGAACATGATTGATTGGAAAACATTTGATCAAGAATGTATCTGTTACAATGACTGGTGGTCTTCAATGATTATTATTTTTGAAGTAAGGAAAGATAACCAATTGATTGAAATGAAAGTTGAATAGTTGAATTGAGAAATACTACCGCAAGGCTTTACATAAGTAATTAAATTAATGAATCATATGAAACTTGATTAAGTACACACATAATGTAAACATGACTATTGTAAAATTTATTACATAACTCACAAAATTAAATAATAAAGCAGAAGTTAAGACACAAGTTGTAATTAGGTCTTTAGTTAAGAATCATGTGTGGGCGGAAGGATAAAAGGCTAACAAAAAATTATTTGCTTTAGTATGAATGGATGTAGGCGTGTGTGTGTGTTTGTTTGTGTTGAAGGAAAAGAAAGTAGAAAAATCAATGTTTGCACTTGTGCAAGATTAGTTATGTTGTCGCTCTAGGTTTGGTTTTTAGAGCTTGAACTTTGATGAGATTTCTTCAATGTTTTTAATTAACGTGAGTTCTTTTGATTATCTTTTACTTTTTAGTGCTTAAAAGATTTCCTCGTCTTATTCTTCTAATTAAACACAACATTTTAAGAAATGAAAACTTTCTCACACATCTATAGAAAGCTTTTATAAATTTAAGCTTTTCCTACTTTACAATTTCCTTCAACAACAACAATAACAGCGAATGGAAATTATGTTAAGTTGTAAACTATTGAGATGAAGGAAAGAAGCGAAATGTTTATAAATGTTTCAAAACGTATTACATGATAAGTACCTACATATTAAAGAAGATGATATTTTGTGTTGTAATAGGAAGAGCTTCTTTGTGTCAACTCAAATATATGTAAAAAATGTCATGCAAGTGGAAAATAATTTTAAAGCTTTGCTGAGAATGAAATGTTTAAAAGTTTTAAAGTCTTTGATAATTTTGATGATGAGAAAAAAGCAAAAATCAATAATTTAAACAATTTTTTCTTATCTACAAACCTAATCAAATAATGCTGCTCTTGATAGCATGCAAAGCATTCACTCATACTTACCGTGCTGACTTTTCGTGCTTTAGCTGAAGCAAGAGCTGTTGGTGCTGTTGTTCTTGTGATTTCGCTCACCGACTCCAATCCTTCGCTTCTAATTGACATTTTCTCTTTGTTGTTGTCATCATTTCCTTTTTCTTGTCCCACAAATAGTTCGTATGAGTGGCATGAGAAATCTGATGGGCTTTTGGCGATGTGATCGGGTTCATTAGCGGCTTGGGCTGCTGCTGCGGCTGCTGCTGCATGAGCTTCGATTTTGGCTTGTCGATTTGCTGCTGCTTCTTCTGCTTCCTGTTATCATCATGTGAGTGCATGAAAAATATTAAAATTCGATTAATTTCAAGTTGAAACTAATTTCCTAACATCTGAAACGCAAATATTCAACTAAAGTGTTTTGAAAATCAATCTACAAGCTTACCATAAATTTATATCAATTTTCATAGACACCAATAAGGATATAGTTTGTGTAAATATTATAGAATTGCACTCAGTCAAACATTCAAACACTTGAAACCAATTATTAACATAAAAAGATTATTTTTTTGTCATTTTTTTTAAGTGTTGAGAGAACAGCAATAGAGACGTGTATTGAAAAAATAAAGCAGTACTTGTCTGTATCAACGATACTGGAAGCACCATATTAGATTACAAAGCATAGAACATTGAATGAAATCATAACATAATTTTTTTTCATGTTTAAATTTCTCATTAACAACACTCATTGCGAATCGAGATAGTTTTGATTGTATGTATGAATAATGCATAAGTATCTAGTTATATTTACACATAAGACACACATAGTAAAACCACATGATCATTTAGTGATTTCTCACCCTAAGAGCTTCTTCCTCGGCTGCCTCTTCCTCCTCGGCCTTCTTCTGGAGTTCGTCGTACGACATGGCGACAATGGCCAAGATCAAATTTACAAGGTAAAACGAACCCAAGAAGATAATCACAATGAAGAAGAGCATGTGCCACGGTCCAGCTGATCGTAACACCTGATTTATTGTTTTTTCGACGATTAAATGCACACCACGAAGAATTGACGATCGATTCAATTTTTTTTTACAAGTTAAGTTAAGGGAACAAATGAAAGTTAAATAAAAACTTTGTTAGTATATAAATAAATCAAAAGAGATTTTCTTTTTCTTTTTCAACATTCAGTCATAAATAATCTCAGTCAAACGACAAACTTTACCAATTGATATAAGTTTTCCCAATAATCTTGTGTCATCAATCGAAAAGCTGAGAGGAAAGCCCAACCGAATGTATCGAAGCTTGTGTAATTGTAATTTGGATTTGGACCAAATCCTTGGAGACAAATATACTCTTCCTCACATTGGCTAAACATGTAATAAATTGTCCATTGAAGTTTAAAAGTAAATATTCTGTATGTGATAGTTTGTGTGATATGAACTCACCCGGCACCTGAAGAGTTACCACAAAGAGGTGGATCTAGTGGTTCGGCATCACCGAAATACCAATTCGCTGTAAAATACATAAATAAATTCGTTCATAATAACATTCTCATAGTTAGATTCTTACTTCTATTTTCGCAGAAATCATTCCACACTTTAGGTGTGTAGTTCCCCCACTCTTCACCTCGAAACTCCCAACGCCTTATGCATTTCTGTGTTAACACACCCATGTAGATTTGTAAGCCCATCAATGCAAACACAGACAGTGAGAACATTGTCAAAATGATTACATCACGGAGATTCTTCACAGATTCAATGACAGCACCAACGATAGTTTTCAAACCTAAGAGCAAGTTATGAATGTGTAAAGTTGAACATAACCAAATGTCTATCGTGCGATGAAAAATAAAATGAAAGTTCACCTGGAACGATGGCTACTGTTTTGAGAGCACGAAGCACTCGGAAGGTTCTAAGTGCAGCCAAGTTTCCCAAATCGATACCCATAGTCACGTAACTAAATTCATAAAAGAAAAATTAATTAAAGTTTATAGAAAAGTATTTGTTTTTAAGTTTCTTTTCTTTGTAGTTAATTTTATTAGTTGGTGGAATGAAAAAATTTTCTTTTCTTTCGAAAATGTGCGACTTCATTAGTCTTGTTAATGTGGTTGACGTCAAAAGGAAAGTTTCATTTATTAAATTTTGAATTGCACAAAGCAACAACAGAACAAGTACCTTTGTCAACCGAAACATGAAATATAAAAAGTTTTTGTCTGATGATATTTTAAACTTCTGCGGTATGTGACATTTTTTTATTGATTTTTCATAAAAGCTGTTTCAAGTTTTCATGAGCTTGACAGGGGACGCGGCAAATTTATGTCGTGGAGCTTTACGTTCATTGTAGATGCACTTAGCATTTATGTATTTATGTGCTTTTAAGCGTAAAAAAAAGAATAATTTAAGGAATCGAACTTCAAATGTTTTCTTGAAGGGCAATTGCTTGAACGACAACATTCTACATTGTAGATACTTAAATATCTAAAATAAAACATTAATTTGATTAATCGATATAATTGAACTCGATGGAGACAAATGTAACGGAAATTCTATTAGAGACATAAAACTAAGTCAACTAAGTAGATATCATCAGTTCTCTATTTGACTATATGTTGATAATACAACAAATTAACTAATCAACTACATTTATGTGTTCATCTAAACTGAAATAGACATAAAAACTCACGCTAAGGTTATAACTATGAAGTCCAACCAATTCCATGCATCCCTAAGATAAGTAAACGGCTGTAAAATGAAACCTCTTGCCATGACTTTAACACCTGATTCAAATGTGTAGATTCCGGTGAATATCACCCTAAATTTGTTATTAAGTTTATTTGATAATAAAACATGAATGTTAATATATTATAAACTATTTATCTGCTACTACTTAAATATGTAGACTAGAACGGAATTCTATTAATTTATTAGTACAAATGAATTCTTTTCTAATTTGTGTTTTTAACTAAGAGAAATCAATATTAAAGTCCTGAAGAATATTCAAGTCGAATACTTACTCTGTTGACTCTACCACGGGTGATGACGGCATTATCATTAATATACAATTGGTGAGGATAGTCGTAATGATGAATAACGAGAATAATGGATGAACAAGAATATAAATAGCTACGCGACGAATTGGATTGAACGGATCAAGCAGCCATAATGCGTCTGTTGCAGAAAAACGAAAAATATCTTTGCCTTTGCTTACAACTACGAAGGTCTGAAAACGAAAGGTTAGAGGGAAAACATTTAATTAGAATTCTCTTCCGACACTCAGCATTAGCGCATATTATATACTTTTCGATTTGCATAAAATGAATCAATATCCTCGAGAGGCGTGGCGGCCAGTTCTGGAGGGAAATTTCCCTGCATTCGAACAGGAATGGGAACACCCTGTTCGAGTGTGGGGTCGGGTTGAGGGCCTTCATCTTCATCTTCATCATCATATCGTATCTAAAGAAAATAGTTTCATAGAAATTGATTTTAAAATTATTAGACGTTAAAAATATTTCGAAACAAACAATCGAATTCTGTTGCATAATTATTGAAAGAGAAACTAAAACTGAGCTAGATAAACAATTGAAATTTAGACTTTTTTTTGATTGATTGAAAACTAAAATCTAGTTCCAAAGGTTAAATATAAACTGATTCTCAATCATTAATGATATTGATCATCAGTTTATAGTCATAGAAAAACTTCTAACTTCTATCTATGACCAAAATTAAAGGAAATTTATCTAAGAACAGGTTTCATGTAAGTAAAGTGTTAGTTAGCAAGTGTTTTGTGACTCAATTTGTAATTTTTGCTAAAAGAACAAAAACTTTTCTCAATTATTTTGTGTCGAGTGTCGTGTCTTTAAATTTTTATAATCAATTTGAAACTTAAGAAAAAGTTTTCTTTCTGATTTTTTATAATTTTGCTTCATTTTGCGTGATCAGCGTGGCACTTTTAGCAATTTTTTTGTTTCTCTCAATACTGCTGTTACTTTTCGGTACTTAATTACGCTTCTCCAAAGCATTTTGAACTGTAGCATACGTGGTAATTACGCAAGCAAATTTCAAGGATTAATGAACGCCTCCAATTGACTATTAAGCGATTTGCTTGCAGATCTTTCGGTATTTAGCCATGTTTTGAATAAGTTTTAATTAAATATATAAATTGTATAATTAATCAAAAGAAAATCATTTATCTAATTACTAATCGATACTTGTAATACATAGTACAAACATAAAATCGGGAATAATCAAGAAAATAAATGAGGAAATTTATCTACAATTAGTTTAAGCATTCAATCTCTTAAGCTTATTTACTTAATTTTCGAAAGCAACTTTAGCAAAGCTCTTAAGACATAAATTAAAACAAACATATGACCAGATAGAAAAGCTAACAAAACAGGTCTGAATGAGAGATAAGAAGGAAGTTTAAAAACTGACATGTCTTGTCTCTCATCTGACCTTATTAAACAACAAAACTTCATTAACGCTTTCTTACAAATGGAAAATTTAATTTCTAATAAATAACTCGAATTAAAACCTCTTTAGTGACATGATGGAACTTTCTTAAAGTAGAAAATCTAATTAAATTCAAGCTTTTAATTTGATAATAAGGAATGAAAGAAGCTTTAAAAATCATCAAAACAAATCGATTTTAAATTTCGAGCGCTATAATCAACATTAAATTTTTATCTACAAATAGTTTTAAGTGAGCCAATCTAGTTGCGCTATGAATTGAATCTAATCAGAACTGATTTGCTTTTGTCTTGAGATTTTATTTTATTTTATTTTTCTTGTTGTGACAAAAGAAATTGCTAATCTTACTTCTTTCTTCTTTTTCTTGCGGCCAAAACCACTCTGGAAGAAAAACGTTTATACATAAATTGTTCAGGAATTAAAGGGTATTTCTGCTTTCTTTTTTTCTCTCTAAGCGATAATAAAAAAGAATGAGGGTTAAACTAAGTGTCTGAAATATCATAATGCATAAAAAAGAAGAAGAAGGTAACCCAAAACATTTTAGTCTAAATCTTTCCTTGTCCATAGATGAGTCCAATCGAATCCCTTTTTTATTGTTATCAAACTATCATCATCATTTGACTCCATCCTTTGCTTTACCTTCTTCCCAGACAGTAGTTTTAATGAGCAATGAATTTACACTTTGTGTAGGTATATGACTGAACTGAGTATTTAAATGATTAAAAGTTGAAAATCTATGAAAATCATTAAATTAATGTTGAAAAGAAAACATGAAAGTTTAGGGTTGATATTTACATAACAAATTTAAACATTCCAAACTTATAAAAACTTCTTTTTTATATCTTTTGAAAGCAAATGAATTTGCGACCATCTGCAGTGATAGCCAAACAACATATTATCAAGTAATTCATTAAAACATTGCAATGAAAATATCACAGAAATGTAAATATCAAAAATTAAATTCACACAAACTTAGATTTTTATGATACATCAAAAGCCAATTATGTTATTCACTTTCTCATAAAATAGCCGAATCATTAAACATGGAAGTTTTAAAACATTTGTATACTCATAAAAGTGATAAAACCAAACGTAAACATTTATTTATAATATAAATGACTCATATTTACAGATGTCGTTAAATATTGATAAAACGAGGTAGATAAGTATGATAAAACAATTAAAACGGTGAACAGAATAGAAAACATAATCAAGTTTTAACAACTTATGAGTTAAAGCTTTGAATAAAGAAATTCGTTTTAACCGAAAGTTGGCATGTCTCGCTATTGTTGATAACATTGCTTTACACGATATTAAAATGTCGAGGAATTCCGGACGCATTGAAAGAAGCTTGTCAAAATAAACAAAATTCAAATGTACTTTGTATTCATTCTACTTTAATCTTGTAAATATTTTTTTGTTCTTCTATATTCTTTGACAGAATTTTCTTCTTTTCATCGCAACATTTATTTTTGAAGTTTACATAAATGCCTGACCCAAATTCATTTAATTAGATATAAGGTTACAGTGTGAATAGAAAATAAGCAACAGAGACTGCAAACATGAAACGCGCCAATGCCGAGACATCTATGCGCATTGACGTGAAAATTGAAACGCAAATCTTTCGTCTGGAAGACGAAATGACGAACTTCAATCAAAAATGAAGGGCATCGAAGTTTTAAGTGTAGATATGATGCGGCGCCCTTATAGCAGTTTATCAAATTTAACAGCTTGAATGAAATTGAGTTTGTTCAGTGAGCGTAGAAGGGAACCATTAGCTTTGTCATGTCATTCAGTTTCTTTTTAGTGGCCTACATTTTATACAAACGTTTTCTCTTTTTTCATTAATAATTTTTCCATTGTGGGATTTCTTTCATTAACGCGACGCAAGTGAAAAGTCTTCTGTTTATAATGAATGCTCATACAAGCGAGAGAGACAATTAGAATGCCTTGAAACAGAAAATCGAGACGAGAATGTAAAGAATCATTTTTGTTTTGATTAAGTGAAGTGAACGTTTATATTTCGTCGACACAACATACTTAGGGACAATAATTTAGACACAGAAGTCTTTCAACAATACAAATTTGTATAACAGACAAAGTATAAATATTTATGTACATTTATAAAATATTTATGTCCCGTAGGACATGAAAAGGTTTCGATTTTTTTAAAGAGAAAAGAAATCTAAAGAAAGAAATGTTAGGGTATCAAAATGAAAGAACAATTGAAAAGAGAAGTAAAAAGCTATTCTATCGGATTCACGGACAGTCATTTAAAATTAAAATAAAAAGCTTTTCTTCGGATGTAAACTGAACTGAAGATGAAATTACAATCAAACGAAAAGGAAAAGGAATGGAAGACGTGAATCTGCTTTTCGGAAGGCATCTTTTGATTCCAATGTTTTCTACAAATGAATGCCTGAACAACGATAGCAGAGGGGAAAATCTCATGAATAATTAATTTGTTTGTTCACATGGTTGTAACTTTTGGGAGAATGAAGAGCTCATGGTGGAAAGTTTTTGTGATGATGGGAAGTTAAACAAATTGAGTTCAAAGAATACAACCTGTCGTTTAATTCTGATTACGAAGTTTTCGTTTGCGATGGTAATGACGTCAACATGTTTGAGTTTGATCATATTTCAATAAGTATCATGATAACGAAATAAATTACGCAGCATGAGAATGATGCTTGATGAGAGCTTTTTCTAAGCTACTCATGAATATGAAAACTTTTTTTGTTCATGTAAATTTTTAATTGAAATTATATTGAATTGAATGTCGATGGTATCAATCATTAATTATAATTATTGGAAGATCTTCTTACCTCTCCCTCAGCTTTCCTCTTCTCTAATTCCTTTTGCTTTTCTAATTCGTCAGCAATTCGAGCTTCGATTGCTAATAGTGATTCGCGGGTGAAGGGACGGAACAAGCTACGTTCTTCCTCAAGTAACGAACTGGAGTCGTCGGACATTGTCTATAACAGCCAGCGATGAGAGCCTCAGTTATTCTAAGGCCTTGATTAATTTTTCCGTTTTCTACATTAACAACAAATGATTAACATTTATCGTTAAACTACGATCACATTTCATATGTTTAACTACCTGCTAACAATGATGAAATAATAATGGGCCACTGAGTAGATCCGCACTACTGCTTTGTGCGGCTTGTCTACGGCTCGGGCCCCACGAGCTTACAGGGACGGCTGTGGACCGTCCTTCCAAACTATTAGGAATCAGGATCGCAGCGAGAATAAACGCAGCTACACGGCTGGGGCACAGAACATTCCGTTGAAAATCGAAATTTCTCATGACCGCCCTGAAATTGTCATTGTTTTTATGTTTGTCCGTCACATTAAATATTTAGATATCTAAAATATAAAATCGATAACAAAAACATTTCCACTCACTTTGAATGTGTGATAAAGCACTTTTGATATAAAAAATTATAGTTGCGACAGTTGCATGCGTGATGGTGCCCCTTCGTTCGACATTAACCACCCACGCTGTGGATTGAATAAGTTTCTAGAAAATAAATGTAATAAAAAGAATTCTTAATTATTGATTTCTTTCTGAGAAATTGTAAATTAAAAGAAGAAATTTCTTTAATAAACTTTCTATTAAAAGACATCAAATTATTATCATCATGTGAAGAACATTAAGCAAAACTGTTGAATATTTAATAAAGCTTAATTTTGATTTTTTCTAATTTTAGTTGTCTTGTTCGTCATTGAAGAAAATTGGTCAAAATTGAAAGACTTACTGAGTAGTTTGAAGTGACAAGCTTCTATTTTGTTCTTTTCTTTTTTTATTAAACAAAATTGGAAAAGAAGAAGAAAACTGAAACGTTTCCAATAATTCAACTTTAACGTCACTAAGAATTGTTTGTGAAGGGAAAATTTTTCAATCATTCAAAATTGCTTTTTGCTTACTTAGAAAAATGTGGGAAAAGAAAAGAAGTGAAAAATCATGAGTCGTTTTTCTTGTTTTTTCAGGCAAATACAAAAGAAGTTGATTGGATGGATGTGTCTTGAAATTTTCTGAATGTTTATGAGTTCTAACCATTGAACAACATCGCATAATTTATGGAACTTCAAGAAACTTCATTTTGGAGTGGATGGAAGCTTTTCATAGCTTAATTGGTCAATTGGGAGAAATTAACTGTCTTTTATATTTGTATATTCAGTGTGAGAATGCGTTTGGCTTCTCAAGAATATGTAAAAGAAAAACTCATAAAAGCAATCGATTTGGCTTTACTCCCTTCAAGGCTTGTTTGATTTATTACAGTATACAGTTGGGAAAATTTTTCACGCAGCGAAAGAAATATTGGAAACGAATTTGTTTGAACTGAGCTGCATTAACATTCAGCCTCAGACGTGACGGAGGAAAATGGTAATTTTTTACAATTTATCTCTTCGCAGGTATGTAAGTACAACTTCATAACTTTCACAAAAAGCTTTTTGGTTATAAGTATTCTATATGATAGAAAAGAAAGCCCGTGGAGGTTTCAAATAAAAGCTTTTAACACAGAAACAAATATTGTGTTCATGATTGTGTAAGTCATCGTACGCTCGTTTGATCTGAGGCAGTGGCATTCACGCTTATTGGGAGTAAACGGAGGAAAAACAGCAAAGATATTTCCTGTTTCCTGTCAAGAAGCTTCTTTCTGTAGAAACACTCCCAATCCCACCTTTTTCATGTAATTATATTCTTAAAGAATGTCTCAGATGCTTGAATTTAAAACTTTCTTTTTCTTTCAATTTAAATTAATTTCTTTAACCCACAAAAATGTTGACGATTTTTCTAAAGTTTGACATTTTTGTTATTAATTTTGTGCGAAAATAAAAAGCATACGGAAAAAAGTGTTACAGAAATGTAACCGCTTCTGCCCTTAATTTAATTTCAACTTAAATGTTATCCAGATAAGAACCGAACAATCCCAAAATAAAAGAGAATATGGGAATAAAGGGAAAAAAGCTATTCATCTTTGTGTGCTTAACGTGACCTATTTTCCTTTTCTTCTCTTCCCTTTTCAACATCACTCAATTTATGTTGAGATTCATAAAAATGACAGTTTTGAATATTATTAATGTCTTGATTGAACATTCTATGAAAGCTTTTTCTATATTGTTGAAGCCTGCAAGTAACATTCAGTTTTAAGCTTTAAGATGGAAGTGATTAAAATTAATTACTGAAATATTTTTGTTCTTTCTATACTCACAAGGGGCACATGAATGTGATGTATCGAATATCCAAAAGCGAGCAACGTAAAACTGCTGAATTTTTAATAACTATTTTCGCGACTGACAAGCAATGCTCCTGAAAATACTGTCCAGGACCTTACAAAAATATCCACTTGAACGAACTTATATAATGTTGCGAATGTATATCCTATTAAGCTATTGCGAACGGTATAATGTTTCCAGGTGCAGAATAAGACCTTTGTTGCTTACTTTACTTTATTATTTCAAAAAATAAATAAATATGGCATTAAAACACTTTTGACGGCATGAAGCGTGTACGTAAAAATTTAATCCTTTAATAATAATTTATGCTGTTTTGTATTATGAACTATGCTGAGGCTCTCTCACTTTATCGTGTAATTAATATCACTTCACGATTCTTTTTTCTTGTCTTATGGTTTCTTTTCTTGGTTGTGCTTGTTATAAACTGCTGCAATGATACAGAAAATCATTCTCATTTATTACATGCACGGATATCAAATCAACTTTTTTTGTTAACTTGACACTCCCCAATAACATCGTCATTGAAACACTATCCCCGTTTCTAATTAAGTCCCTGAAGATTGAAGAAAAATATTAGACATCATACAGACTCGTCACTCAACACTCCTTGAAAATAGAGAAACAAAAAGCTTTGGAAAATGTTTAGAGTTTAACTTTTTTTTTGGTAACCTAGACAACAACATTTTTTCCAACAAAATCGTTCAACTTTCCGCAATATTTCTCGACGATTATCCCTAAACATGACGTCATTTGTACTCATGCGCCAACACTTTGAAACATTTTTCATTCAAGACTTTTTTTGTTCGTTGTTCGGATCCGAATGAGTTTCATGTTTCGGTTTTTACTTCTTCTCATTCATTGTTGGGAAGTTCTCATAAAGCTTTTTCTTTTCTTTCTTGTTTTTTTTGATATCGTGTTGGTTTAAGCTTTCTTTACATGGACGGTAAGAAATTCAGATTGTATTGTGATTGCCTTTATACTTTTCTTCTTTTTTATTAATGCTTGTTTCTCACTGTGATAGAGAACTTTTTCTTTTTTCAAAACCACCATCAAGATCCTGAATATTTAAGAATCGCACATTCTTCATATTTAATTATAATTTATTAAGCCACGAAACAACAGCAAAATTATATGCTGAGAACTGCTGAATTTTTATGGCACCAACTTATACATGACAGAACAGGAGGGACGATATTTTTTTTAGTATAGTTTTTCCTTGTTTCGGATGTGAATGCGAAATGAGAGTGGAAACGGAGAAAGAGAAAAAGGACATGCAAACATGTCTGATTAGGCATTTTGATACTCATATTTAAATATATAAGATACTGAAGTTATCTTCAGTGAAGAAAACGCCTTTTTTTGTATTCTAAATTTAGATATCTCGTCATTTATTTTTTCAACGACCTCAAGCTATATAGAGAAATTCAGAAGTCAACATTGGAGTGCTAGAATAACCGAGTGTAATTAAATAACTACTAAACTGACTGTTTAATAAACGGCTTTCGAGTTAAACCCATTCATTGCCTTCAAATGAATTTATTTTCCCAACCCTTTCTGACCTTTAAGGCACCATCATGGAAAAGACTAGAAAAGAAATGTGCAACAAGTATTCAATAAATAAATTTACTTAATTTTCTTGTTTGCTTTTCGTATGTATTTATAAAGTTTTGGAGCTTCAATCGATATTTTTAATTATATACAATTCTTCATGCTCAACCTTTTTTTCAAATCAACATAGGCAAACGTTCAATTTATCACGAAAGGGACAAGCGATTTGTGGATCTTAATAGAATTCATGCCTATCACGTTTAGTGTAGTAGTTTCTCCTGGAAATTTGAGTATTGTGCTTTTGTTGCTCTTTTATTATATTATTTATTATTATTTTTATTTGCTTCTTTATATTTTATAGAAATCCGATCCAAACTCTGGTTTCTCAATCTACTAATCTTCAAATTTTTAAACAATTTTCTTAATTTACAGATCGATGAACATTTTTTCATGACAATTTTTCAAGAAGAAAATTCCGTGTGGTGTTTGTTCGTGTGTTTGAGTGGAGACGCCATGTCCTGCTATTAAAAACTCTGCTTATTGGAATTTCATATTTTATTTATTATGTATATTAGAATCGATTCAAAATAGAGCGTAATAGATCAACCGAGGGAGAAAAGTAAACTCAACTCGAAAATGTTGCGGTGGGTTTTTCATTTGTGGGCTTTCATAATTTTAATCGATTTATTGAATTTTCATACATTTATGGTGTAATAAATTATGTTAAATTAATTATTTTGTTTTACGTTCGATTATTAACCGACTATAAATTGTTTTGATTTCCATGTCATTATTTCATTAGAATCTTTTCATCAATTACATGCCATTAATTTGAAAATGTTTATCAGATTGGTAAATTAAGTTCATTTATAATTTTTCACCAAAAAATTTGCATTAACAGATAAAGAACGATTGAAAGTCAACTTTAATCAACTCAATTGAAAGTTGAACGATAAATAAATCACCGCCAGCTGAGAAAGCACATTGTTTATGTCAATTACATAAGATGTTTTCCCAATTGGTGCTCGTTTTATTCAATGAAATATTTATAACATTAGCAACATTTCTTCCGCAAAACTAATTCTTGGTTAAGCACAATACAATCGTATTTAAATCATTAATGCGAATGTAATTCCATTTCTTGATATCTACATTTCATTAACTATAAATAGACCATAAAATATTAGTGAAAACTAATTTATCATAGAATGTGAAAAATGGATAAAAAAATATTTTTTTTCAAAGGAAATTTCTTTTCTATATGCACAACATGGTGTGTGAAAATCGATGACGTTTATGTGATGTGAATGAATTTACATAATATTTTAACGCAACAAAGACCAACATATTTCTCCTTTCCTTACATCATATTTTTACAGGCGCAAGGATTAATATTTCCCAGACTTTGACCATGAAAGACGAGGGTTTATTGTCTGTGATATATTTTTCAAGCACTTGGATTATTGAAAAAAAGACGAAATGACATTGACGCATGTAAATATTTCGGATGTTTGCATAAGACAGTCCAACTATCTAAAGATCCGACTTGATGTTAGCCTTTTCTACATATATTATAGATACATTTAGCTAGGTATATATAATTTTATACCTTAACAGACGAAAATAAAAAAATATCCGATGTTATGTAACAGAAAGAAAGGAAAAACTTTGTTCCGCTACTCAAAATAAAAAAGGATTATTTTTCATTTTCTGCTCATTTTTTATTTGCATTTCGTGAATACTTGTATTTCGAAGCAAGGAAAATAAATGAAAGTAGCGGGCAAACATGAAAAAACTTTAATATTTTTGGGTATAAAAGCATTTCTATCCCCACTTGCTGAGAGAAAAAAAAAAGGCAAAGAATCGTTGGCGTTTTATGTTCAATGCTAAGCGTCACTCGAATTTTATGTTTGGCTGATTTAGAAAATGCGTCACGCTCGATATCCTGCTTTTGTTTGATAAAGAATTTGTAAAAATCTTCTTGAGATTTATGCAATGAGACATTTATCTTAAGCCTGAGTTTATTTAACGAAGCCCAACACACTCATGAGTCACGACAGCATAGATATTTAGTCTCTCTTGAAACATTCCCGCGAGAGAATCATTCAGAAGAGAACGATTCAGTCTTATTGAAAATTCATCGATTTGCAATCGGCAGAGAATAAAATCAAAAAAAAAGGGAAAATATATGACAGCGGAGCATATTTTTGAAGGTAAATTTATGTATTGAGAGAAAAAAGCGGTAGAAGGTTTTCAAGATTTTTAACATTCAATTTGAATACTTTTTTTCTTTTATCACTTTTCCATTTGCAACCCAAATTTTAGAATTTATCAATGTTTAATTAACTATTAACATTTTTAACAACAAATTATTTTAATTAAAGTCAAGTCATGGGAAGTTTTTCCTACCCTAACTAAAGCTTTGTCATTGTCTTTACACATTTGAAGCTAACAAGGTTCTTCTTAATTATGTATGTAGGCCATATCGATATGCAGAAACATTGGAATAAATTTTCTAAATATAATTTAATTACATGCTACTTCTTGTTTTCTTCATTAAAGCTATAAATGAAGTGATTCTGATTCTTGCTTCTTGCATACGACAGCAGACGGAATCAAAAATATGTTGGGTCAAGTTTAATGAAAGAAATGAAGAAACAACAAACAAAACAAAATGATAATGATATTGTGTTTGACTTTCAATGTCATCGAATCTGAATCATCCAATTAGTATGACTAGAGAAGAGAGAAAACAAATTAAAGCGAAAGCATTTAATAGAAGTGTAAACGGAGAATTTTTTATGATTTAGGGATGATGTAGCATCAAAATGTGTTCATTGATAAGCTAGAGATCTTCTGCATTTGCAACTTGATGCAAAGCATCACATGAAATGCTTGCAATCGAGAATAATTTATTTACACAAACCTTTCTCAATATCAAATTTCACAACAACGAAGCAACATATTTCTCCATTTCTGCGAAAATGAATTTATCGTACGACAACGAATACCATTAGAAAGTCTTGCATCCTTCATACAACAATAAGAATTTCCCTTCCGTTCCATCGTTTTCACAATTTAATCTTTAACGAAAAAAGGCAACGTCTTTAAGTGAAAGAAAGGAAAACCAAAAAAACCTTTGCTTGTGATACCAAAATATGATTTCAGACATGCGTACTTTGATTTTGACGTTGAATAACTGAGCACTTCTTCTCGTTGCTTTCTTTAAATTTTCAAAGATAATAACACGAAATGAAAGACTCAGATGTGGTCTGTTGTGTAGCTGAAAATTTCAGGAAGAAACTTATTGCTCATAGTTTCCAATAACTTTATAGTTATATGCAAGTCGGAAAGGCAAAGCAAAGAACTTGATGTAATGTTTCATTTAACTCAGCACGGACCCTTTTAAAGTGTAGAAAAAAATCATGATCGTAATGTAGCGAGATGGAAATGCGTAACCCCATGTAATATACAACATCGTCGTAGTGCCGCCTTCAGTGACATAACATGAAAATTCTTTTCACATTAAACGAAACGAAACTTATCAGACTTTTTCAATTAATCAATTTTTTTAAGAGTCTTATAAGTTATAAGATTCAATTTTTCCTTCACTGACGTTACTTTCAAAAAGGTTTTATATTTATGTGAACATAAGAATCGTGGTAGCAAATTATCTACAAGCATATAGACCTTAGTCGAGTAGAAATCAGAAAGGAAAAAGTCGGTAGATATAAAAAATATTATTAAAAATTTATGTCGCATGCAAGAAACGTAAAATTCTGTCGAAACTTTGTATATATTTAGAGCTTTTGCTGTGTAAGTCTTTCTACTTTTTTTACCCTTTGACTAATGGTAAAAATGATTTAAAAATTCTGTTATATTTAATAAGCATATATTGAATAATGTTTGTTCACTCTTGTGTCATTTGTTGTAGATTTCGACATTTTTCCAACAAACATATTTGTTTGTATAATATTAAACTTGTAGATTAACGTCGAATAGAACATTAGAGTATAGTTAGAAAGCGAAACATAAGCTACAGATAAAATATAAAATATAAGTGACGATCCCAAATGGAAAAAAGCGGACACTCGTGTGCTTAAATGAAACTACTGCAAAAAGCTTTTTATGCAGCTAGTTTAATAACTTCAATACATTTTTCAAGCTTTGGTTCAAACACATTTCCAACAATCACGCAACATATTTTTTTTCTATCACTTTATTCATTTTCATTCACGATACTAATTTTGTTGATTTTTAAAAACTTTAATAAAATAATGAACGTGTATGAAATAATGAAAATTACAATGCGGAAAAATTGTTTAAATTTATCGAGAAGAGAAAAGCCCCGAAAGCTTGCAAAATTCAATCGAAAATGAAAGAGAAATAACAAGAAAGCAGGAAGAAAGTTTACATATTTCCTTGCACAACTAGGACTGTAGTGAAATATATTCATAACACTTGTGAATCTAAACGTATGCACTACTACAATTGTGAAAATCCTCGGAAAGGATGTAAAACATTTCTTCGCTGCTCGCATCGACAAATTTTCTAAAGTTTTTTCATGATTTCATTCGAGAAAGTTCTCAATTTTTTTATTGAGGCAAAACACTTTCGTAGCACCCTTAAAAGTGCTTTTTTCTTGTCATATGTTCATCACGTATTCTAAATTAGATTTACAAAAGATGTAGGATGATCTCTAAAAATATGTTTTCAACACATTTTCATTGGAACCAGGATTTGAAACATAAGCTCAAAAGCTTGTCGCACAAAATTACTTTCGCAGAAGATGGCGACTTCAAGACACATATTCCGGAAGTTGTCACAAAGCTTCATGAAAGAAGAGAAAATGTAACTAAAATTAATTCTTTGTTAAAGTCAAAGTGCTTTTGTGACTTTTTATATCTTTAAACCTCAGGGGATGATGATTAATGTGTTTTTTCATCTCAATCATATTTTTCTCCACTCTTTTCTTATTTGAGTGATTGATTGAATGTGACTGCATAATCACAAACAATGTCTTTCACCCTCGCCTTTAAAGCATTGACATTATTGTCATTATTCTCGAGAACATTCATGTGCAACGTACCAAAAAACATTATTTGTCTAGAGGCTATCATTTCCTTCATCTCTTGTCTATTGTTTTTAAGTTCAATGGAAAGAGGAATTTAGAATTAATAATAATTTTCGTAGCAGTCGAGGCGAAAACAAGAAATATTTAGGACTATGCCAATGGAGAGGAAAAGTTGAGCGCGAGAGAGAAGAAAATGAGAATAATCAATATCAAAAGGAATAATAAAAAAAGCCCTCGGCAAAATTTTCTTTCTGGATTAAAAGTTTCTTTTTTATGAATGAATGAATGATGAACTTTTGGGCAAAACTTTATGTTTATTTTCTTGTGTTAATATTTTTTTCCGAAAAGCTTTTCCTTATTCTATTTGATAATTTATTGGAAATGAAAATATTCATTGCGTGGGTGGATAATGGAAAACACAAAAGCTATTAACGAAAAGCTTACAAATTGATTTAGAACTGGTAAAGATCCACGAAAGTTCATCAGATAAAATGTATAATATTAAACTTTTTTGTGATGAACTGTGATAAAAGAGAATTAGTTAGCTCGCTATAATTTCAGGCTTATATTTTTTTATTTCAAAATTATTACCAAAGAAACCTGACGGCATGAATTTCGAATTCTTAACATTCTGTTCGCCTTCGGCTAAAATGGCAGCACAACATGAAAATCACTTTTCTCATTCAGTTCACCCCGTCGAAAGGAAGTTTCATATCACACACATATTTACAACATTCAATCCGCAGTGCCAAGCATTGCTTCGTTGCTTTAAAACTGTAGGATTACAATTCTCTTCCTTTCGTTCGAAAATGTTCGGTCTATGTGAAAGCAATACGAGACACCTTTAACTGCATTGAACGACTAGCTTAGTCTGCTTGATTCCACCAATAAAAATGGCTTTATAGCGATCGACTCTTTGAAAAGAGGAAAATTTTTGGGTGGGTCAGACCAACAACATATAATATTCTCTTTTCGCTTGTATCGCTTTTGTATCCTTGTGATAAATATTTCTTTATCGATAAACTTTCGATGAAATCCAAATATTGGTTTATCCATTTCGATATCCATGCTTGATTGCGACTTACAAGGGCAGGGGGAAGAATCAATGAGTGAGATAATGAGAATGGAGTGAGGAAAAAATATGTAGAGAAAAAAATTGGCATATCCTAATTATCCTTCGTCTTCTTCTTATTCTAGGTTATAGCAAATATGGTTCCCACACACACAAACACACCAAGAAAGAATTTTTCATCGATTGCAGTGAAAAAAATTTTCTCTCTTTTATCGAATTTTTTTTCCTGATTCTTTTAATTTTCAGGAAAATTTCCATTTTCAAATATTTACTTTACTATAGGTGACTGCACAGACTTTTAATCCAAATTTGTGCCTTTCTCGACCCACTTTGAAGTAATTATCGTAACGAAGACGGAGAAATTTTTTCAATGACGAAGGGGAAAAAATCACTTTGAGCTTTTGAAAGCTCTATTTATAAATATTTCATTACTTTTTCATAGTTTTTGTAGCTTTATTGACTTCCTTTTATAGATTTTCGAACGAAGTTTTTCAAAACTTTGACCTTTTCACTTCACTTTGAAGTTCTTTCGTTTCTTATGATGAAAATTTTCTTTTCCACATAAAAAAATTTTTAGTCACACGAATGTCGATCAAAAAGTCACAAAAAATTATTTTTCTTAAAGTTAAATCGTCTAACTTGGCTTCTAGTGATAATTTAGTATGAAAAATGTACAATTTTGCAGTTTTTACAGATTTTCTTGAATTAAAAGTATTTTTTGCTAAAATTGTTCACTTTTTCACTACACCCGCTCACTGCCGATTTTCTTCTGAGCAAGGAAAAATTTTTTGGTCGGACGACGAGCTTTCATCCCCATCGTTTCACTAACACAACTTCAAACATTTTCCGAACGAATACCGACATAAAAAGGTTTCTCATCGCAGCTTTATATCAGATATGTTTATTGAACACGTAGTAGAAAAAGCGGCAAAACTTGGATACTCGCGATATATTTGTTTCTCTATCATAGAAATATTCTGCGCTCAATGAATGCGGTTATTGTCACATGACACACTCGCAGTTCAAATATTGAAGTAAATTTGTCATACTCTTTTTAATTTCTAATTCTTTCAAATCTCTTGAAAATTTTTATTTGCAAATTTTTATTTTGTTCAACAAGCTAAATAGGAAATAGATTTATCGAAAATTTTATTTCAGGTTTTAAATGAAAATGCTTTAATTAATTTTTCTCCTTTATTATTGCGGATGTTTAAATCAAGGTTAAATTAAAGGTATATAATTTTCTATTCATATTTTCTTTATGACAAAAATATTCATTTTATGTTGATTATTTAATTGTTTTATAAATTTTTCATAATATTTTTGTTAATTCTTGTCGTACGTCTTATTTTTTAACGAAGTTTTTAGATTTTAAAAAATCTCGAGCCTAACAAGTTCAAACCACTAATCGAACCTTTTCACATTTATCCGGCATCTACAATCCGCACATTTCAAAAATAAAAACAAATTGCTAAAAAATTTCATAACTTTTTAATATGAACGCATTAGTAAAAAACCTTTCGTTTCAATTAATACGAAATCAACGACAGTTTCTTTTGCACTGCAGTCGCTTCGCCACAGATGCTAAAGCTATTGAAGATCTGACAAAGAAAAATAAAGTCGTAGTATTTATGAAAGTAAGAAATTGATAAGAAACGCGAAAATCTTTTATTTACTTCAACTGATAATTTCAGGGAAATCCTGAGGCTCCTAAGTGTGGATTTTCTAATGCTGTAGTTCAGATCATGCGAATGCACGGAGTTCAATATGATGCTCACGATGTTCTTCTCGATGATGATATTCGACAAGGCGTCAAAGACTTGACAAGCTGGCCAACAATCCCTCAAGTGTTCATCAACGGAGAATTTATTGGAGGCTGCGATATTCTCCTTCAAATGCATCAAAACGGTGAACTTATAGAAGTTCTCGAAAAGACCGCTGGAATAAAGAGTGCGCTTACAGATGCCGCACCAAAAGATGAAAAGAATTAAATAAAAAGGAATGAAAAACAAATAGCAGCAGTTAATAGCATATTTCATTTATTGAAGCTTTATTTCGCATTTTGTTAAATGATAATAGTATAAAATGAAGGATAATAAATAACATATTTTAAGCTGAAGATGAACATGCAATATGAATTAAATCTCCATTAGGCATTCGAACAAACGCACTTTGATTAGAAAACTTTCGATTACAAACTGAGCACATTGTCAGTTCAGTGATGAGAAAGCTCTTTGATTCACATCTCATGTTTTGTTCCTTAATTTGTAAATTTTCAGCATAATAAAGTCCCTTAAGGATTTGAAATTTACGTTTTTGTTGAAGTTGATCATGAAGTGCAGTTTCAAGGAATTTCTTCAATCGAACCAGCGGAATTTTGTCAGGAAGAATCTGAGTGAAAAGAAATAATTAATTAAATGGTAACAGAAGTGATAATAATCAATCTTACAGCAAGTGCAGTATGAGGGTTAATGCAATTTGATTTGTTATCTAAAAGATCAAGAACAGCTTCGACATCTGCTTGGAGACATTTAGGATGAAGTTTCACATCAGAATATGGCGGCGTTGTTGGTGGATTTAACAATAAACGAATAAGAATGATATAAACTTCATGGTGGTTCAAACCTGATGCTTTATGAACTTCATCGCAATAGTTTATCGCTTTCTCTACATCACCGAGTATTTGAATGTAAATTGCGATAACTTTTTCATGTTTATCAAGTTTTCCCAACACAATTGCACGTTCTTCGAAGAGATCATTGTAGGGAAATTCTACGAGAATTTTTTCCGCTGCATATTTATTTGATGACTTCAAGAAATTGACAAGTTTTTCTCTTGTTTCTTGCAATTTCTTTTTCTTTTGAAAGACATTCTCAAGATCGGGATCGGCTTGATACTCAAAAACTTTTTCTTTATATTGAGTAATTAAAATGTTGTGGAAAAGTGGTTTAGTTTCATTCCAAACATCAATGATATGTTCGAGATAAGGAATGACTAAAGCTTTGTGATTCTTAAGTAAGAAGTCTAAGACATCAGCTCTTGGTAGATTCTCAACTTCTTGAATATCTTCTGTGAAAATCTTTAAACCTTCATACGGATGTTCTTGAAGAACCCAATCAGCAAACTCAAAAATTATCTTTTTATGTTCGCCACCAAGATGTTGTAAATATTGAACGGTTCTGTCATAATCGAATTGATTTGAAGTCTTCAACAACGTCAATGCTCGCTTATGTTGTCCCTTCGTTTGATACAAAATTATAAGTTCAAAGAACTTTTTATGAGACTTCAAAATCTTTTCAGACTCTTCCAAATGACAATTATTTAAACGAATCAATGATGGAACAAATGAATCATTCGTTTCAAGATAACATTTGAGTAAAGTTGTGTCAATAATTGAAAGAAGAATTTTAGGATTTCGTCCAAAGGATTTTGCATTGCTTTGAACTTTGTCATGGCTGTAATTAATTTGTTGCCGAACTTCAACCAAATAATCAATCAAAGCCATAAGTCCATTTTCTAAATCTTTATCAGCTAACTTAGGCATGCTACGAATCAATTCTGATTGTGTCATTGATGAAGACATTTGCCGAGCGACAACACTTGGCGGTTCACATGAAGGAAGTAAGTCAGGAAAAAGATTTATTACGTTTGTTGGATCAGTTTTGAGTTTGGAGAACTCCAACATTGCTTCTCTGAATTGCTTGTTAATGAACAAATCATAAGCGTAGAGAGTTTGAATTTCATGAGTCATCGAATGTTTATCTTCAGCACTTTCATCTGACATCGCAGTGAGTTGAAGTGCTAGGAACCATTTCTTATCTTGAAGAAGATTCTGACGTTGTGTAGCAATATCAATAGCTTCAATACACCATAAATGTGATATGGAAGCTGCAAAAATTAGTCCATTTTGATTTGATTTTCCACTTATCAGAAAACGAGCTTTTTGTAAATCTGGGATGACTTGTATGAGATTATCTTTCTCTAAGCCGCTTGTATCAAGAACTCGAACTTCAACCGCATCTGTAACTAGACCGAGAATGTAAGGCTCATCCCACACCAGCATCTGAGGTGGTTCACTCCAAGCAACAGTTGGACAAGCCTTGTTTGTCTTTGGATCTAAAACTGAAATTCCACTGTCGGGTTTCATCTTTGAACTTTTCACATCTTCCGAATATGAAGGTATTGTAATAAGATATTCATCCTTAACCACTCCAAAATACTTTTCATTATCGATAAGTGTCATGCAAGGGTCAATTGTTCGTGAAGAACTTGTAGGAAACAAATCCGTCTTTTTACGTTTTTCATTGGAAATCTAACGATAAATTTGAATTAACAATGAAGTTTTGAAAGATTAGCCATTGATCTACTCACATCAAAAAGAACGTATTCAGTTTTATATCCAACACAAATGAAATTTCCTGTCCAACCAAGAACTTTTGGAATGTCGTTTAATTCAATGTCGGGAGCAAATTCCAACAATTCATCTCTCTTCCAATACCAAAATTGAAGTTTACGTTTTACAGCTACACAAACTCGAACAACTAATGATATTTGATCTGTAAAATTTATAGTAAAACTTTTATTACTTTTCTTGTTACTCAAATAAATTCAAACCTGTTAGAGATTGTGTTCTTTGAATATCCATAGCAAATGCATTAGCACCTTTTGTTTTTGTTGCTAAATGAATCAGAGGAAAGTTATGTCTTGATATATCATTAACAGAAATCACATTATCAGATAAACTGAAAAGAAGATTGTAATCTTCCAGCACTTGAAGTTGAAGAATTGGTTTTTTGCTAAAGTTTTTGTCATATTGAAGAAGTTGCAGTTCCATACGACCATCGCTCGCTGGTTGAAAAGAATACTGTAGTAAGTGTCCTTGTCTGAAATAGAAATGAATTGATTTTCATGGATAGAAATTAATTTTTTTAAAAATTACCTTGTACCCAAAAACACAATATTTTTGTATCCAGCTATTGATTCGATTTGCACAGATATCTTTGAAGGCTGGTGAAGGATATAAGCTTTATGCATCTTGAAGAATTCACTGCTTTTTAAAGACACTTTTATAAAAATTACAAAATGTTATCAATTTGAATTATCTTGCAGAAAATGTAAACATTCTTTGTAGAAATGAGAAAACTCTACAAAGACACAAAATTACGAGTATGAAAATTATTACAACAGTATAGCAAGTTATCAACTCGTACACTAGTTAATTGCGTGAAATATTTCATACTTACTCGCATTATTTACTTAAAATGTCTGTTTTTTAACTGAGTTAAATGTTACTCAACTGAACTTTGTTTCAAACTTTCATTCCCCTTGAAAGGGCCATGTCATCATTTAAGAATAATTCTGATCACAAGCACTTTTGAATTTCACAATTTGTGCAAAAAGTACGCATTAGAAGTCAGTTTTCGTAGTGAAAATTAGATATTTTTCTTGTGTAAGCATTGCGAAACGTAAAAGTACGGAAAGATTCATTGAAAAATCATTATTTCTTGCAAGAACGTGAGAAATAGGAAAAAAAGTCACACCAACAAAAAAAAGTTTGCTTGATGTCTGCAGTGACTAAAAACCAAGACTTTTCACCTGCCGCAAAGAAGAGAAAATTAGAGAGTGAGATTTCGAATAATTCAGTTTCAACTGCTTTTGGTACTACACAGCACTCCAATAATTCTACGTCGGGTGAATCGCAAACTAACAATACCGTGAACCAAACTCAACAGCAGCAACAACAACAACAATTAACGAACAGAACAATGGCGAACGGATCAACGAAAAATGGAGAAATTGATGAGGGACTTTATAGTCGTCAACTTTACGTTTTGGGACATGAAGCAATGAAACGTATGGCTGCTTCAGACGTTCTCATCTCTGGAATTGGTGGACTCGGTGTGGAAATAGCAAAGAATGTCATTTTGTCTGGTGTAAAATCTGTCACTTTGCATGACCAGCAAAATTCTGAAATGAAAGATTTGTCGTCACAATTCTATTTAAGTGAGTCAACAATCGGAAAAAATCGTGCTGAAGCCAGTTGTGGTCAGCTTTCAGAGCTTAATAATTATGTGCCGACACTGGCCTACACCGGTCCATTGACAGAAGATTTCCTCAAGAAATTTCGTGTTGTGGTGTTGACAGATATCGATGAAGTTGAGCAAAAGCGTATTGCTGAAATAACTCGTAAATATAACATCGCTCTCATCATTCCTCTTACTCGTGGACTGTTTGGACAAATTTTCTGTGACTTTGGGCCCGAATTTACTGTCTACGATGTTAATGGAGCGAGTCCTTTGTCTGCAATGATTGCTGGCATTACAAAAGATAAGGACGGGGTTGTCACTTGTTTAGATGAAGCACGTCATGGCTTTGAAGACGGTGATTATGTGACATTTACTGAGGTAAGTTTTTTATAATCGATTATTTGGATTTGACCTTGAAATGAATATTAATAGCCTCATTTTATTTTTCTTCATTTAATTTCGTTCGTCATTACTTCAATTTATGATTTATTTTTGGATTTGTTTCTTTTTCTCTTGAATTTTGTGATTGCGCGAATGGAAATGCATCGCAGGTCGAAGGAATGACGGAATTGAATCAGTGTGAACCGATTAAGATCAAAGTTTTGGGACCATACACTTTTAGCATTGGAAACACTCTCGAATTCTCTGATTATGTTCGTGGCGGCATCGTCATGCAAGTCAAGATGCCAAAAATAATTTCATTTAAATCACTTTCTGATGCTGAACGAACTCCAGAATTTGTCATGTCTGATTGGTCAAAGTTTGATCATCCACAAAACATCAACATTGCATTTACTGCACTTTCTCGTTTTATTAAGAAGTTCGGCAGAAATCCACGTCCATGGAACATTGAAGATGCCAACGAATTCCTTGTCATTTGTAAAGAACGAGCAAGTGAATTAAATGTTGACGAATTAAATGAGAAAATGTTGGAAATATTCGCTAAAATCGCTGATGGAGATTTGTGTCCAATAAATGCAGTTATTGGTGGCATAAGTGCTCAAGAAGTTATGAAAGCTTGCAGTGGAAAGTTCTCGCCAATTATGCAATTCTTCAGCTACGATGCAATTGAATGTTTGCCAGAAGATCTCAGCGTTTTAAACGAAGCCGAATGCCAACCAATTGGCTGTCGTTACGATTCACAAATTGCAGTGTTTGGTAAAAAGTTTCAAGACAAATTGGGATCGCTCCGTTACTTTATTGTCGGTGCTGGTGCCATTGGCTGTGAACTTTTAAAGAATTTCGCTATGATGGGCATTGGAGCTGGTAAAGATGGCGAACTTATCGTCACTGACATGGATCTCATTGAACGATCAAATTTAAATCGTCAATTCTTGTTCCGACCTCACGATGTTCAAGCACCAAAATCTCGTGTTGCAGCTGCTGCTGTTAAACGCATGAATCCATATCTCAATGTGAAATATCACGAGACACGTGTTGGTGTTGACACTGAGAACGTCTACGACGATGAATTCTTTGAACGTTTAGATGGAGTTGCAAATGCGCTTGACAATGTTGAAGCTCGTAATTACATGGATCGTCGTTGCGTTTATTATCGCTTGCCTTTGTTAGAATCTGGCACATTGGGAACGATGGGAAATATTCAAGTTGTTGTACCGCACTTGACTGAATCTTACAGCTCAAGTCAAGATCCACCGGAACGTTCCATTCCCATCTGTACACTCAAAAACTTCCCAAATGCAATTGAACATACTTTGCAATGGGCTCGTGACATGTTTGAAGGTGTTTTCACTCAAAATCCACAAAATGCTTCTCAATACATCAACGATTCTGGTTTCATTGAACGAACATTGAAATTGCCAGGCGTTCAACCACTCGAAACAATGGAATCAGTAAAGGTAATTGACATAAAATTTCTTATCTCAAAATTTAAATTGTGTCATTAAAAATTTTTCTTTTGCAGCGTGCTTTGTTGGACGAACGTCCTTCATCATTTATGGATTGCGTCTCATGGGCACGTCTGCATTTTGAAGAGAATTTCAGCAACCAAATCAAGCAGTTGCTTTTTAATTTCCCTCGCGATCAACAAACAACTTCTGGACAACCTTTCTGGTCTGGTCCTAAACGTTGTCCTGATCCGATTGAATTTAATGCTGATGAAAGTTTACATTTGGACTACATTTTAACGGGTGCTAATTTGAAGGCAGAAATCTACGGCATATCTCAGATCCGTGATCCAAATGTTGTTCGTGAGATGGTCCAACAAGTGCAGGTTTGTCATTTTTTATGTCTTAATGAAACTTTAACTTGAAGTCAAATAAATCTTTTCTTAGGTGCCAGTTTTCGTTCCACGAAGCGGGATTAAAATAGCAGAAAATGATGCAGCCTTACAGCAACAACAGAGTGACAATGGAAGTTACGATCAGGATCGTGTCAAGAACATCGTCGATGAAATGAAGAACATGGGACGACCAACATTCACAATTACCCCGTTGGAATTTGAAAAAGACGACGATAACAATCTTCATATGGATTATATTGTTGCTGCTTCTAATTTGAGAGCTTTGAATTACAAAATACAACCAGCAGACAGATACAAGGTTAGTTAACAACTTTAATTTGTTTCTTTTTTTTATTTTAATTTCTTTTATAGTCGAAATTGATTGCTGGAAAAATTATTCCTGCTATTGCTACGACCACATCATTGGTGTCGGGTTGTGTCGCTTTGGAATTATACAAATTGGCACAAGGGTGAGTTTGATTAATTACATTAATTATTCATGACAATAAAAGTAAAATTTTTAGCTTCAAGCAACTTGATCGTTTCAAAAATGGTTTTGTTAATCTTGCTTTACCATTGTGCACATTCTCCGAGCCATCACGTGCGAAAGAACAACAATATTATGACACGAAATGGACTTTGTGGGATCGTTTCGAAGTTGAAGGTGAAATGACGCTCAGCGAATTCCTGAAGTACTTCCAGGATAAACATAAATTGGAGATTACGATGATATCGCAAGGCGTTTGTATGCTTTATTCATTCTTCCAACCGAAGGCAAAACTTCTTGAAAGAATGTCAATGTCGATGACCGAAGTTGTACGTCGCGTATCAAAGCGGCAAATTGCTCCACATGAACGCGCCTTAGTCTTTGAAATCTGCTGTAATGATGATGAAGGTGAAGACGTGGAAGTTCCTTATGTTCGTTACACATTACCAAGAACAAATTGAGATTTTTAACTTCTTGAGATAAAATCGAAGGATCTGTCAAAACAACATCAAATAAAAAATCACAAGAAAATATTTTTCCATAAAAACAAACAAAACTTAAAAAAAATCTGACAGATTCAACGCTGAAGATGATTTGAGTATCTAATTTCTCTTTCTGAATAGTTAAATAAATTTTTAGAGTTGAGCTTGAAAGCCGCCCGCCCATTTTAAAGAAGAAAGAAAGATTGAATGATTTATAAGTTTAAGGATTTTTTTTTGTTCAGTATGCAGCATAAAATATCTAACAATTGTTCTATAATTATTTGAAAAAGGGGTTTTTTTGTGTAAGGCGTTAATTACAATAAGTTTTTCCCAGAATAAATATTTTGTTTTGTCGACCCACAATATTTATCTCAATTTTCCCAAAACTTTTTTAAAATGGAAATTCTTAAGTAACATTAACTATTTTTCTTAGTCGTGGTGATTAAATGTTTTGTTTCCTTTACTTCAAATAGATTTATCGAGCATTTGAAGGCATGTAAAGAAGAAAATAAATAAAAACTCAAATTTGTTTTATGCAATGTCACGTTCATTTCAAATCAATTGAATTTTATGTAGCAAACCTTCAATCTAAGCATTAATTCATGAATGAAACTTTAAAACTAATACACGAATCGATAATAAAAAATAAAGAAATTAAGAATATATATACACTTTAAAATGTGAATTTCTGGGATTTCACTTGACACTTATTAATAACATTACTAGAAATTTGAATAAAAGTAAATAAAGATAAAGTTCTACTAGCAAAGATTTTATTTTCTATTTTTCTAATAACTGTTGGTCTTCATGATTTATCTCTCAAAAGTGATTTTTTATGTGAAGGAATTTTCTAATATTTTTAACGGATTTTTTAATTTCAGATTGATTAACACGCCTTGTAACAAATTCGTGTTACATACCTCCGTGTATTAATAAATTATTATGAATCGGTTGGTACTTTCCCACTGAATCTGAACTACATTCATATTCAATGGATTTACAGAATGACACAAGACCTCTTTTAATGTACTTTTTAAGTTCTTAAATTATTATCCCAACAATAATTCTTAAGTTTTTGAAAAAAGCTTCATGTCAATCAATGTGACAGAAGGAACTTAAGAAATTAAATATATTGTTATGTTATGCGCATTTTTCTGTCAACGACGTTAATAAAATAGAATTCCCGCTTTTATATGCAATTTTAAGATTTAATACAATTCAGAGAAGATTAAAATTTAAAAAGTTTGATTAAGATTTTTAATCTTTTTCTACCCTTGAGCTACAAATCTTATTTCATCCCTGCTATAAGGTGAGAGATGCAAAATACCTAAAAAAAATTTTTTTCGCATGAAGCATTTCTGCTTTCGACTTTTTTTGTTGCTCGAGTTTTTGTGAGCAGCAATAATACAACAACACCTGAAATTAGAAAGAAAAAAACAACCAGACGCAAAGATATCGCCATTTTCTCTGCATTCAACTCATTTTGAAGTCAGTGAAAAGTGTTTCAAAGTAGAGATCGTGAAGAATTCAAATAACTTTGTGATTTTAAATTGTTGCCTAAAGGTAGTGCCACTTGCATGTGTTAAAAATTTCAATGGAGAAAATTTATTTCGCAATGGTGAAAATTGTAAATGAAAATCCGTTTTCTGTGCTGGTCACCATGAATTAAAAAACTTGATAATTTTGTATTAGACGATAATATCAAGTTATAAAGGTTTTAACAGATGTTTAAAAAGAAATATGAAAGTCTTTTGTAGATCGTCAAGAATGCATTTAAGATGCGATTAAAATAATGGAAGTTGCAGTTTTTTTGCGTCTGGGTGTCACAAAGTTTCACCTTTTCTTCTATTAATTCCTTTTTTTTCATCTGTTTCATTATTTCATTTCGTTTATAGCCAATGAAAACCTTCAAATACTTTTCCTTAACACAGAAAGAGGAAAAATAAAAAAAAACTTTCTGAATAATTAACGAGAGCACTTTTAGAATGGTGAAGAAAAGAGGAAAGCAAAGAAAAACAAAACGAGCTGGTCCAAAGTCAGTAACAGAAGTTAAAAGCGGAAATGACGATGATTCCAGTGATGCTGCTTCTGAAAATAAAAATATTGAGAACAACTCGACTGAAACTAATAAAGAATCAGAAGCTTTAGAAAGTAATAAATCCAAAGCTGAAAATGCAAAGAAAATTGATAATCAAGATAATCCTGATTTAGATGAAATGTCTAAAGAGGACTTTGTCGGAACTGATAAGGAAGAAGAAAGAAGAAAATCTTCGAGTGAGTTAGACGAACCTGCTAGAGAGTGTTCAGTTACTTCCGATAAAGAAGAAGAAGCAGGAACTTCGACAGTGAGCAATGATATTATTCAAAATGCAGTAAATGATGAGGAAACTTCAACAACTAAAGATAAAGACGAGGAAGGCATCAAGCCAGTGCCAGTGTTAAGATTAGTGCCATTAACAAAACTTCTTAAACCTGACTTTCTTGCTGAGCCTGTAAAGCCAAAAGCCAATTCATCTAAAAATTCTGCACGTAAATCAAGTGGAAAATCCAAGAAATCTTCATACATTGAGATAAGCAGCACAAGCAGTGATAGCGAAATTGAACAGATTTCCATCACATCTTCAGACTCCTCTGACGTTCAAGAAGTTAATAAACGAAAGAAACGAAGTAGCAAAGAGACTAATAGTACAAATAAAAAATTAACTAATGGTAACAGCATCAACAAAATAAGCTTCAAGGAACCAGAATCACCAACAATTATCATTAGAAATAGTGAAAAAATTTCAGTGAATCTTGAAAAGATGCCGTGCAATGTTAATAAATTAATGAAAACTTATCGCATTGAAGAGACTTGGTCTGAATCTGATGACTTTGAAAGTATGATCAGCATGTCAAAGATTGATCGAAAAGCTGTGGAAAAGTCGAAGGAAGATGATGAAGCCGCTTCAAAAGCTGCCATTGAAGAACAAGCAAAACGACCAGAAAAAACCAGCGCAAAATATTCCAAATTAAAAAGAAAAAATTTAAATTTGTCAGACATAACTTCAGATGAAAATGATTCAGATGATGATGAGAAACGAAAAAAGGTTCCAATGAGGATGACAAGAAGTCTTCGACAAAAGTTCATCGCTGTTGAGACAGAATCTGAAATAGAATTGCCATCGAAGAAGAGTCCGAAAAAGAAACATTCAAATGAAGAATTTGATTTAAGTAGCAGTGATGAGAAAATACTTTCAAAACGAAAGAAAAGTAGCAACAAAGATGATCATAGTAAAGAAAAAGTGACTGATCGTCGTAGAAGAAAATCAACGTCATCAGAAAGTGACAGAAAAGAAGTTAGAACAAGAAATCGATTAGCTAAATCCAAAGAACCACCACAAATGTCTGCTGGGCAAAGACAAACCAGATCAAGAAGAGAAGTTCAAAAAAATCACGAAAAAAACTCAATGAAATCAAATGACCTGAGATTGAAAGAAATGTTTCGTCACAGCTCCGCCGAAAAATCAAATCACGATTCAAGTGATGGCAATTCAGAGTCATCCTCATCAAGTTATCACCGAAAACGTCTCTTAACTCCTCTCAAGTGTTCAAAAAGTGAAGTTGAACATTCGCAAAGTGACAAAGAGTCAGATACAAGTCGAACAGTGCTTGAAGATGAACCTCCGGTTCTTGAACAGAAATTCCGGTCACGAAATAAATTTGAGAAAATTTCTGCATTCGATACTTTGAAGAAAAAAATTGAACAACGAAAGAAGAAGCAAAAAGTGAGCGACAATGGTGAAGATTCGGGAAGGAAAAGTTTCAACAATAAAAGATCTGCTGCTGGTGCTTCTTCTTCTGTTAAGAAAGAAAGCGAAGATGATGAAATGAAAATGGATGAAACAACTGTAATAATTCTTTTATGTAGAATTTAAAAATATAAAACGGAAATTTCATCGCAATTCTCCATTTTTAAATTTAAATTTTCCATTTAATATTTTTATAAATTTTTATTTTCTTTTTACAATTGTCAGGAGTCACCATTAACAAAGAAGCTGACTACAAAACGAAAGCGACTTATATCAAGTAGTGAAGACGAAAATAACAAAAGGTAAGAAAATTTCCACAGAAATTGAAATATGTAAAAATAAAAGAAAACAATTTTTTCCAGTGAAAAGGAAATAAACGAGAAAAAGAAGAAGAAAATGAGTTCAAGTGAAGAAGATTTTAATCCACAATCAAGTGAAGAAGAAAATAACAAATCAAATAGTTCGGATGACGATGATGATAAATCGATAAAGAGTCAAAAGAAGAGCTCCAGTGACGAAGATTCTGACGATGATATTAAAGATTTGGAGAATGATCGTCCAAAGAAACGTAGAAAGCGAATTAAAAAGGTCGCTAGCAGCGATGATGAAGATGGCGAAGGTGGTGAGAAGAATAAAAGTGGAAGAAAGAACATCCGAAAGATGTTGCGAACTGATAAGCTTGATGTGTCAACGAAAGAAGCGGCCAAACTAGAGAAAGAACGAAAGCAACGCATTGAAGATCGTCAGAAGTTGTACAATCAGTTTTATGATGAACGTCCTGAAGAAGCGAAGGAAATCACAAAACTTGTACTCGATTTTGACGAAGCAAGCAAGAAAACACTTCTAGAAGTTGACAAGAAGTTGGTGAGAAAGTTAAAACCACATCAAGCGAATGGTATTAAATTTATGTGGGATGCTTGCTACGAATCACTCGAAAGATGTAGAAATGATCTCGGATCTGGCTGCATTCTCGCTCATTGTATGGGACTTGGAAAGACTCTTCAGGTCATCACACTTGTTCACACTTTACTGAAGAGTTACAAAAAAACTGACGTGTTTCGTGTACTTGTTGTGTGTCCTTTAAGTACTGTTCTCAACTGGGTTAATGAGTTCAACATTTGGTTGAAAGATATTCCGGGTTCTGAAGATATTTACATCTATGAGATTAACAAACTCAAGCAGAATATTCATCGTGCTAATAAACTCATGGAGTGGCATAATGACGGCGGTGTTATGATTCTCAGTTATGATATGTTTCGAAATCTCACCAACGATACTGGAAATCGCTTTCGAAAGAAGATTAAGGAGTCGTTACAAACGAGCTTAGTGGATCCAGGTCCCGATTTAGTGATTTGTGACGAAGGGCATTTGTTGAAGAATGAAAAAACTTCGATTTCAAAAGCAATGATGCGTTTGAGAACTCTTCGTCGGATCGTTTTAACCGGAACACCATTACAAAATAATCTCAAAGAGTGTAAGTTTATTCATAAACTTTCCTCAACAATGTTCATTCAATTTATTTTTAAATATTTTCAGATTACTGTATGGTGCAATTTGTCAAACCGAATTTGTTAGGAAAATATCAAGAATACATGAATCGTTTTGTGAATCCCATCACGAATGGTCAATACACCGATTCAACTGATTACGACATTGCTGTAATGAGACGACGTGCTCACGTTCTTCATAAAATGCTTGACGGTTGTGTTCAGGTGAGTTTGAAATTCAAATGTAGATAAAACTGCTAGCACTTTCAAATCCTGAGTTCTGAGGGGCTTAAATTACAAAGAATTCTTAATTTAATTAAATTTCTATTTTCTTTTCATTTCAGCGACGTGATTATTCAGTTCTTGCTCCGTTTTTGCCACCAAAACATGAATATGTGTTATCAGTTAAACTCACGCCAATGCAAATTAAACTCTACAAGTTTTATATGCAAAACAAAGCGCGATCGGAAGATGAAAACGGCGGACGGAAAGGTTCAATTCTTTTCAAAGATTTTCAAAATCTTCAGCGTATTTGGACAGCGCCTCTTGTTCTTCGGTATAACAGTAATCGATATGAACATGAAATGCAACGAAGAAAAATGTTAGCATCGGATGATGAATCGGAAGGGTCTCTAAAAGATTTTATTGATGATTCAGCGAGTGCATCATCAACCTCAAGCTCAAGTTCTAACGCGTCAAGCGACGATGACAATGCAAGTATTCGTTCAGATGAACCACCAAAAAAGAAAAAGAAGAAGGAAAAAGTTATCGTTCCTCGACGTACACGAGCTATGGCTGCGGAAAGTAAGAAAACTTCTTTAAACTCGTTTGTTTTAATTACATTAACATTTGAAAACTTTTATTTAGTTCCATCAGATCATGAGAAAGAGGAAGAAGAAGAAGCACCAAAAAACGAAAATCCAACTGAATGGTGGATGCAAATTTGTCCTGAAGAAGAAGTCAACAATCTTGAACATTCCAGTAAACTCATGTTGTTGATGTCAATTCTGGAAGAATGTGAGGCTATTGGTGATAAACTGTAAGCATTCGACATTCATCAATTTAACGAGAACTTTTAATAAAATTCATTTCAATTTTAGTCTGGTTTTCTCTCAATCAATCTTCTCATTAGATGTGATTGAACATTTTCTAAATCAAATTGATGAGAAGACTCAAATGAATGCTTCGTGTGCATCTTTTACCGGTTCGTGGAGTCTTGGACAAGATTATTTCCGTTTGGATGGATCAACACCTGTTGAGCAGAGAAACATCTTCTGTAAGAACTTCAACAGTCCAAGTAATCCGCGTGCTCGTCTTTTCCTCATCTCGACCCGTGCTGGTGGTCTTGGCATTAATTTAGTTGCTGCAAATCGTGTTATAATATTTGACGTATCTTGGAATCCATCTCATGATATCCAAAGCATCTTTCGTGTTTATCGTTTTGGTCAAAATAAGCCTTGTTATATTTATCGTTTCCTAGCTTTGGGTACAATGGAAGAGAAGATTTACGAGCGTCAAGTTACGAAGCAAGCCATTTCGAAACGAGTTATTGACGAACAGCAAATCGATCGTCATTACAATCAAAATGATCTCCAAGAGCTCTACAAATATGATTTGGAACCAGATGATGAACGAATTCTTCCGATTCTTCCCAAAGATCGTCTCTTTGCTGAAATGCTTAAGAAATATGATGACGTCATTTACAAATATCATGAACATGACACATTATTGGAGAATAAAGAGGAAGAGACGTTAAATGAAGAAGAAAGACGTCAAGCATGGGAAGAGTTTGAATCTGAAAGGAAACGTCCGCAATTTATTCCTCAACCTTACATTCCTCAGCCGACACGAGGCATTGGACCAGTCACATCAAACAACATTTTTGGTATACGAACTGACGTTTTACTCAAACTTCTTTCAATGAAAGCTCGATTGGATAACCCAATGATCACTGATGGGTCAGTTAAACAAGCGATTCCTTTGTTAATGCAAGAGTTGTATCGTCAAATGGAACGTGGAGAATTGACGGTAAGAAATTTTCCTTTTTAATTTAATAAATAAATAAAAATGATTAAATTTTATAGCTTTATCAACAACTCATCGCTCTCTCAAGTTCCTTGGAAGTTCCTACAAATTATGGTGGCCAGTTTCATGTTGATGAAAATATGATGCAGCAGACTTACAACAGCATGAATTCGATGCCTTCAACGTCATCGCTTCACAGTGGAATGTTGTATCAACAACAGGTAAGAAAAACAAAATAAAGTTAAATTAATTAATACTCAACATTCCTTTCTTTAAAATAAAAGCAAGAACAATTGATGAGATTGGCTAAACATCGACAACAGCAAATGTTAATGCAGCAACTTCAGAATCGATCACCACCGAGAGTTGTTGGAAACATCATCGAAATTGATTAATTATTAAAAATATATTTATGAGACATGAGACTTGTATTTTCGTGCTTGTGGTGAAGTTAAGACTTTATTTCTCTTTTAGTTTCAAAATCAGCAGTTCCATCTTATCAATTCCTAACATCAATTCAATTAAAGAATCACAAGAAATGTAAAAACAAAACAATTAAAATGAAATATTAAACAACATAGCACATTTAATATTAACTTATGTTTAAACTTTAAAGAAATGATGTCTTTTGTTTTGTTTAACTACATTTATGAAAAATGTCGTGTAAAATAAATGATTTTCAAGATTAAATGAGGAAACTTGTTTTAATGTTAATTTTCATGTTTTCAATTGATAACCAACTAATCTAACCTTGAAAATAGAGATTAGATTTAAGTCTGGATTACGCATTGTTTACGCTTAAACTTTGTTTACATTTTATATTAGCAAATTTGAATCATTTTATCATTTCAATTTGAATCTAAGCAGAAATTGTAATAATTTAAACATGAATTCCAAATTTCGAGGTACTTTGCTTGGTGTGCTTATAGGAGATTGTTGTGGTGCTGTGTTTGAAGGAGAGTAAGTGAATGAAGTTTGTGAAAAGAAATAAAAAATTAAATTAAAGATTTTCAGAGTTTTAGATGCTGGTCAAAAATTCGTGTTGCGGAAGTTTATTAATAAGCTTGAAGGAGTATCCTTTACAGCACCACGTCAAAAGTACACTGACGACACAGCGATGACAAAATCGGTAGCGAGATGTCTATTGAAGTATGACGAGAAAAGCTATCAGAAAAATCTCGCTGTGGATTTTGTTAAAGAATATTGTTCATCAACAACATCGAGAGGATATGGCGATGGAGTGCAAAGATTACTTGTTACTTTAAGAAAGGAAAAGTTTGAAGATTTGTTGGGACCTGCACGAAATCAATTCAATGGCACAGGAAGCTTTGGAAATGGCGCTGCAATGAGAATTTCCCCAGTTTCTCTTTATTGCGTTAATAAATCCGATGACTTTCTCTTTGATCTTGTTGGAAAAACTTCTGAAATCACACATGCAAATGTTATCGGCATCAACGGTGCCATTTTGCAAGCTTTGGCAATTCGTGAAGTCTTAAAACTGGAATCTGACGATCTTGATGTCAATAATTACGTTACAAACCTCTTAGAATCGTTCAAGAAGATTGAAAAAGGAGAAGACGAGTAAGATTATTATAAAATTTGAAATTCAAATTACTAAACTCATATTTCAGATTTGGCATTCATGAACAAAAATTCTACACAGAACAACTCGAAGGAATGAGAAAACTTCTTAACAAAGAAATTCTTCCATCAGATGAAGAAGTCGTCAACATTCTTGGTCACTCAGTCAACGCACTTTATTCCGTACCTACAGCAATTTACTGCTTCTTGAGAAACGTCAACTTATTGAAAGGCAACAGAGAAAAATTATTTCGATCAACTCTCGAATATGCAATTTGTCTTGGCGGTGACACTGACACCATCGCATCAATGGCTTGTTCTCTTGTTGGCGCTTTCACAGGTGATTCAATCATCGCAAAGAATTTAATCAAACATTGTGAAAGTTCCGAAGAAATCATTGAACTTTCTGATAAACTTTATGAAATTGTTTTCTCAGAAATTTTTAAAAAGGACTTGCACTTGAATGATGAAAAAATGAATTAATAAACAAACAAACAAAAAGAAATAATAAATGAAATAAAAAGTAAATTTAGTTAAACCAAAAAAAAAGGAAAATGTTGCTGAACTTTATTCACTTTTTATCACGTTTCATTTACATAATCTAATATGTAAACCTCATTTGTGGCTTGAGTGAAGAGAACATCATCGTCAGTCTGACTTCGTCGAACACCACCAATTAAAATGATTCCATTGTCGAATGGTGTGAACGTTCCATGAGCTCTAAGCTCAGGTGCATTCGCGAAAAGTCCTTCATTTCTCATTGTCAACCAATGAATTGTTGGATTCGTTCGAAAAGCTTCGTCGGGTACGTTCATAATTGGACTTAAATCTAAACAAAAGATTCGCATTGGATAATCTTGAGGTCGTTTTGGAGGTTCCGGCGATGGTTCACTTGCCATTTGAATTTTTAACACCTTTTGAGGTGGAACAACCGGTTGTGTTGAAACTGAGAAAGCTGCCATTGCTCCAATTGTATTAAGTCTAAAAATAAACAAATTTAAAAAGACGAAATGGGAAAAAAATGATAAAAAATCCTCACGGTCGCTCAAGATTAATGTAAATCGGAGTTCGTCTTTCCGTATTTTGTTGTGATGATGTTGCTGGTGAATTTGCCGGTTGTTGCTCTTGTTGCTGCTGTTTCTTCGGCTCTTCTTTAGGCTTATCAATGCCAGGCTTCTTCATTATCGTTCTGACACCAGCAAACACCATTAAATCACCAACCATACTTGAAGGATACAAATGAAGTGGAAGTGGCGGTGCAAGCGGATTCTCAATGATTATTGGCGTCCATTTAACACCGTAATTTGGATAACGAACAATTTTCATCACCCACGCATCTTGCAATGTATGATTAGTGGATCGTCCACCAAGCATCAAAATGTAATCATTTCCCAACGTTGTGAGATGAAACTCAGTTCTTGGCGTTGGCATTCCACGTCTGTTGTGATACCAATCAGCAATACGATGCCAAGTTCCACGTAATTTTGTACTATCAGAAAATTTGAGAATTGACACTTGCATGCTGGTGCGAAGATGCTCAAAATTCCCATCGGGAAGTATTTCCTGCATCCAATTATGAAATGTTGGAATTAAACCAGCGACAGCAACTAATTCGGTTGATGAAAGCATAACGCATCGGATTCCATTGCTATGTTGAGGATCAGTACCGGTTGTGATGACTTTTTGCCATGCCCCACTATGTGGATTGAGTATATGAATCTCGAAAGGACTTTGATTTGCTGTAAACGGATCTGAATTTGACGATCGACCTCCAACCATGAGAATTCTATCTCCAGCACGAACAAACCCAAAATTTGCTCGTGGTGATGGGCCAATGCCTAATGTTGTCATACGATGAAATTTTTTAATGAAATCAAACTTCCACACGTCATTGTATGTTCCACTATTGGGCAGGTTATTGCTGGCACCACCGAAAATCACCAATTGGTCATTAAAATTAATTGTTCCATGTCTAAGTCTCGGTTGAATATTTCTTGTGTGCGTGACTTTGTGCCACCTAAGATTGCCATGTTTTAAAGCTTGATAAAGTCTTCGATCTTCCAATTGAGACGTATCTGAATGTATGAAAAGAAAAATTGTGAAAAGAAAAAAAGTTTTCCAATATTAATTATGATGATTATAATAATCAAGAAGTAGAAGTTTTACCTGCAACAAGTCCCATAAAACCACAAAGCTGTGCTAATGATTGCCTTGTAATTCGAGGTAGATAAGAAATAATGTGGCACCAAGTTTCAGCTGGCAAACGGTCTCGAAGTGAAAGATCATACTTATCATTTTCCATATTTTATCACTCTTTTTCAAAACTTTCTAAAGTTTTTAACTGATGCTAATTAGATAATGAGACTTAAATTAAAGTTCATGAATAAAGTTCTGCGAGCATATGAACAAAGTCAGCTCTAAACTATGAAATTTTAAAATATTTTCTTCATTTTCTATCGACTTATGTTTACAACCAGTTAAGTTCGAACTTTCGAAGATGGAAAATGAGCAAAAATGGATTTCGAATATTTAAGCCGCATATTATGTTTAAAATGTTTTTAAAGAAAGAATGAGTTAGTTTTGTAGTGAAGTTTCAGTAATCAATTAATAGGATAGACAATAATAATAATTTTATTTCAATTAATCACTCATTAGGAAAACATATTTTTGTCAATGCCGCTATATTTAGTAGCCTCACGATAAAGTGCTGAAGTATAAAATCAAAAAATATTCGAAAACAAAATTTTCGAATCAGTTTGTAAAGAAAAATGTCAAAAACATTTATTGCTAATCCTGAAATAAGACTTGTTCTTAGTAACAAGATCATTCCACGAATAAAACAATTGAAAGAAAATGCTCCTAGTCAAAAGAATAGTTCATCATCAGTGGTATTTACTGATCGAGAACTTGATTTATTGAAAAAAGTAAATGAATTGAAACTAGAGTCAAAAGAAAATAAAAAGGAAAAATTATCACAGAAAGATAAAACCTCGTCATTGACTCTACCTGAAGTGAAAAAACTTAAACAAACTCTAGAAGACAGATATTTATGTGACATCATAGAATCAGCTTCAATTAAACTTCCAGAAAATGAAGTTGTTGAACGAAATCCTGAACTGGAGAAAAGGATTCAGAAGCTGAAAGCTCTACAGGAACAGAAAGTTTACAACTCAATGACTAAGAATGTTGATCATGCAAAGAAATTTGAACCAACAGAAACGATTTCATATCAACGTAAGTATTCAAACTTTTATGAAATTGTTTATCAAGTCATATGACTGATGAATCAGAAATTTTTTTAATCTAACTCCAAATTTTTTAATCTTAGTGAAACAAATCAATCGACAGCTGATTGCAGTTGCACAGTTTGTATTCTCTGTGATTTCTGGATTCTTCTTTGGATTCCTGGGAGTTGAACTTATTGTTGGAAATTTAGATTTTGGTTTTCGACTTCTTCTTGGGATCATCTGCGCTTTGGTCATTGCATTAGCTGAAATTTATTTCTTAGCAAAGAAACTCAACGAAGAAATGCCACAAGAGTCACCAACAATAACCACATCACCAGACAAGAAAAAAAATTAGATTGGAACATTTTTTTATTCATTTTACAAAATCATCAAATTATTTAAAACAGAAATAAAAAGTTTTTGGCAACAAAAAAAAATTGAAATTGTTTATTTCCATAATTTGGGGTAATTTGTCGAGAATGTCATCATAAAGCGACACATAAAAAATTAAAGGGCCACGATCAAAATAAACAAAGAGAAAAAGAAGAAGACGCAAGGTCGTCTGCATAATATTCATGAATGAATGAACAGACATTTTTATAGTACTACGATTAACACAACACATAATCATTTAAAAGAACATTTAGGTTTGTTTGTGACACACGGTTGAAGATATTTTTTCACGTGTTTTTTCTGTACATCAAATATTGTGGCTAAATAGAAATTTTTTCTTATTTTCGTTTCATTCTCGAGTCGGATCAGATCGTGAGGAAAAAAAATTCATTAAATTTATTTTTTATTCCTGCAAAGTTGACATTTTTGGTAAAATTTGAGGAAAATGATTGATTCTGACAGTGAACTAGCTTCAGTGTATGATTCTGACAGTTCTGAAGAACATATCGGACTGATAAACGTTTTTAAACAAAAATTTAAAAAAGATTTGAAAAAGATTCAAGATGATCAAGTTTATCAAATAAAAGTTTTTTCTTTATTCGCAAGTCGTGCTCAAGATAAACATTATAAGATGTATAGCATGAAATACGACACTGTGAAATTTGAAGGTGATGACATCAAAGTGTTTATACAATCTCGTTTTAAGCAACATGAAATTCTTGAAAGAGATTTGACATCGATGCGGGGTGATTTTAGTTTTCATACAATGTTTGAAGCTTTCGATGAAATATCTGACGGTGGAATATTTTTATTTTGCACAAATGAAAGCATTGATACAAGAGCACAACAGAAATATTTCCTTCATGCTGATCGTGAGGAAATTATTGACATTTTTGGTGGGAAAGGAACTTATCTAAAACTCAATGAAACAACATTTAAACTTCTGCGACAAACACATTTCGTTGAGACAAGTGTGTACGATTTTTGTCGATGTTTTAGAATTTTATTATCGATAACTGAAAATGACTTGGACGAATTGAATTTCTTTGATAATAAATCACAGTGGAAGGCATTCGCATTTGATATGTGGCAGTGGTATGGATGCAAGATAAACGAAGGTTGTAAACTTGGTGTCGTTTTAACGAAAATTGACGTCGAAAATTTTATCTCAGATATTAAAGAAGACTACGAAAGTTTTGTTGCGGATAACAAAATAGTGGAGGAAGAAAATGTGAAAAGTTTTGACTGTTATTCGAATGAAAAGATCGAAATGGAAGTCATTACAATGCTTTCATTGAATTCTTTGAGAAAAGTGAGTGACTTTGAGATTGAGAAGCCATGTGAAAACTCCGCCGTGTCTTTTATAAATGCAGATGGAATAAAAATTTATTTTAATTTCAATATTAAGGATAAATGTGAATTTTTTAATGACACAGGTTCATTCAACATAAAAGACGCTTTCAAATTCTTTCAGAACAACACAAAAAACTCCCAAATTATCGATAAGACTGACAGCTTAAAATCACTTCACCTTCTTTGTGCAAATGTTTATAATGAAACGTTTTTACTCGAACCAGCTGATGAAAATGAAATAATCGAATCGATTGGAAGCACCTGCAAGAATTATCTTAAATTGAAAAAAAATTCTTACGATTTTATTTCTGTTTTCATGAAAATGAATTCGATAGAATGGAAAGCATTGGGAGAAAGAATCGCATCAAAGATCGAACAAGGAAAAGTTATAAGTCAAGAAATTCCAAACTTTAACAAACATTTTCCAATTATTGAAAGCAAAGTTTTCATACAAGACATTGAAACTGGTGAATGGAAACGAAGAGAAAATATTTTTGAAGCATCATTGCTTGAACCTTTGACATCTTCGATATCACAAGTCAATAAAGGAAAACCGATAAGAATTTACCTGCCATCGCCATCAAAAACAATTGTCATGAGATTTATAAAACTTCTTGTACCGTTTGTGACATCGAATGATGGGTCGAAAACCTTAAAGATTGACAATTTCCAAGAACTTTACGGGACAATTTTGGTTTCTCAGAAATATCATAAAGTTATTAATCCACTTTTTATGAACACAGAAGTACTTCAAAAACCAATGAAATTAATTCGTGATGGATTTCTGTCTGAACTCACGAAAGAACTTCTCAAGTCTGTGAAGTTTCCCGCATCTGTAACAAGAGATGAACCTGTTCATTATGGCCCTGAACTTAATAATTCAACAAAAATTGCTTCGAAACTTACCAGCATAATTTTGTCATCAAATAAATTCTCAATCGAATCGTTCAACAAGCTGCCTTGGTTTCGAAATGACTTCAGTATTTTAAGGGCACACATACTGGAATTAAAACATGAACAATCTTCCGTCCAATTACAATTTAACGAAGATTTTATCAATGGAAAAATTCATTCAAAACTTAAAAGCTTTAGAACCGATTTCATCGATCAACTTACCGATGATTTACTGACAATCATATCAAATTTTACCTTTGACGATACCGACGATGAACTTGTTGGATTCATTGAAAGTTTTCGTCTTTGGGCAGATTTAGATGAAAAGAAAATTGACGACGATTTCCATCATTGCATTTCAATCATTCTCAACGGCACAACATCACGATTTCAATATCCGTACATGTTTCTGACAGCATTCCAACTGAAAATTTGGCAATGGTTGAGAGATGACGATGAGAAAATATTAAACAAACAGAAAGTCTTTTCCATAATTAAAGAATTAATTGGTGAACATACAATTAGAATGTAAATGAAAGTCAGGAAGTCAAATTTTGCAAATATCGCTTTTTAATGCTTTTAACCATGATACCAAATACATTAACTGCTTTTAAATATTTTTTCCACATAAATATTTATGAAAGTATGTAGGTGGTTACATATGACCGTAAACAATGACTGTAAATCTCTTAAGTTAATTGATTTTATCTCATGTTTCCACTAATTCACAGTTCATTCTTTGATTTATTTGAAATTCAATGGAATGAAGAATGAATTTTTGTGATGACTTAAAATCACTGTAAAAAGGGAAATTAAAGAATTTTTCAGGGAAACTATGATTATCTTCAATATTCGATTTAATCTAAGCTCCTATTGGAATATTCACACTAAATCACTTAAATAAAAAATAAATTTTTCTCATTGTTAATCAATTAAAATAAAAAATATATTATCAAATTCGAAATGGAAATTGCTTCATACGATAATTAATGGCTGTTGGTGATGAAAGTGTTTCATTTTATAAAACTTTTTTCATTTGAAATTTTCAGAATTTGAAAGTAGACAAGAAAGAAATCGATCGGTCGTTCTTTGTAGAAATACGAACGAATTAGGAACAAAAATCTTGGAAAAAGTTTTTTTTTTCTAGGAAGTAGGTAGTAGAAGAATAAATATGAAGTAGTAGAATAGGAAGTACTAGAAGAAGATGAAAAATTGATCAAGATAAAGCAAAAGATCGAGGAGATTCAAGTTGATTGCTTTCTCGCTAACATCCACATGAAGATTGCATGAAACACCACGCCAAGTGTTAAAATAATTATCGAGACGACATTCAAATTGCACAATGTTGATTTCGGTGTTAATTCGTTGTTTTGAAGAACTTTCGTCAACTGTCGCTGGATGTTGATGATTGCAACATTTTGTTCATCTAATCTCTTTGTGATCTTGTCAAGAGCTTCCGAAAGTCTGTAGAATGAAAAGGAGTTAATTTTTCCATGAAATAAATCAATGAGAAATAATAAAATTACTTTGACGACGATATCAGCGTGTCATTGTCACCACTTGAATCAGAATGTCCGCCATCAATTCGATTCGAAGGCAATGATGCTACATTCTGTATAGAATTTAATGCTCTTCGAGCAGCAAGAGAAGTTCTCGATTCGGTTTTAAGGATACTTAATGGTTCTGCACTAACAATGCTTGATGTTCTGACTATCGGTGCTTGATGCTTTGTTTTTGTTTGTATTCGATAATTGCACTCGTATTGCCTAACATCGTTGTGTTTATCCCATGGACGGAGATCAGCATATTTATAATGCCACTGAAATAATTTTCATTAAATTTGAATTTAATTGGAGAAGGAATATTAAAAGAATTCTCACCGTTCCTGTTACTAAATCTTGCTGGAAATTTACTGGAATCCAATCACTGCAAGTTGCTTTTCTTTCTTTTGCTGCCATTCTCTGTGCTTCTTCCAAAGCAGTCTTCTCTTCAGTTGCACCAACTTGATCATCTCTTCTTATTGCAGCTATGACATGCGTCCACAATCTCTCCGATTCATTCGGTGATTGGGCTTCAAGTTGAACAGTGTAACGTTTAAGTCGTTTTGTTCTCATTTCAGTATTAGCAGCAAAAAGCATACTTTCGTCATTATTCCTCACATCTTTTATCGCTATTGATCCATCCCAATGTCCATTAATTGTCGCCAAAGTTTGCTTTCCTAATTTCAATTTTCCTGTCACAAGATTTGTGTATTCGCTTCCACCTAAGAACGGCTTCAATTTGAATTCGAGTTCTGTTTTATATCCAGTATTTTCACATTCGATTGTAACTTTTCCACCAATTTCCATGCTTAAAGTTCCCATGAGAATTCCTTTGCAATGTGCATAAGGTGACGAGAGTGTGTAGTTCTCACCACGTGGTAGAAGAGTCAATTGCGCATTACCTTCAAGAATTGCACTCGTTGAATTTCCATAAAACTTTGATTTTGCAAGAATTGAACAGCTTAAGCTGAAACCGTCTTCACGATTTGAAATGTAGAAAGCAGAAATTGGTGGATGATGTGAGACTTGTTCTGCAATGTAGTATGTTCGACTGCCATTTGGATGCTGCCAAAAGCATCTGAATGTTTCACCCAATATTGGATTAAAAGGCTTTTTCAATCCCTTTGGCTTCTTATAGAATCCTGATAAATACCATTTGACGATTAACTTCATTCGAATAAATGGATCGTCTTGAAGCACGGCTTCGGAAATGTAATCTGCATGATAAAAGGAATCTGAAAGCTTATCCAGAAATGATCGTGGCTCGAGAATAAAAGTTGGCAATACAACTTTCGATAAATCCATTCCAGGTCGAACTTGCTTCACAAGGAACCAAATTAAGCTTTTATGTTCTTCTGCTAATTCTTCAACTTGTTCACCAGCCTAGGATTTGAGAAATGAAATTAAGAATCAAATAAAATTCTTTTCATAAAAAACTTACAGCTCCAAATTCATCTTCTGGTGTATGAATGTAAGGAGTTTCAGCAACTTCCGTTTCCAACTCGTTCGGTTCATTCTCCGACTCGCTTTCACTCTCAGCTGACATCACCGTTGTACTTCCTTCAACGTGACTCACGTTATCATCAATGTCCAAATCTTATGTGTTAGTTTAATCAGCGAATGAAGGGGGAAAAGCGAAAAATTGGAAAAATTTGCAAAGATTCTCTCATGAAAACTTGTTAGAGCAAAAAAAATCTAAGAATGAAGAGTTTTGGCTGACCGCAACTCTTTGATTCGTTTGCATTGGGGCAGGAAAAAAGTGAACAAATTAGAAAATGAAATGGAAGATTCAGAAATGGAACATGCTGAAAAATAAAACGAAATTCATTTCTTTCATGTTCCAAATTCAATTCCGCTGATTTCATTTTCTTGTTCGTTTCAGTCAAACGAGTCAAATGCTGACTGAGAGTCATCAATGATAATTCAAATCATTTCGAGTAAAAACAATTTCAAGCATTATTTTAATACAATAAATATTATAAAAAAGCTAAGAAATGCGATTGATTCTCATTAGTGAGTTGAATTATTCTTCAAAAGCGAATTATTTAAATTAGGAAAAAAATGTCAAGCTAAGCAAAAAAGAATTCATTCCATCCGAGCAGCGACGAGCAGACGAGATAAAAATTCTACATTTAATTTCATCCACCTAACTCTTATCAACTTTTCCTGTTATCCGAATCGAAGAAGCTTTTCCGAGTGGATAACTTTTCCTTCTTAATGTCATTGTAGGTGAAAATGATGATTGATTATCGTTGCTATCAAAGCTGGTAAGATTACGAAAGGAATTGCTACGTTGAATTGCATTCACTTCATCAACATTTAACACCAACTTCTTCACTTCCATAGGCATTCGATCATAGTGAGCAAGAGCCAAATAAAGTTGTTGGAAAATTGGCGTCGGAGATGGACAAGGAGAGTTGGGAAAAAAGATTTTTCCAGCTGGTGTTCCAGCACGTGACGAAAAGAATATTTGAATTGGTGACAAAATGTCGCTTTTCGCTTATTTTTGGTTTTTAATTTTTTGAGAAATAAAAAAATTTGTTTTTGGGAAAACATAAAACAATTTGTTGAACGAGAAAGAAAAAATGAATGAAAAATCATTTTTGCAAAGCGTTTTGAAATAAAATGAGAACAATTCGAATGATAATAGTTTAAGAACTTACCATGTTCGTCGAAATGCTTTTCATAATCAGCTTCTGACCATTGCGTCTCATGTGAACTTGTTCCCGAAGCTGCACTTTCATTGTGAGTTTCACCTTCAGCTGCACTTATGCTAATTGATCGAACCATCAATGCTGAGCATCTTAAAGATAGTTCAAGTGCATCCATCCAACATTTTCCAGCTGCCTGTGATGGTGCACGAAAGATGAGGTAAGATGTTGGTAATGGTTGAACAACAGCTCCCATTGTCTCTTTTTCAGGACCTCTTGGCGCCCAAATTGATTGATCAAGTGGATGGAAAAGTTTAAAGCAAAAACCATCTTTCTTACTCGGTCGTTCAATCACTTGACACGAAGTTAACAAAACTGTTCCAACCCAATGCGAGCTTTTCACTTTTGGCGTTTTATAAATCAGCAAAAGTCCTGGTTTTAAAATGCACCAAAGCTTTGTCCATGACTTGAGAGTTCCACGAACCTTCAACCAGTCGGCAAGAACGATAATCGCCGGATCTTGAAGTGAACTAAGCAATTCACTAGCCACACGTTTCTTTTCCTTGCGATAAGACTTTCGCTGTGCTTTATACGATTCTTTGCGTGTTAGTTTTGATTCGGGCACCATCTGAATGAAGTTCATAAACGTTAAAGTTTCGTGCTTAAGTAACGACCAATGTAGATATTTACCTTATTTTCTGCTAAAGCAGTTTCTATTCTCGGACTGTGTTCGTTCCACACGGAAATACCTGTGATCGTGAGAAAGTCAAGAAGTTTTAATGTTCGTTGATATTAGCAAATTAAAGTTAGTGTTGTGCAACAACAAAATACAAAAAAAGAATAATAAACAGGAGAGGAAAAAAATCGATGAAAAAATTAGCGAATAAAAAAGAAAACATTTCGAGGCTACAAAAATAATAACAACGAGAAATAATATTCAGAAAACAGCAATCAGTGAGTGATACAACGAATTGTGAAAACTATCAGAACATGCAACATCATCATCACATCGTTATCGTACAACAAATATTTATTTTATTGCGTTCTCTTCTAAATAAATGAATGTCAACGGTTCATGAGTGATTTTTTTCTTCTCAAACGAGTTTACCTAATTTTGATTTCCATCGCACCATTATTTCAATATTTTTACTTTCTTTTCATCTACTCGAGTACATGTTACAACAGAAACTAAATAAGAACTTAGAATAAATCTAATGCGAGGTGTTTAAAGCAAATTAAAAAAGGTAATTTTTATGTTAATCGTTGATCGTAGGTTAATTGCACTCCGACATCACTAAGAATCATAAAATGAATGAATAAAGGTATTAATTATTCGTGACCATATCGAGGTCAGGTTCGCCGACAGTCAGACATATAAATATCTTTATCGATTATCACTGAACTCATGTTTTTTATGTTATCTTATCTTGATGATCTCAAACAATTATGGGAAAAAACTTTTGTTTTCATCATTTTCTGTCTGACAATTTTATTGTGTAAAAACTATTGAAGAGACCGATGGCCTTAGAAGAACTGAAACAGTTTTTTAGACTTACGTCAGACATCTCAATTAACACGTTTTCGATAGTCAATTAAAAAGTTAATGGAAAGGAAACAACAAATTTCTACAATACATGCACACCCAACAACATTAGCTTCAAACTGCCTAACTATTCAATTAACATTATGTGAAGATTTGCTTTCAATCTCAGTTATCAATCATTGTCGATAGCGTTTAAAAAGGGAGAGGCTATCTATCAATTAATGAATTTCTGATTGGATTTTGAGGCGGATTTTAATATATATTTATTTATCAACAAACATCGATAACACTCAAATTGAGAATCTATAATTGGAACTTTTTTTGTTTTTGTGTAATTGAGTACAGGTGAACACGATATTAATCAAGAATCACCTGGTGATGACTGATTGCTCATTAAACTATCAGAAGAATTCAATTTCGGGAGAATCAGAAGCGTTTTTCGTGTTGACTCATGAGCTTCACAAATGAATTTTTCAACAAATAAAAATAATTTTGATTGAATTTTTATAAGGAGAATAATACAGAAAATTAATAGGCAATAAATTATAGGGGTTAAAAGAGATAGTGTCACAAGGAATACCAATATCGTTATGGTTTAATTCAATTAGTCCACGATGACGAAGAAATGTAATGAAATTTAAAAGAAGAGAAAGAGAGAGAGAGAGATGGAAATATGGCAATCCCTTAAAAATCTTTCAATGTACTGACCTGGTGCTAAACGAGTGCCACCCGGTGATGGGAGAGGTAAATTGTTGTTTGATGCTGCTGATCCATAACTCGATGATGATTCAGTTGCATTTTTATTCGGTGTTGACGTTGTTATTTGCTGACTACTCATTTTACTCACTAATTTTTTTTCAGGAAAAAATCAAGATAAAAAGTTGTGAATTCGGTGAATTTTCTATCATTTAACAAAAAGTGTTGTGTAAGAAAAGGAGTGATGTGCTTTTTGCTAATTGATTTCACTTATTAAGTTAAACATAAAATCATTTTAAATGAAATTTTCGGGAACTTTTTCAAGAAAAGCGTACTAAACTACACGGTGACTGACGTACACTGACGTAAATAAAAGCTAATGTTACAAGAAATTTTCACAAGACAAACCGGGAATATAAAAAATGTAAACAAATATGTTTGAGATAGGAAATTATGTTTCTCTTATTATCACAGCAATTCTTTGGGGAGTTACTAATGTTTTGATCAAAAATGGTTCCAAAGGAATAAACAAAGTGAAATCTGACAGCAAAATCAACCAAATTCTTTTAGAAATAAAATTCTTATTTTTAAATTGGAAGGTTTGAAAAAATATTATTTTCTTAAATGAAACTTCTCATTTCTTTCTTTTAGTATCTGCTTCCATTTGTAATAAATCAAATTGGATCACTGCTGTATGTGTATGCTCTTCAAAAAAATAATCTGTCGATTGCTGTCATTGTCACAAATTCTCTTACTTTGCTAATAACTTCGATAACATCGCTTATCGTTGAAAAGAAAGTTATAAGTTATCGTATATTTATTGGAGCAATGCTGATAACTTTCGGATCCTCTATTTGTGTCATTAGTTCACAATCCTGATAATGTTTTAAACATTAAAATAAAGATTATAAAAATATAACTGACTTTTTAATTTTGAATGATTTTTTTACATTTCACCGTTTAAAAACCGCTTCTTTAAAAAAATTCCATCGAACGGCTTGCGATCGTAATTAATTAGTTTTGTGACAATTTGTATGTTGAATAATTGACCAATTAAATCCTATTTGTTGTGCAAGAATACTAAGAGGTAATTCATAGAAAAACCTAAGCTAAATGATTGGTACAGTTTAAAATAAGCCAAGAATAATATTTTTTGTTAGAATTTTTTCGAGCGCATTTTTTTCTTTTCTTTATTTTGTGTAAAGTAAGTTTATTTATAAATCAACGCGGACTAATTATACATTACCGTGACTTTTGTAAAGAAAAAAATCCCAAGTTTATGCCAAAAATATCAAAGTAATGTTGGTTTTAAGCAAAACAAAGTGGCGTTGGAAGAGAATGAAGCATAAAAAATTATGTTTAAATTAGTGTTGGTGTTATGCATGTTTACTCAAGCTTTGAAATCAGGGATGAAGAGATTCGAAGAATCATCAGGTGGTCTTTGACCTATTCCAAGTTTGATGATACGAAAATATTAACAGTAATAGGTTAAAGAAAAGAAATTCCATGTAACATATTTTAAGCACAACTTGAATGTTGTAAAGAGAAACCTCGAGAGAAACTTTGCTCCGTTCTAAGATGTGTTGTTACAAGTGGAATGAAAATCCACGTTTTTATTATAACAAAAACTGGTATTATCACATTTCTCTTTCATGACCGTAAATTAATATTTATGACTTACATTTGTACATGTAAGTGGAAGCGAGAAGGGAACGACATAACAACTTGACTTGATTTTGGGACTTTTTATAAGGCCCAAGGCAATGTTATGTCGAATCCCTGTTTCTGGATTTGTTGTTGTCGTTTAAATACATTATGTATTAGTTCAATTTATCGTTTAGATATTTACGTTTTGTTCTTTTGTGACGTTGTTACCAATGAATTTTTTTTTTTCGCCAAATCAATCCCATACGATTGAATGTTAAACATACTACAAAGCAAACAGAGAAAAGCATTTTTTTTGTTTTCTTTACGTTTCACTAGACAACCTAATAGAATGATTTATTTTTTTAAACAACGCCGTCTCGTTCATTCACGTTTCGATCTTTCTCATATACATTGCACACCAACACAATCTCAAAGTTCTCATCGCGCCTTTTAAATTAATGATGATGAACGGTAAATTAGAGAGAACATTTTATTTATGAATTTCTGGTGCTTTTTTTCTTCTCATCTCGTGTTTTTTAGATGTCGCAGATTCCACGCTCTCAATTTGGATTAAAAAAGCGCCAGGGTCCTGTGCCACTTGTCTCAATGAACACTGCTGAACATCACAATGGCTCAAAAGCTGAAAAGCAACAAACCAATGGCTCTTCAAAAGGAAATGGACACAAAATTGCGAGCTATGAAAATGATGTCGTAATAATTGAAGATGATTGTTTTGCAGTTGTTGGGCATGAAGAAGTTATTGCTTCGACACTCATGGAAGAAATTGTTGAAGATGTGTCACCAAAGAAGAAAAAACGAGGCCGTAAATCCAAAGATTCAACTGAATCTAAGGATTCTGAAATATTGAAAAAATCTTTCGAAGAGGCTTTCGTGTCCAAATCACCATCTGAAAAAGGAAATAGATCTAAACAATCATTAAACGATTATGTTGCGTCGAGTGAAACAAAGGTTGAAAACAGTTCAATCGATGAAACTTCATCAAAAATAGAAAAAGAAACAAAGATTGTTAAGCTCACAACAACTGAAGATATTCAAAGTTTGTCATCAAAACGTCGATCTGATCGTTTGCAAAATGCAAGCACAATTGTAAACTTATCGACAGTTTCATCAAGTGATCAAAGCACTAAAGTGTCTGATGAAACACTGGAATCGACACCAATATTGAGTGAACGTCGTGTAATTGGTCGTCGAAGCACTCGTCCAATAGACGATATTAAATTTACTTATCGCACACCGAATCCTGATTACTCTTTTAACGCGACAACAAATGCAACAGTTGGAAGTGATATGAATAATGACAGCATGATTACAACACCTGGAACTGACCGTAAACGTCGACCAATCACAGATTCAATGGAGAACCTTGAAAGTCCCAAAAGAAGTCGCTTAGAATTCAGTGGATTATTCAATAGTTTCTCTTCGCCAATTACCTTATTACGAAATCGATTCAAACGCACAAACATCGCAAGTACTCCTGTCGTTGATGGCGAAGCTGCCTTATTAGATGACTCTGTTGATTCATTAAATGCATCTGGCGACATGAAAGAAATCGATTTGAATGAAAAACATAAGGAAATTGCTGATGACCAAGAAAAAGAAGAAGACGAAGAGGAATTAAAAATTATCACAACTCCAATTAAAAAGCGAGCTTGCGTTATCATGTAAACTGAAAACAAAAAGTCGACTAAATAATCGCTAGAGAAGAAAAAAGATATAATTTCATGATATTCTTTAAGTTTTCAAAGCCACAACAAAATATTTTAATCTCATATACAAATGATGATAGCAGTTAAAAGTTTGTTTCATGTCAATTCTCAAAGGTTTTTTTGTTTATCTATAAAAAAAAGACATTATTAAATGTAGTGTAAAAGAAAATGATTTTCATTCAATAAATATCTAAACTACCTACATACTTTTTCTCATTAATACATTGTTGCAGGTTAAATTTTGATTATTTTTGATTAATATCTGAGATTTGATTAAACGGCAGGGATTAAGTTAGCTTCAAAGCTCCGATATCACATGTTGTTGAAGTTAGAGAGGTTTCTCTCTTTAGCAAGTTTTACGATTTTCGCTGAAGAGAAAAAGAAAATAATTTGGTAAAATATCTTCAGTTGTTAAACATTCGTGCGTGTGACAAGTCCAAGATAAAATTCGGATAAGCTTGGACTATGACATAATTAAATAAATTAAAAAAATCATCATCAATTTTAGTGAAATAGACAATAATTAGCACATAAAAAATATTTTTCATTCAATTCAAATCAAAACACAAAAAATATTGAAAAGATTTTGCCGGAAATCTAAATTGCAAGAACTTAGAAGACGAAAGAATAAGAATTTAACAGTTATTCGCTTGCTTGAACACTTCCAACGGGTTATCGCTAAATTCCTTATGATTGCAAATCATATAAATTTAATCAAGACAAAGAAAATTTGAAGACGAGACAAGGTGAAAAAATATAATAAAAAGAAAGTAAGACATTGGAACTGGAAGTGTTTCTGTTGAATTGAGTTAAAGAGAAAGTTAAGATAAAAGAACTCCAAATCTTCCGCGTGAGTGTGTTTGTGATTTTTTTCTGTAAAGAAGAAGAAGTGGCATAAGATTCATTCATCAGAAAAGTATTTCATAAATCATCATCATCATCATGTCGTGGCCTTCAGATGTTGGAATATTGGGAATTGAACTCGTCTTCCCATCGCTCTTTGTAGATCAAACGGAGCTTGAGCAATTTGATGGAGTATCAGCTGGTAAATATACTGTTGGATTGGGACAAGATCGAATGGGATTTTGTACTGATCGTGAAGACATCAATTCTCTTTGCTTGACTGTCGTCAGTAATCTCATGAAACGCTACGATGTTAAACCGAAAGATATTGGACGACTCGAAGTCGGGACTGAGACGATCATTGATAAGTCAAAGTCAGTGAAGTCGGTGCTGATGCAATTATTTGAACCTCACGGTGTGACTGACCTTGAAGGTATTGACACGACAAATGCTTGTTACGGTGGCACTGCAGCTCTCTTCAATGCCATCAATTGGGTTGAGTCATCGAATTACGACGGCAGACTTGCACTTGTTGTATGTGGTGACATTGCTGTCTATGCAAAAGGATCAGCACGTCCAACCGGTGGTGCCGGTGCAATTGCGATGCTTGTCGGGCCAAATGCGCCGCTTGTCTTCGATCGTGGCGTAAGATCAATTTACATGAAACATGCATATGACTTCTATAAACCGGATTTAAGCTCCGAATATCCAACAGTCGATGGAAAGTTGTCCATTCAATGTTATTTGAGTGCCCTTGACAACTGTTATCGCTTATATCATCAAAAATATCAACGTCTTCATCCTAATGCGACAGTTATCGGCTTGAATCAATTTGATGCTCTCATCTTTCACACGCCTTATTGTAAACTCGTACAGAAGTCTTTGGCACGCATTAGTCTTAATGATTTTCTTCTCACTTCTGATTCGCAAAAACGAAAGGAACTTTATCCAACTTTCTATGAGAAATATGACAGCATTAAGCTTGAGGATACGTATTTTGATCGTGATGTCGAGAAAATCTTTATGGATTATTCAAAGGGAACGTTCAATGAGAAGACGAAACCTTCTCTACTGTTAGCTAATCAAGTAGGAAACATGTACACGCCGTCTGTTTATTCAGGACTTGTGTCCCTTCTTATCAGTGCTGATGCTGATGTTAGCAAGTTAAATGGAAGGCATGTCGGTGTCTTCTCATATGGCTCGGGGCTTGCCTCCACAATGTACTCAATTTCAATAACAAGTGATAGTTCGAAGCTTCAATCATTGCTGGATAAATTGAGCTATGTAAAGCCGTTGCTTGAACAACGAACAAAGATTTCGCCTGAACAATTTACGTCTTTGATGGAGACGCGAGCTCATAACTCACATCGAACAAATTATGAACCAAGTGGTGATGTTTCAATGCTCTTTCCTGGCACTTACTACTTGAAATTTGTTGATGACATGCATCGGCGGACGTATGAAAAGCGAGAATGATCCGAACGTTGTAAGGCTTAGGATGAACTCTTCAATTTAGTATTTCTTTCATTAGGTTTTCGGCTTTTACTTCTTTATCTTCTTGCTCTCATTTTATACTTATCTGATGGTCAGTTTAATTATTATTGCAATTATTTACTTCAAATGAACTTGGATGAGGACATTAAGAAAGAAAAAATTAATAATTCGTACTTATAGCTCAATCTTTGATAATTTACACTTTTTTTCTTATTTCGAAAGATTTGGTAGTTAAATGTAGGCTAGAAAAAATAAGTGAGGGATGACAATAATGAATTAGGTATTGAACAAAACAAAAATAATAAAAAACAAAAATGTTTAATAAGGGATTGAAAGAAAACATTGAATAATGTCAAATCAAATTAAAGTTCTCATGGAGAACGTGGCATGGTGCATTAATTGGATTCCGATGTGGCAAACTATCAACTCGTTGAATCGTTATTTAGTTACATAATAAAGAAAATTCCTTTCATTTGCTAATTTATTGATGATGACAATTTTAAAATAAAGAAACTTTCTCTGCAATTGCTTCGAAAACTGAAGAACAAGAAAAACATTTCAAAAAGCTTAAGAAACAAATTTTATACTCGAAATCAATTTATACCAGATTAATTAGCTCATAACAAAAGATTTCCAATACTTATCGAAAGTAAAACAATCGCAGATTTCCAAGATTTTCATTTCGTGCCTTAAACAAAAATTATTGATTAAGAAGTGAAAACAAATATCAGAAATAGTGAATGATGCAATAAAGCTAAGGTAAAGATCTTTTTAAAATTGAAATCAGGTTTTATTTCTTTTTTGTTTCCTTCTTCAGAGTACTTTTCATATTTACAGCTGGTGAAGGCAAGTGATTACTTATTCACTTATTTGTGTATGTAAGTAATGTTTATGACGATAATTTTTCAGGTTACCGGTAAACAAAATTTTCTTCTTTAAGACGATGTGGATTGTACAAGGTCAGCTCTTTTATGAAACGCTCGCCTTTCTTCATATCTAAAAGTTTATTGAATGTTAAGCAAACATTGTTTGATTATTTAAGAGGCGCGGATTTGACAAATAAAACGATTGTGGGGAATGTGATGGCGATTATGATTTCTTCTGCTCTACCATGAATTAATATTTGATGTTTTAAATGACGATGCTCGTGAATGAATTTCCTGTGCAAAGCGAAATTAATTTAAAATTTCTTTCCTTGTGCTACTCAAATTTTCTATCTTAACTTTCAATCCGAAAGGCTTTATGCTTTATTCATTAAACTTTTTTTAGGTGAAAAGTTGAATAAAATTTCCATAAATTGATAGTTTCACTCACGTCAATGATAATAAACATATTTATGTAGGAAATTCGAATAGAAACGGAGCTTGCTAACTGTAAAAAGATTTGAAAGTCGCTTTTTTGACTGGAATGAAGTGACAATCTTTTATCTTCTTCACATCTTCTTTTGAGAACTGGAAAAATTTACATAAATTTTAATAGTTGAGGAACTACGGCATGTCAACGAAATTTTTTATAGGACACTTCTGTTGAAAACATTTTAAAATGTAATCTGGTTTCTTTTGTGAGTTTTCATCGATGTCATGAGAGTTGTTAACTAACTATAACTTTATTATGAAACAGAATGCTATTACAGGAACTGAAATATATCATGGAAATGAAGGTAAAGTAAAATGTATTGAATATACTTATGTAACTGTTGGAAATGTTTTTGAAGGTGAACTAATAAAATATGCGGACATTTGAATGTGACTCAACATCAAAAACCAATTTTTAGTTATAAAAACTCTAAACGTTTATCGAGAAGATTCTTCAAATGACAAGACTAATGTTTTAAGTTGCTAATAAACCGGTCGTTAAAATAAACTTGAAGGAAAGAAAGAAAACTACGAAAAGCTTATGAATTAATTAAAGTTTTAAAATTTATATTATCACAAAATTTTGGAAAAGATTTTGAACACCTGCAAAGCGCGCATATTTAACAATCAAAAGACTCGAATGATGTGATGCTATGAATCAATGAACTTACATGAAACGTTTTTGTGTTTATGGTCTCATCGACCAAATAGATAATCACAAAAATATGGCAAATAGATGGATGGAGAAATTTTCAGCATAATAAAAGAAATATTATACATAAAAAAGTCTTTGTTGGCGATCTGAATCATCATTTTATTGTTGTAAATTTGCAATTGCCTGATAACTGCAAAATCCAACAAAATACGATGATATTTGCTTTATGAGAAATGCTATTCGTTGATTGAAACACTGAACAAAGTATTAAATTTATTTCAAACATGAATGATTATCATTTGATGTATGCATAAGTTCAAGTATGAATAATGATATGAAATTCAAAGAGAACACTGAACTGCTTTATAAAAATTCATTTATTCCCACGATTTTTTGCGATAAGCCGGCTTAACATTATCAGAACAGATATACTTGAAGAAAAAAACAATAACTGTTTTAAAAAAAACACTTGGCGCCTGAGTGGGTCAACATAACAGGTAACTGAAGTACTTCACGTGATTATTTGTGTCTCGTTTTTCGATTTAAAGAAATAGCACTCAATAAAGACAAGAAACGCATGATAAAAATGATTTTGTTTATTATTCTACATTTCTCTTCATTTATCTATTGGAAAATAAAACACTTAAAGTCGACATTCAACGTTATCATAAAAATCAGAAGGATTTGTGCCATATCAATAATCACGCAATCTTTGAAGTTTGAAACGTGTCGGGAAATTCATTTCGGTTAGTGACACACGATAACGTTTATTAATCAGCTTGTTATAAAAGGCAATGATTGAGACAAATATGAGGCAGTTGTTATTAATAAATTGAAAGTATAATTGTAAGACTGAGTTTAATTTTGGGATAAAAAAAATCAAAAAAAATTACCAAAGATGAATTTATTTATTTACATTTGTTGCTTCATCAGTTTATCACTCACACATCCCACCCCAGATAATTTTGAACATCCCGAAATGTTAATTCATTCAACAGGGAATCGAATGAAACGTGAACTGCCAGCATTATCATTCAAACCATCAGAAATTGAAAAAGATCCAGACTTTTGGAATAATAAAGCTGGAAAGTTTCTTGAGAAACAATTGAATAAAAATCGACTGAATAAGAAAATGGCAAAGAACGTGATCTTCTTCTTGGGTGATGGCATGGGAATTTCAACACTTATGGCTTCAAGAATGTACAAAGGTGGGGAAGAACTTGAACTTTCTTTTGAACAATTCCCATATTCTGGATTATCTAAGACATATTGTGTCAATACACAAGTTGCCGACTCAGCATGTAGTGCAACAAGTTATCTCAGTGGTGTCAAAGGTAATTACGGTACAATCGGGTTATCAGCTGCCGTTATACAAGGTGATTGTATAGGACAAAACAACACATCTCATCATGTTGAATCTTTAATCAGAAAAGGCCAGAGAAGTGGCATGCGGACGGGTATAATCACAAATACGAGAATCACGCATGCAACACCTGCAGGTACTTATGCGAACATTGCTAATCGTAATTGGGAGAATGACGTGAGAGTTAAAAATGATGGTGGCAATACCGAAACTTGTCCCGACATTGCTTATCAACTTATTCACGGTCACGTGGGTAAAAAATTAAATGTGATATTAGGCGGGGGACGACAAGAGTTTATAACAGAAAACGAGAAAGACATTGATGGAAATTTCGGACGGCGAAGTGATAAAAACTTGATCAATGTTTGGATGCATATTCATCGTCACAAAAATAGCAAATATGTCGAAACCAAAGAGCAGTTGATGAAGGTAAACGACAATGTTGAAAGGTTACTAGGACTCTTCGATTCAAATCACATGCCATTTCACCTCGATGATGAAGCGGAAACAAAACCATCTTTAAGTGAAATGGTCAACAAAGCCTTGAATATATTTGAATCAAGTGATGATGACAAAGGTTACATTCTCTTCATTGAAGGAGGGAAAATAGATCATGGCCATCATTTTGGCTTGGCAAAGAAAGCGCTAGATGAGACAATCGAGTTTGAAAAAGCAGTTGAATTAGCAAGAACAAGGACGAGTGAAGATGACACATTGATTGTGGTCACTGCTGACCATTCACATTCATTTACAGTTTCAGGTTATGCAGTGAGTATTATTTATAACTTAACTTTCATTTTTTCATTGTCATTTTCATTGAAATCTTATTTAGAGTCGAGGAAATAATATTTTGGGTCTGAATGATGGAATGAAAAGTTCAGATGGATTCCCATACACAACATTAGGATATGAAAACGGGCCGAGTTTTTATCAAAACATCGATAAAGAAGGTCGGAGAATTAATCTCGAGAATGAAAATGTATTAAGTAACGATTACGGTTATCCAACGCAATATCCATTGCCACTTGAAACTCATGGAGGTGAAGATGTCGGAGTGTTTGCATCAGGACCTCATGCACATTTGTTTACAGGCGTTTATGAACAAAATTTCATTCCACATGCCATCAAATATATTGCTTGCATTGGTGATGGATTAACTTTTTGTTCTGAAGATCAAGAATCATAATTCACTTGTTGTTTCGAAATTTTACTCTTAACTGTGTTCAGCGCTACGATTTCAAAATGCTTTAGAAATAAAATTAAAATCTCAAAGAGAAAGCTTTTGTTCTTTCAACATTTCTGAGCTTTTATAAAGCTTTCAGAGATAAATCTAAATTTCTCTTTTTTATTCTTCATTGAAAATTTTCAAGATGAGAATCAAAATTTTCTTCTTGATTTGAGAGAAAATTGATTAATTTGTGATATGTTATCTTGAGGCTGACATTATTTTATTGTAGATTCAGATGAAGTGGAACCTTTTATGAGCATATTTTTAACCCTTAAATGACCTTAGACCTTTTCTCTTACTTTTCATCAACATTGAACAATGTGTTAAACAAGAACATATAGGAAGAGAAATTTCCTGGACCAAGGCAGGCACTTTTTTTCCACAAATTTCATAACAAGATGGTACTTAAATATGTACATAAATATGTAAGTCTCTAGAATAAATTCAAATTCCGTTTAAAAAATCTTCTATAGCTTTACTGTCGCAATCTCCACGCACAAAGTTTAATCGAAGTTGATTTATTTAAACAAGAGGGAAAGGAAAAAGTTTGTCGAACAACTTTTTCTATTTAATACGCCTCTTTAAGCTTTAATTTTTTTCTTTAATTTCGTTTTAATTTTTTTTGTACATTTTCTTTCCATTTGATCATGCGAAAATTAAAGGAAGAAAAGAATGATGAAATATTTTTTGCAATTAATTATTAATTAATGTAAATTCACACGACAGAAATTTCTGTAAAACAGAAGAGATTTTTTTCTCTGAAATGAGGCTTGTCTTGATACGAAAAGGAAAGTAAAGCATGAACAATAAGTGTCACTTGGGATTTACCTTTGACAACGAATAATTGCTTTAAACAGGTAATGAATGAAAAATGAGTTTTTGTATGATGAAAGCTTTTGATAAGAGTTTTGAAGTGATTACATTGATTACACAAGAATTTACATCAGGTTTAATCAAATTTCGACGAGAAATTATTTCACATTTTACAAAAAAATCTTAATGTAAATACCTAAGCATTAAAGAATGAAAACTTGTAATCTCATCAAACCGAAAATCTTTCTAAAACCTCCATTAAACTTTCAAGAGCAAATTCAAACTTTTAGTATGAAAATTTAATGCAAAAGCATGTGTAGTGACATTTGATGGAAATCATATTTGCTTTAAAAAGATACCTGAAATTTTGGAAAGCTTTTATTGGAAGAATCAAATGAAGTTCTGGTATTCGTTTCCTTACGTTGCAAATCAAAATGAGAGGTTGACATTTGAACAAGAATCCAAATTAAAAGCAAACAAAAAAAATTCGACATTTGCTGAGCTTCTTGAATTTCTATTAAAGCTCAACTTGATTTTGTTTTTCATCCTTTTCACAAACCTTGAACCAAAGTTTTATAGGAAATTTTTCCTGTAAGTAGTCACGACACAGCATCAAAGAAGAAAATTGTGATTTGGAACATTGAGAATCATAGGAAATTGTGTATTTGATATCTCTCCAAATTCTAATGTAAGTTTATATGATAAAAGCTTTTAAGGAGGGTAAAAGCTTTTTGTTAATCTCGCCTACATAAATATTGAAAAATATTTTAACAAGTTGTTAAGTTAAATTAAAAATTGAAAACAAATCTGAAATAAACAAAACTTTAAATTCATTTTTCTTTCAACGCGTCTTGTTTTATTGCGAAGATAATTGAAATTCCTTCCTTTTTCTCTTTCTTTTGCAAAATCGGTCCATAAATTAAAAAAAAAATTGAAACGTTTCTTTTAAAGAGGACGAAAAAACATAAATTTTAAAATGGAGGAATCCGAATGAGTCCAATTTGGCTTTCACTGTTGTGTAGTTATTTATTTAATCCTCCTTCGGTAGATTCTGAGATTTGCTCATCAATACTTTCGTTGCCCTGCAAGAAATTAAATTTGCGCAATTCTAATAATGAGCATAGTCATGTTACAAATCAAAGTCAACTCACTTGAGTGAGTCCGAATGAGGCTTGTACTCAATCGGAAAGTTTGCAGGCAGATTAAGAATTCTTTTTAGTACATCCCTGATTCGATTTGTACTTCCGACGTCCGTTGCTGTTCGATTCCAAACTGACAACAAGTCTTCAGGGTACTGAGTCGAAAGTACAATGCCACAAATTTCCGGACCGACGAGAAACTGCTCACCTAACATTGCCATACAGACGTTTTCCCAAGCTCGATTAACTTTATTCTTCCTCAATCTCAAAATCCATTTTCCACCTTTAATGTTTTCAGGATCTTCCCACATAGGTTTAATGCCGCTCTTAAAGAGATGCAATTTACGATAAGGCTTTAGTTCTGTTGGCCGTAATAGATGGCAGTAAAGACTCCACCATTGCTCGACCGTGGCACATCTTCCGATGAAGTGGAGAGACTTTCCGTACTCAGAAGCCCTGTGACTTCCCTTTCGGGCATACCAAAGGTTATAGCACGATTGGAGTTTGTGATCGCCTGGTGGAATTTCAATGGGTGGCAGCTTTGATTCATCAAAATCAACGTTGTAATCCTCGTCATCTGAATCGCTCTCGTACGGTTTCAGTCTGTTGATTTTATAACCAAAACAAAAGATCCACATTTCAAAAGTAAATCATTTTTGACGATTTTTCGCTTAAAATACTTACGCATCATATTTTGTGGACATTTTGTGTGTACTTTGTAAAGAGTTCTATACAAAAATTTAATTATATCACAGTTTAATGTAGCAGAAATTGTTTTAAAATTCAGTTTTTCAAGTCGATTTATTTTCTTCGCGAATTGCATATATTTTAGCATATACAGGTGGCGCTGTAGTCTAATAAACTGAAGGCGGTTCTTTTCATTGGAAGTTTTTTGGATGGAATCATTACAACGTGGTCAAAGTACGTTACACCGTGATTTAAGTTCTTAAATGCAATAAGTAGGGAGATAAATTATAAATTTTTAATTAAAATATTCTTTTATACGAAATATTTTACGAAATATTTTACAAAATAACAACATGAATGTCGCATGATGAACTTCATAGAGCATAGTAATTTTTTATATTTTATACCTATTTTTTATTGTCTATATTAAAATTGATATATTAATATCAGTTAGTTACCAAATAAAATATAAAAAATATTAACTGAGTTAACATTTTACAAACAATGAATATCAACATATTTATTGTTATCAGAAAATTAATGTACTTACACTTAAAACACATTAAAAATTATGAAATTTAAGTAATAAAACATTTCCGATATAAGCAATTATCTATCAGTTCTATTCTATAAACATAGTTAATTATCAAAAATAATTTTAAAATAAATTTCTTCACAGTCTTCTCGCTATTCTATCAATTCCTTCTTCCTTCTTCAATTCTTTCAAGCATTCAAGCTCATTACTATTATTCAATAATTTGCCAAATCGAGAACTTCATTTCTTCTTATTCTCATTTACTCTTTCTATGAGACGAACTCATGTTAATCACAGGCCGCTGTAATCGCAACATATTCTCAAACACGTTCGTTTTCAAGTTTCGTTATGCTTCTTCCCTATTTGTTTTCCTTTTTGCTTTCATCAAAAGCGTGTACATGTGTTTCTTCTCACTCAGTATAAATTGAGAGCTCTGTGGAATCGGATGGGGAAAAAATTTATACGAGAGAAATAAAATCAATTAGATACGATATTGAATTAGAATTTTTGAAAATTATATTCTGCGCATAGTGATAACATTGTGACTTGAATTGATTGTGATTTCGTTAAAGTGTCGGTATATCAAAAAGGTTCGTTGAAATAAAATAAAATATTTTTTTATGCACATTCTATGTACGAGGTACAAAAACCATTAAATTGGCTACAACCACTCCAGATAAATACCGTTAGCAGACAGTTTTTTGGCAACAAATATTCTTTAATACGTCCGTTCAAACAGGTTCTTAAGAATGGTTTAAGGAAGGCAAATGACTGAGAACTGCTTAAGCGATCAAAGCACTATGAAAGTTCATTGATTCTTGCTAATTTGTATATATAAAAAAATGTTTTTTTTGACAAGAGAACTCATCGGAAGATTGATTGTCTGAGAGTTTTTTAAGCTTTTTTGTAATCTTTGTTTTCATTCGGATCATCGGAAAGAATTCACTTTTTTTGCTTATTATTTGCGTCTTATCGTTAATTCACTTCATTAAGATTTGTAAAAACGTTTCCAAATCTTGTAATGTTGTCTTAGGCTGCTACTTAATCTTATCTGACACGATTTTCTACGAATTATTTTCTTTTTAAATCTGTTATGTCAACACACATTTATGCATAGATTTGTTATTTTATTTTTTAGTATTTTGTTGATAGCCCAGCCCATAGATTCTTATAAAAACAAACTTAAGTGCACTCAAGCGGAATATAAATGAAGAAGATTCTTTTATGCATTTCTATTGCGACCCAATTGTACGCGTTATTGGCGGAAGGTCAACAAACATTATCAGCTGAGAATGAAGTGAGTTTTATTATTTTTGAGACTCAAAACCTTACTTAACTTAATCTTGACAATTAACAAGGTCCCTCCAAGAGTATTTGAAATCGACTACGAAAACAACAGATTTCTGATGGATGGAAAGAATTTTCAATTTATTGGTGGTTCTTTCCATTACTTCCGAGCTTTACCTGAAACATGGCAGAGGAAATTGAGAACAATGAGAGCAGCAGGTCTTCAGGTTGTGACAACTTATGTCGAATGGTCGTTGCATAATCCAAGAGACGGAATTTATGACTTCACTGGTATTGCTGATTTGGAATTATTCATCAAATTAGCGGCTCAAGAAGATCTCTACGTGATTCTTAGACCTGGCCCATATATCTGTGCTGAACGAGACTTGGGCGGGTTCCCATATTGGTTGTTACACAAATATCCAGACATTAATCTCAGAACGTACGATTTAAGTAAGTTAATTATTTATTTTTCATGAACTGCTTCTAATAATTAATTTTTCTCAATGAAGATTACCGACATGAAGTCACAAAATGGTATCAAGTATTAATGACAAAAATGGAAAAGTTCTTGTATGGAAATGGTGGTCCAATTATTATGGTGCAAGTTGAGAATGAATATGGATCTTACTTCGCATGTGATGAGAAATATAGAATATGGCTTCGTGATGAAACTTGTAAGTTATTCATTCAATTTTCCTGATTTAATGTAATAAAAAAATTTACTTTCTAGCGCGATATGTAAAGGACAAAGCTGTTTTGTTCACAAATGATGGGCCAGGCGTGTTAAGATGTGGAAAAATTCCAAACGTTTTAGCAACTCTTGACTTCGGTGAATCACCAAACTCAACAATTGATTCAAATTGGAGGACATTGCGAAGATATCAACCAGCGGGACCTTTGATGAACTCTGAGTACTATCCTGGTTGGCTAACGCATTGGCAGGAAGAAATGCAACGTGTTCCCGTCCAACCTGTTCTTGATTCACTCGAGAAAATGATTTTGGATGGAGCGAGTGTGAACTTTTACATGTTTTACGGTGGAACAAATTTTGGATTCACTGCTGGTGCGAATGAAGGTGGACCAGGAAGATACGATTCTGATGTAACAAGTTATGATTATGATGCACCAATGGATGAAGCTGGTGATCCAACAGAAAAATATTTCGCAATTCGAAAGCTTATCAGCAAATATTTTCCATTGCCAAATGTCCCCGTCCCAAATCCATTACCAAAGATAAAGCTTCCTGATATTAACTTGAAGCCAATTTCTATTATATTTAATCCAAATGGACGTCGATATCTTGCGAATTTTACAAAGCAATCAAATCTTCCAATGTCATTCGAGTCACTTGATCAAAATTCCGGCTTTATTCTCTACGAGACGAAGTTGCCGAGGATAAATCGGGACCCAGTTCTATTAAAATTTGCTGATTTGCGTGATCGTGCATATATTTATGTCAATCGACGATTCGTTGGAATTATCTCGCGTGAGAATAAAATTTATTCGATACCCTTAAGTCTGAGTTTGGGGGATGAACTTCAAATTCTCGTTGAGAATGAAGGAAGAATCAATTATGGACTTGCAAACGATTTCAAAGGAATTCTTGGAAATGTTTATTACGACACGATGGTTCTTGTGAACTTCACAATAACAGGATTTCCACTTGATAATTATGTGAAGATGGAAGAACTTATAACTGCTTACAAAACCAATCCTGGTGATGATTTAACACTTTCAGCAGAAAGTTTAAAGGCAGGCCCAGCTGTTTTCTATTCAGAATTTAATCTTGATCGAAATCAAATTTTTGATACATATTTGGATTCAACAGGGTAAGAAGAGATTTTTATAAAATTTGTATTTTATTAAATTATCAATTTCATTGCAGATGGGGAAAAGGAATTGTGTTCATCAATGGCTTCAACTTAGGCCGATATTGGCCACTTGTTGGTCCACAAATTACAATTTATGTTCCAAGAGAAGTTTTACGTGTTGGAGTTAATAAGATCGCTATGATTGAACTTCAAAATGCACCTGATGCAGGTCTTGTGACGTTTAGTAATAGACCAAATCTTGATGGAAATTTCTATTAGCTAAAATCAAAAAATAATTTAAATTGAGAAAAAAGAAAGAAAATAATTTTAAAATAAATTTTTATTTCCGGAATTTCTCCCTAAACTTTTTGTATCATTTTTAAGGAGTGTTTGATAGCGCTTAAAGCGACAAGTACTTTTCAACAATTCACAGCCTTTGCCCAGTTAAACATTCCTTAAAATTTTCTTTTATAAATTCATTGTTCGCTGATGAGGTCTCTAAAATTACTATTTTAATAAATTTTTAAGAATTCAATTAAAAAGAGACTTAATCAAGCATTCTTTTTTCGCTGAGGTTCCTTTTGTACATTTTTAATGAGAGAGACAACAAAGTGTCCATAACAACAAGATAAATTCATGCTTTGGAGTATGCGCGCAATATTTTAGCTAAGAAAACCCCAGCAATAATTCCAGAAGCAACGAGCAAGCTATCGAATGCAATTTCCTTCAAAGACTTCTTCTTCAGAGCTTTCTTCTTTTCACTCATTTCTTGTTCGTCTTGCATTTTTCGAATCAGTTCAGTCATTTGATTTGTATGATCAGTCATTTCTTCAAGCATATCAAGAACTGCTTGTGGAGAGTTGAAACTGTTGTTGACAACAACACCAGGAGACTGTGAACTTTTATCAGATCCAATCTTAAGAAGAGTTGCAGTAAGGAGCAAATTCATACTTCGTAACTGATTTTGCAAAAGATCTATCACTGAAACTTCTTGAACTGCTGCTGATTTCGGATTACGAATAGCACTAATAACTCTGAACAAAAATCGCTTATGAGAAGAAGATTTTTCACTTAAGAATCTTTAAACTTACCCTTCGTGATAAGGCTCCTGTGCTTCTAGACTTTTAAAATTTAACAGCATATTTTCTTGCAACTTATTGTCTGTAATTCCGAGCAAGGTCAAATCTTCTGAACTCAAACCAGCAAGTTGGCTATATTTTATTCCAGCTGCTGCAAATCGTTCAAGAACTTCCTTTTCCAACTGATATCCATTGAGTATCATCAGTAAATTTGGTTCCATACGCTGGATTGCTATGTTCTGTGAATAAAGTTGATTAATTGTTGGATATTTGAACAAAATGCCGATGTAAACAAAAATTACATGCATTATTTCGCCCTGTTCTGATGATATATCGTCTGTCAAATCAGCAAAATCATATTCAGACATGGGATTGCTTTGAGCATTTGCCATTTCGAATAATATTAAAGGAATCTAACTGGTTATTTCTTACAACTTAAATTGTTTCTATTCTGAAAACTTTTTTGCTAATTTTTTCAATAAGTGATGGAACTTCAAAAAGATTTTAGCAAAAATTTTCAAATTTTTCGTTTGAATTTGAAATAATTAAATCCGTTAAAAAGTGATTTATTGAAATTTGTTAAATTGTTCAAAATAGAAACTTCATAACTTTATATTTATTTTATCTCATATAATGTTCACAATCTGATGATAATCAGCCATATTACTATACAAGAGCATTATTTAATATGTATAGTAGATAATACATAATCATTAACATCTTATTTTATTTATTGATAAATATAAAACATTTTTACTTGAATGATAAAATTGCTTTAAGTAGACAACTTAATTATCTAATTCTATAATTATCAGAGAAGCGATATCGATCAAATTCATCAAATGGTAAATCTACTTTTATTAATTGGATCCCTCTGAATTTATTTCCTTTAAGTCCTTGTTCTCGCATTTCTGATCTTCTCCTTCTAAGATCGTTTTCGGCATAACTTATTTCAGTTAAATTACGTTGATGGCCTACTACATGTAAAAGAAGTTCAGCTGTCAACTTTTTTATATGCAAAGATCTGAGATTAGATGTGAGCTTCAGGTAGTGTTTTAACACTTCTAAATCTAATAAAGGAAGTTGAAGATCAGTTAATGTTTTAAATGAATTTTCCGGGCATTTCAAACAGTCAATCGATCCTTCGATCCACATAAATCCAAAAGATTTCAACTTTGAATGCAATGCTAAATTGCAAACAGTTTTCACATCAATGGTATCAATGTTTAGGCTCTCTAAGGTACTCAATTGAGTCGATAAAAAATGATTAAAATTCTGAGAAATTTTCTTAAATCGATTTTCTTTCGATTCAGTTGGAATTCGTAAATTTTGTAGTTTAAATTTGAACATTTGGTAAGCTTCAGTAACAAAGAGTTTGTTCAATCCACAACAATTAAAGAATTGTAAATCTTGAAGGTAAATTGCTTCCGATAAGAAACAAATGAACTGAGTGTCTTTAACATTTACTGATATGAGATCAAAATTTGTTAATTGCAAACAATTCAGAGATCGTGGCAAACTTAAATCGTCCAAAAAGTATTTTTCTTGTGATGTTAAAGACAATGTCGATAAATGCTTCAAATTTTTAAAAACTGATAATGTTAATTGCTTTATAATAAATTCACTATTCGCCGCAACTTCAATTGAAAGTTCTCTCAAATAATTTGACACTTTACACTTTTCAATACATTTCATGCTACTTTCATCATGATCAAGTCTCATTGATAAATTCCAGTAATTCCTTCGTAATTTGAGTTTACAGTTGTCGTCATTGAGATTAAATCTCACTTTCTTCTCCATAAATTTATCTGTAGATTCAGACCATAAATTGGACACTAATGAAGCGTTCAATAACTCGTCAAATGTTAAATGCTGCAGAATAAACTCCGCTACGTCTGGTGACATTGGATCAACGGGATTTCTTTTAGGAAGCTTCTTAAACATCAATTCATTATTTCTAATGTTAAATCTTAAGCTGTTTTCATTTCCATCCCAATCATCATATTTAATTAATTTCAATGAAACACAAGAATGTGCTAATGCTCTGATATAAGAATTAATATCAGTTGTTAATGATATTTGAACATTTTCTAAAGAAATCTCTTGATTTTCCTCGAATCGATCAAAACTTTTCATATTTTCCAAAATTAAAGTTTTAATATTACCGAAATTAAAAAGAATTTTTCCGAGAGTCTCTGATGAGTAATTAATCAAAGTTAAAGACTTATAAATTCTTACTTTAATCAGTTCGCTTATCAACAGATAACTGTTTGGAGTTTCACCAACAAAAATCAAATGATTCACTTGAAATTTATTATTTGCGTTATTGACTTTTAAATGTTTAATAAATGTTGTGATTTGATCGATCTCGAAATTTCCCTCAATTGACAAACACTTCATTGCTGTAAACATTAACACATTCTTAAGGAACATCGATGCGTTGTCGTCTTGATAAGTTTGTTTAAGTTTAATATACTCATAACGAGTATAAAATCGTGACGCAGTTCTGTCTGCAAATGCGGTATCAGGATTGTAGTTGTAGACATTTTCTTCCATGGTATTTATTTCTTGCAAGATGTCGTTTATAATATCACTCATACCATTTGAATGATAAGTGACGCTTCAATGATAATGAAAAACAAAGGTAAATGTTTAGCTATATTTAGATACAAATACGGCAATTTGACCTAATTAATTTTTCAAATGATTGTATAAAATCACTAATAAAAAAGTGAAAAATATTTTCAACTTACTTTTCACTTTTTCTTTTCATTTTCCTTTGAGTGTTTCAATAAACGATCTGAACACTTTGATTGCTTGAAATACTTTGGCAAAAAATTAAAAGATTGAACGCAGCTTGAAACGCACAAATTTTCTTATCACAAAATATATATTTTGACAACCTATACAGTTATATTTCGTACAATTCATATAAACATATTTACAATAATCTTATCATTGAATCATTTCATTTTGATAAAGCGTACAGTAGCAAGCAGTTACCGAAGATTAATCGTCAAAGTCCTTTTCCTTTTCGTCTTCTTTTAACACATGATAAAAGATGTCCGTTCCACTTCTTACTCTTATCTCGTCGTTCATTTTAATACGAACATTAGAGAATCTCTTCTCTGATTTAATGTTCAAGTGACATGTTATAAGGAAAAAGTTATACTTGTATCGTATGAGTGGCTTGTTTATAAAGCTGTCAAAAATTTAACAAAATCACATTAAACTTTGTAATTATTGTTATAAACGTTGATATAGTTACTGAATCCCCATATAATTGAGATGGCGTGAAAGCTTCTCGTATATCGAAGGATAGAAGTGATGCTTTGGATGAAGCATAAATGAATCGTGCATTTTTATTATTTCCAACCTTAATATGAACTGAACAATTCTCTATTTCGTTAGCAGCTTTTATATTCCTGAAAGTTGTATATCTTGTTAAAGATAAGACATGCGTGGCTTTATTTATTTATTTTTCTTTGGGGCATAACGCAGTGATGGTAAAAGAAGTTGAAAGTATTTTTACCTGTAAAACATTCGGAAAACGACTTTATTTATCTACAATATTTCGGTGGTTTTATAAGTAGGTACTTTAAAATTTCTTCTTCTTGTTCGATAATAGAAATCCTATGTTTGCAAATATTTTATTTCTTGGAATAACATAAAACTTGATAAGATATGAAACGTGAGGCATTATAAATCAATTGTAACAAACATTCATTGATAACAAAAAATGAATGTTTAATGAAGTTAAATAATCAAATTGGACAATCAATTAGATAACACTTAACATACCAAACAATAATATTGACACCTGACTTGAAAGTGCTTCCTTTTCATAATAAAAGTTCACTCACAATACAATTTTGTTTGATTTGAATCAAGTTTTGTTTTTTTCGAAGAATTGAGGAAATATTTACATTTATATATTTTTTTATAATGATTNTTGACTTACAATCACTGTTAAGAACACCACAATCACAAAAATATTAAATTTTCCAGCCATTTTTTATATCCAAATAATAATTAAGTATAATAGTGACGACGTTTAGAAAATCTCTTTTTTGCTTTAATTAGCTCGACTTTGAATATTTTGCTACTACTTACTAAGTAGTTGATTATAGCATTGACAATTAATGTATGTATCGAAAAAGCTCTGAGTTTTATACCAGAAAATTTGAAGTACTCAAAAATCCCGAAAGTTTAAAACCTTTGATAAGATTATTCCAACGTCTATTTATGCTTGAAATTCATTCAGTTATTCAATCGCCTATCGGGAGTTTTAATAGATTATTATCTGAGATACAAATTTTTATGAATGAAATTTTACTGGTCTAAAATCACCAGGTTATCAATAAATGTGAATTTTTAAATGTAAAATGAAATTTTCGTGACTTGAGATATTCTGAATACGTGCTTTAAAATTATTGGGAATTTAAAGGTACTTTTTTCAAAATGTTTTTAGAAATTCTATTTAATTGAAATATAAATTTATTTTAAAGGTATTTAATTGTAATGTAGAATATTCAGAAACTCTATTAAAAGAATCACATCCATAAAATGTAACGATAATTTTAACATGCGCCAAGTTAAGTATCAATTAAACAAGTAGGTATTATTTATTAAGTATGTATTGCCAAATTATTTATCCAGTCTGTTTCTGTATGGAAATATTTTCGTCATGAGAACAAAATTTAACAGAAAAGAGAATTATCATCAACAATTCATTCCAACTCAATAATATTTTATTTAAATAACGAACAGATATCGATAAATTGAAAACGACATTGAAGAGTTAATGACACGAAGTTAAAAATGATCAAAGTGCTTCATGATTTTTTTAAGTTTAAGCTTAATAAGTTTTCACTGTTGTACTCCTTTTAAATTGGAAAATTAAATAAATATCTACAAAATTCAATGGGATAAAGGATTGTTGAGACGATGCAAGAAAAATAATTTTAGAATTTCAATGTTTTCAATAGTTTCCAAGGACTAATGAAAGAAAAGTTATCTTTATTTTAGCTATTATATACAACTCTTTGGTAAAAAGTTTCAATTGAATTTGGATTTAAGATAGTTTCCAAGGAATTTCAAATAAAAGACCAAGTAATTTTCAAAAGTAAAATTACATATTAAAAATAAATAGATGCACAAAAATTGCTGCTCATTAAAATATTTATTTGAAAGTGTAAGCTCGAAATGAGATTACGAAAAAATAATGGGAATTATTTATTGAAAATTTCCTTTTAGAATTTAGGGACAATAAATTAAGGTGCAAACTATCGCACTTCCAAAACAAAAACAAGTATTACATGAATCAAGGCTAGGAACTTCATCTCCATCCTGATAGTTTATTCCATTTTGGGTACATCCTGGAGTTACAGGAAGGAATTCGGGAATTTCAAGACTTTCTTCTGGAGCTTCAGGAGGACAATAAATTTTGGTGCAGACAATTAAATTTCTAGTACACCAACAAGTATTACATGAATCAAGGCTAGGAACTTGGTCTCCATTCTGATAGAAGACATTATTACGCCAGCATCCAGTTACGCATTCTGAGAGATGAAAGAAAAGCTACCTATTTATTAAACAAACAGGAGTTAGTGTTAGATACTTACGTAATAAAGAAGCAGAATCTAGAAGTTAAAGATAAATTTAAGTTAATTTTGATCTTTATCCTACGTGCAGGTTGTCACTTCACTCACCTGTTGACACAAATGCTAAAGTTAATAACAAAGCGATATTGTTCATTTTGAAGCGAAATGTTCAGAACAGAAATGACGAATGAGTGAGAACAAGCTTAAAACCTTTCTTTTTATAATTAAATTTTATTGATCAATTCTTTTGGAAAAAAAACTCTCTGAGTGAGTGAAAATGTTTCTTACTTAACATCGTGTTCCGTTTTTGTATCCTTTTTCTGTTTCGGGAGCAAAGCCCCATTTTGTTCAGTATTCTTATGTAGTAAATTGTGTCTTCAGTTGTCTATCAAACCATCAAAGCACTAAAATGGCTAACGAATATTGATTTTCCTTTTAAAAATACCTTCAATAATGTTAATATACTTCGCAAAATTCCTGCAATAACAAAAGAAAAACTTTACAGGAAAAAGAAACGTTTCCGTTTCTTGTAAAAAAAATATTAAATTTTATTATTATATAAAATCAAGCGTGATCAAGTATAGTCTACTGAAAAAGGGAATGAACATTCAATATTTTAGTTTTAATCTTAAAAATTCAAATATCTTAAATAAGTAGAAGATAAAAGTTATTGAAAATTTAAAGCCAAACGTATTCCCAGTGTGTTGTGAAGTGTTTTGTATAAAACTGTTGATCCAGTTTGTTTCTGTTTGCTAAAGATCCCATCATCGATAAATAACATTAAGCCGATAAGACAATTAGTATTCGTGCTTCATCACAATCCAACAACTGTATTTTGCATAAGTAACGAATAGGTCGACGAACATATGAACAGTCACTTATATCAATAAATTGGAAAACTGAGAATTAACTTGAAATTATCTTGTTTCTAACACATATTAATGTCGGTCGTTAAAATTATTAGGAAATTTTTAATCCAGGTAAGACGAAACAAAATAAAAATTGTATGTAAATTATTATGAACAATTTCAACGTGATGAGAATCTTCGTATGGGAACAGACTTTGATTATTTTCCGGCATCAAATAATAATTATTCTGAAATTTTAATCATGAAAATGTTTTTAAAAATTATATAAATAAATTCGNGACTGTCCATAGACCTGCCGACTGTCCATAGACCTTCCGACTGTCCATAGACCTTCCGACTGTCCATAGACCTTCCGACTGTCCATAGACCTTCCGACTGTCCATGGACCTTCCGACTGTCCATGGACCTTCCGACTGTCCATGGACCTTCCGACTGTCCTTGGTCTTCCACTCACTCTCCCACACGCGCACCGATCGTCCTATTCAAAAGAATTCTCGGAAATACTTACTCTAGAAAGAATTCTCAGAAAAATTCCTGATAAGAATTCTCAGAAAAATTCCTGATAAGAATTCTCAGAAAAGTTAACAAAAAAAAAGTTACAGACAGACATACAGACATACATACATACATACAGACAGGGTTGAAAGGCGACGGAAAAATGGAAGTCCATTTTTTCCACTTTTTTCGACGTTTCATGCTATTTTAAGCATATTTAAGCAAAAAAAATTTTCCAAAAAAAAATGTCGAATACAATACGGTGACCTCACCAAAGGTGGGCCTCCGTAATTCATTCTCATTATGTATTTTAAAAAACTTTGTATATTGCCAATCTGTTTATCCAGTTTGTTTTTATTTGCAAAACTTTTCGTCATGAGAACAAAATTAAACAGAAGTATTATCAACAAATATTTAATTAATTAATGAACAGATATCGATAAATTGAAAACGACATTAAAGAATTAATGACACGAAGTTAAAAATGATTAAAGTGCTTCATGATTATTTTGAGTTTAAGCTTAATAACTTTTCAGTTTTGTACTCATTTATATTTGGAAATTTAAATAAATATCTACAAATTTCAATGGGATAGAGGATTGTTGAGACGATGCAAGAAAAATAATTTCAAAGTTTTAATGTTTTCAATAGTTTTTAAGAAATTTCAAATGATAAACCAAATAATATTCATTCAAAAGCTGCTCATTAAAATGGTTATTTGAAAGTTTAAGCTCGAAATTGCATTAAGTATACGTCAACGACTGTAAAATAATAAGAACTATTTTTTGAAAAATTCCTTCTTGAATTTAAGGAATATAAATTTTGGTGTAAGCAGTTAAATTTCCAGCACACCAGCAAGTAATACATGAATCAAGCTGGTTCAGGAGTTTCAGGACCTTCTGTTGGTTCAGAAGTACAAGCAATTTCGGTGCAGTAGATATTATTAGGTGGGGATGAAGTGCCATCACACCAGCAAGTATTACAAGTATCAAGGCTAGGAACTTCATCTCCATCTTGATATTCGATTCCGTTTCTGATACAACCACAAAATTCTTCGGTACAGTCGATATTATTCGGTTGGGGTAAATTGCTATCACACCAACAAGTATTACAAGTATCAAAGCTAGGAACTTCATCTCCAATTTTATAGTCGATTCCGTTTCTGGTACAGCCACAAAATTCTTCGGGACAACATTGGCCAGGGATATCACGACCAATGCAATTTTGAGATATAACCGGGCATGTCACAGTTGAACCAACAGGATAGAAGACATTGTTATGCCAGCATCCACTTACGCATTCTGAGAGATGAAAGAAAAGATTTCATCAGTGCATAGTTATAAAACAAACAGAAGCTAGTGTTAGATACTTACGTAAAGCAGCAGAAGCTAGAAGTTTAAGATAACTTTAAATTAATTTTGATCATTCTCATACGTGCATGTTGTCACTTCACTCACCTGTTGACACAAATGCTAAAGTTAATAACAAAGCGATATTGTGCACGATCATTCTTTTTTCTGAAACCGAATGCTCAGAACAGAAATGACGAATGAGTGAGAACAAGCTTAAAACCTATCTTTTTATAATTAAATTTTATTGATCAATTATTCTTGAAAAAAAACTCTCTGAGTGTGTGAAAGTGTCCGTTCACATCGTGTTCCTTAAAGTAGTAAATTACGTCGTTAGTAGTCTATCAAACCATCAAGACATAAAAATGGCTAGCGAATATTGTTTTTCCTTTTCAAAACACCTTCAATAATATTAAGATATTTCTTAAAATGCCTTCATCAACAAAAGAAAAAGTTTATGGAAAACCTTTAAAGGAAAAAGGAACGTTTCCATTTTTTATCAAATTATTCACTTTTGTTATTATATAAAATCAAACGTGATCAAGTATAGTCTACTGAAAAAGGGAATGAACATTCAATATTTTAGTTTTAATCTTAAAAATTTAATCGTCTTGAATAAGTAGAAGATAAAAGTTATTGAAAATTTAAAACCAAACGTATTCCCAGTGTGTTGTGAAGTGTTTTGTATAAAACTGTTGATCCAGTTTGTTTCTGTTTGCTAAAGATCCCATCATCGATAAATAACATTAAGCCGATAAGACAATTATTATTCGTGCTTCATTACAATCCAACTGTTTTTTGCATAAGTAACGAATAGGTCGACGATCATATGAACAGTCACTTATATCAATAAATTGGAAAACTGAGAATTAACTTGAAAGTGCTTTGTATACTCGAATGATAATTTTTTTTATTTTTAATGCATTCGAATGTCAAGAATTGATAATTAGTTTTGGAGAAAACAAAATAATAAATTATATATAATATCAGCTTTATTCATCTAACTTTTATTGATTTAAAATTTAAAATATATTATCATTCATTAAATCATTTAAATATATAATACTTACATGAATAAGAGATCACATGTTTTTAAAGTTACATTTCCAAAGCAAGCTTTTGAATAAGGAAAAGCTCAAATCTATTCTAGAATGGAAAAGTGAAGTAGTAGACTTTTCAACGGTTTTTTTTAAATCTTCTATAATTTAGCAAAATTCAAATGTTAAATCTATTGTCCATTCTATTCCAGTGTTAGTTATAATGTTTGAAAATGGATCACTTCAATCCATATAAATCCAAAAAAAATCCAACTTTGAAATCAAAGCTAAATTGCAAACAGTTTTCACATCACTGCATTGCAATGGTATCCGATAAGACACAAATAAACTGAGTTAATTGCAAACAACTGAGTGATCGTGGCAAACTTAAATCGTTCAAAAAGTGCCAATGCTCTAACATAAGAATTAGGATATCAGTTGTTTATGATATTTGAACATTTTCTAAAGAAATCTCTTGATTTTTCCTCGAATCGATCAAAACTTTTCATATTTTCCAAAATTAAAGTTTTAATATTACCGAAATTAAAAAGAATTTTTCCGAGAGTCTCTGATGAGTAATTAATCAAAGTTAAAGACTTATAAATTCTTACTTTAATCAGTTCGCTTATCAACAGATAACTGTTTGGAGTTTCACCAACAAAAATCAAATGATTCACTTGAAATTTATTATTTGCGTTATTGACTTTTAAATGTTTAATAAATGTTGTGATTTGATCGATCTCGAAATTTCCCTCAATTGACAAACACTTCATTGCTGTAAACATTAACACATTCTTAAGGAACATCGATGCGTTGTCGTCTTGATAAGTTTGTTTCAGTTTAATATACTCATAACGAGTATAAAATCGTGACGCAGTTCTGTCTGCCAATGCGGAATCAGGATTGTAGTTGTAGACATTTTCTTCCATGGTATTTATTTCTTGCAAGATGTCGTTTATAATATCACTCATACCATTTGAATGATAAGTGACGCTTCAATGATAATGAAAAACAAAGGTAAATGTTTAGCTATATTTAGATACAAATACGGCAATTTGACCTAATTAATTTTTCAAATGATTGTATAAAATCACAAATAAAAAAAGGAAAAATATTTTCAACTTACTTTTCACTTTTTCTTTTCATTTTCTTTTGAGTGATTCAAAAGACGATCTGAACACTTTGATTGCTTGAAATACTATGGCAAAAAATTAAAAGATTGAACGCAGCTTGAACGCACAAATTTTCTTATCACAAAATATATATTTTGACAACCTATACAGTTATATTTCGTACAATTCATATAAACATATTTACAATAATCTTATCATTGAATCATTTCATTTTGATAAAGCGTACAGTAGCAAGCAGTTACCGAAGATTAATCGTCAAAGTCCTTTTCCTTTTCGTCTTCTTTTANATTTAGCATACACATGTGGACATAATCAGTTTAAAAAAAAAAATTATTTATTGCTTGGATTACATTGAATAGATTATCAATGTTCGTACACATAAAATTTGTTTTCTATTGAAAATGAAATAAATACTGAAGTGTCTGAAAACGCAGACTTATTGGCACAATGACTTGAAGATATCAGTTCCACATCTCGCAGTGATTTCTTTCAATGTTGTTGAAATTTCCACTTGGCAAAACTTTTTCAACCCTTTGATATTGAACTTTCCGCACATTTTGTATATTTTCCCATCCGTCCTAAGAGAAGGTTTAGTTAGTGGCTCTAATTTTATCCTCCTCAAATATTTCAATACTCTTCTGTATTGCTTTGGATATGCAATAGAATTTGGTGTGAGAATGCGGAGAAGAAGCTTAGCACCGCGATCAAAAGCGGGTGATGAATATCCTTGATTTACAATCACTGTTAAGAACACCACAATCACAAAAATATTAAATTTTCCAGCCATTTTTTATATCCAAATAATAATTGATTATTAATTATAATAGGGACGACGTTTAGAAAATCTCTTATTTGCTTTAATTAGCTCGACTTTGAATATTTTGCTACTACTTACTAAGTAGTTGATTATAGCATTGACAATTAATGTATGTATCGAAAAAGCTCTGAGTTTTATACCAGAAAATTTGAAGTACTCAAAAACTCCCGAAAGTTTAAAACCTTTGATAAGATTATTCCAATGTCTATTTATGCTTGTAATTTTATTCAGTTATTCAATCGCCTATCGGGAGTTTTAATAGATTATTATCTGAGATACAAATTTTTATGAATGAAACTTTTCTGGTCTAAAATCACCAGGTTATCAATAAATGTGAATTTTTAAATGTAAAATGAAAATTTTCGTGACTTGAGTTATTCTGAATACGTGCTTTAAAATTATTGGGAATTTAAAGGTACTTTTTTTAAAATGTTTTTAAAAATTCTATTGAAATAAAGCATAAATTTATTTTAAAGGTGTTTGATTGCAATATAGAATATTCTGAAATTCTATTAAAAGAATCACATCCATGACGATAATATTAACATACGCCAAATTAAGTATTAATTAACTAAGTAATATTTATTAAGTCAAAAAATTGATTCTTATTACGTGTAGATATTAAAACACTTTATGTATTGCCAAATTGTTTATCCAGTCGGTTTTTGTCTGGAAATATTTTCATCATGGGAACAAAATTAAGCAGTAAAGAGTAATATTATCAACAATTCATTCCAACTCAAAGATGTTTTATTTAAATAACGAACAGATATCGATAAATTGAAAACGACATTAAAGATTAACGACACGAAGTTAAAAATGATCAAAATGCTTTATGAGTTTTTTAGGTTGAAGCTTAATAACGTTTCAATTTTGCATTCCTTTTAAATTGGAAACTAAAATTCAATGAGACAGACAATTGTTGAGACGATGCAAAGAAAATAATTTTAAAATTTTAATATTTTTAATAGTTTCCAAGGAATTTCAAATGAAAGACCAAGTAATTTTCAAAAGTTTAATTACATATTAAAAATAAATAGATGCACAAAAATTGCTGCTCATTCAGGAGCTTCAGGAAGACAAGCAATTTCGGTGCAAGCTATTCCACTGCCAGTACACCAACAAGTATTACATGAGTCAAGGCTAGGAACTTCATCTCCATCCTGATAGTTTATTCCATTTTGGGTGCATCCTGTTGGTTCAGGAGTTTCAGGAGGACAATAAATTTCGGTGCAAGCTATTCCACTGTCAGTACACCAACAAGTATTACATGAATCAAGGCTAGGAACTTCAGCCCCAATAGGATAGAAGACATTATTACGCCAGCATCCACTTACGCATTCTGAGAGATGAAAGAAAAGCTTTCATTAGCACATATTTATAAAACAAACAGAAGCTAGTGTTAGATACTTACGTAAAGAGGCAGAAGCTAGAAGTTGAAGATAAATTTAAGTTAATTTTGATCTTTTCATACGTGCAGGTTGTCACTTTACTTACCTGTTGACACAAATGCTAAAGTTAATAACAAAGGGATATTGTGCACGATCATTATTTTTTTTAAGCTGAATGCTCAGAACAGAAATGACGAATGAGTGAGAACAAACTTAAAACATGTCTTTTTGTAATCAATTTTATTGATCAATTCTTTTTGGAAAAAAACTCTCTGAGTGAGTAAAAATGTCTCTTACTTAACATCGTGTTCCGTTTTTGTATCGTTTTCTTCAAGGTTTTCTTTTTCAGGAACAAACCCCCATTTTGTTTAGTATACTTAAGCAGTAAATTGTGTCTTCAGTTGTCTATCAAACCATCATGACATTAAAACACCTTTTCATCCTTTTCAAAACACCTTCAATAATGTTAAGATACCTACTTCATAAAATATAAATAAATTGGAAAATTTAGGATTGTTTTGTATACTCGTATGATAATTTTATTATTTTTGATGCATTCGAATGTCAAGAATTGATAGGTAGTTAGTTTTGTAGAAAAAAGCATTATTCATCTAAGTTTTAATGATCTAAATTTTAAAATATATTATCATTCATTAAATCATTTTAATTTTCATTTCAATTAGTAAGATCACATTAAATGTTTTTAAAGTTACATTTCCAAAGCAAGCTTTTGAATAAGGAAAAGCTCAAAATCTATTCTATGTAGAATAGAAAAGTGAAGTAGTAGATTTTTTAAACGGTTTTTTATTTCAAATCTTCTACGATTTAGCAAAAGTTAAATGCTAAAGCTATTGTCCATTCTATTCAAAGCCGGTGAGTTCTTCTTTAATTGAATTAAAAAGGTTTTTAAGTGGAAATACTATTCCCTAATCAAATAAAAGAGTATTAATTGAACAAGAAACCTAAAAATGGCATCTTCATTTGTTATTCCCTTGGAAAGTAATCCCGATGTAAGTTTAATTGTGAATTTTCGAGAAGTTTAAAAGTGCAATGTAATGGCTGGTTCCATTTTTCATTACTTCTTTTTCCTTCACGTAGGTTTTGAATAAATACTTGGAAAAACTTGGTGTCGCATCTAAATATGATCTTGTAGATGTTTTTGGATTAGATGATGATGGATTAAACTGCGTTCCTCGACCAACAAAGGCGTTGATTCTTTTGTTTCCCGTTTCGGGTAAGATTCGGTAAAAAAAGAAGACAAGTTGGAGAAGTTACAAAGAATGTTTTACTTTTTAGATGCTTATGAAGAATTTCGCAAAAAGCAAGATGTAGAGTTGAGCGCTAAGCCTCCAACCATCCCAGAAAATTTATTTTTTGTCCGTCAATATGTTAGAAACAGTTGCGGCACAATGGCTTTGGTCCATGCTGTTCTCAACAATTTATCATCGATTGAGTTGAAAGATGATTCGGTTATGAAAAAGTTTTACGAAAAGGCAAAGGAATTGACTCCTGAAGAGCGTGGACGCTTACTTGAACAAAACTCTGCTTTCATTGAAATCCATCAAGCATTAGCTGAAGAAGGCCAAACAGCTGCTCCACCAAGTGATGAAATTGCAAACAAGCATTTCATTACTTTAGTGAGTATTGGAAATGAGCTTTTCGAACTTGATGGAAGCAAAAATTTCCCAGTTAGCCATGGAGCAACATCTGATGAGAAATTCTTGTTCGATGCTGCTCGCGTCTGCAAAGAATTCATGGCTCGTGATCCAAAAGAACTTAACTTCACTATCATGGCTTACGCAAATGCTCAGTAAATGCAGGCCAAAGTAAAATTAAAAATATGATCTCGAAAATGAAATAATGAAGTCATAAGCATGAAGCTTCTTTTTTATAAATATACCATAAATGCTTTTGTGATAGCGCAAAGCGCTTTTAAAAATTTTCCTTCGAGATTCAAAAATCTATTTTTGCAAATCGTTTTGTAATCAAGAGATTATCAAGCTTGTTGTAATGCTTATTGCTTGGAATGTAATTCAAAAATACCTAAATAAAAGGAGATAAATTACTTATCATATGGAATATCAGTATCTAGTTTTTTTTTATAAACGCATCGTTTAGAATAATAATTATTTTACTGTAATTTCATTCTCAATTCGATTAGACAAGGGTTTATCATTTCAGAATGCGATAGCAAAGAATGTGGATATGCTCATCATATCAAGTTAAGCTTATCTTACCAAGGCAATCGATACTAAAGCATAAAACATTGAACAACAAAACTCCAGTCGATAATTATTTATAATTGTCTTAAGATTCTTTGAAGGTGACTCTATACACATAAAATTATTGCAGTAGGCATTAAAAAGATATTTTTAGCTTTAAATGATATTAAAGAAAGAAGAAATTTTATCGTTTAAAATTGAATTCCTCGTGACTTATGAATTACCTTCAGCATATAACGTGTCAATTATATTTTTTCATCTCTGCAATTTCCAAGAAAAAAATAACTTATAAGAGAGATAAAATAGCATGATTCCAAAACGAGTGAATACATTCTTAATTACGGAGGCCCACCTTTGGT